AGACAATCAAAAACAAAGTTCCTTGCCAACTTTACGGTATAATATACGTCATAACATTGAGTAAAAGTACTGTGCAATAAACTTCCTCTGTTCTTCTGCTACGGTATACAGTACTGTATTTCTTGACTTAACAGTTCACAACAAAATACATCTCAGTTCGTCATAAAATACCACATAAAATGCCATATGGCCTAGTTTCCGTTCAAAGGTGGCCACTTAATACAGGCACCTCATTCTCTAACAAAGAAAGACAAGCATGGGACTGCTACAGGGTGGCCGCGGCCGCTTAATAGAGGTGGCCGCCTAATACAGGTAACAAATACAGCATTTGTATGAGCGAAAAATCGGGACTTTGAAAATATGCCGCTTAATAGAGGGTGGCCTCCTAATACAGGGCCGTTGTTTACAGATTCGACTGTATGATCATCGGTACTGTTACGTAACGTTCAAAATATAAGGATTTGTATCGAAGAAAAACAATTGTTTCTGTTGGATCCGTCGGGCCTATTCGCTGGAGACCACAAACTTGGTAAACTTTATATAAAGAGAGAAAACCGTTTAAAGTACAACCCATGAAACGGCCGTAAATCGGCCCATGAACCACACAGGAGAAACGCAACACACATTTTATGTAAGGTAAGTTTTTTTTGTTGAAATCATTTCATTTCGTAGGCTACAGAAACGATAGAGTCTTTCCCCATACAAATCCTTGTCTTTAGAATGTTACGCAACAATGCCGATGCTCATATTTCGCGCGTGGGCCACCTGTGAAATAAGTGAGCTCCATGCTGCAGAGCAATAAACAAATGAAGAAATGAATTAAACGTTTTCTGACCTTATGAATAACGTGCGTTTCTGATTGTACGGTGGGTATGATCTTCCCGCGTTTTTCAAATGTTTCGTAGGACTCTCTTGGACGCCTTTCCATCAGGACTAACACTAGCTGTTTGTTTCAACGTTGTATTTTTATCATTCACGTAATTCAATCAAAGATGACAACCTGATTTGGGGGTATCCATTCTAGTCTCAGACAACCCAGCAGTAATTTGGGGTATCCATTGTATACATAATATTCCCATGTAAACTGTCTCTTACAGTGAAAACAAATTGACACTAGTATCAAAAGACAGCTTAGCCCCTATGCCAGTTCGCGCCATCCGAGTGAGGAGCGAGCCTTGGAACCGAGCGCGATATTCGGCGATATTCGGCAAATTAATCGGCGAATCTTCCTGACAATCTTGACAGGTGACGTCACATCCGAAATCGCCGAGGATGACTAGGAACGACGCTGTGTGTAAGAGTGGTGATGATTTAAAGGGTGATGATAGATTTGGACCAAAGAGAAAGCCGAAATTTGCATTTCATTTTATTGCATCAGAAGACGGAGAAAGGAGACTTATGCCGTTATTGCTAAGTTTATAATAAAGAGTATATGAAGTAACCTGCCAGCAGGTTACGTGTAACTCTAAGTTACGTAGATATCATAAAGTGCGAGAGTAAAAACTTTTTTTTTTTTATTTTTCGAAAAACGAAATGAAGACGAGAAAAACCATGATCAAACCACGAGAGTTTTGTTCAAATAAATCTATTTCTCTTAGGTAAAAAGAACTTGTCTGATGCCAGTATGGTCTTCAAAACTGTATCGATATACCTTAACTGCCTAGTTTCCTCGGCCTAACCAAAAATAGTGAGTTCAAATACTGAGAGTACAACATTCTGGTATTTAGAAGATTGTCATAAAAAATGTTTAATGTAAACAGTGCTATATTCATGACATATTTTCGTACATAGTACAAAAACTTCCTTGTTTTCTTTCTTTAAATAGTAACTGGGAATTGAAGACTTTTTTTAAAAGTCTTTAAATATCTTATCTATATAGATGCATCGCCTTCTTAAAATGATACCCGAGAAATCACGATTTTATCAAACGTTAGTAAAACCCTTCCAATATGTAAATATACACCATTAATTAGCTATTAATTCAATTTTGCTAAGCGTTAATTAAATATAATTCCTGCTACCTTGATAAACTTTGTGGGCATCATTTACAAGCGAACATTATATAAATGAATAAATATTTCATACATAAAAGTTTCGCCTCTTTGACATGATGGCGTATAATTCTTTGCAGGTTAAAAGCTCATAAGTCTAAGGTTTTTGTACTCGCTTGAGTTTCTCCCTTTCGGCTCCGCTTTGAACGTGTAGCGAAATACGTGGTTGCGTGGTAGCATTTGCTAAAATTTGCCCTTAAATAAGCGAATTTCATTAAAAATAAGCAACATTTTCTATAAATAGTTTAAATTTACGAAATGTTACTATGAATAGTTCATGTGTCTTTCACATGTTCTTAGCTTGAACTTGATGGGTCCAGCCCACACGGTTATTACTCCAGTCACTGTTTCTCCCCAGTTTTAGCCACGTGCAGATTAGTGTAACAAGAACTCTCCGACCTCCATAATCACCATCAACATGCTTTGAAAAAGTTTTTGCCGGCTGTTTTGCAAAGGCCCTGCCCCAACTTGTAACAAATGGCGATCTGAAAAACTTTTTTCCAAGTTATCACCAATGATACGCAGCTGCGAAGCGACCTGTTCACATTTTAGGCTCAAGTCTTGGTCAACACTCTGTTTCTTCGCTTTTGTTTCACTTAGCGTTTCCTGATTGATCATGTTTTCTTTTAACTCTGTTTAAAAAGAAATAAACAAAATGCATAGAAGTTAATTAAATAATCTAAGAATTCCATTTGAGCATCAACCTAGTAAGAACGTTTAGAGCTTTTCAACAATTCTTTTGTAGACCCTGCAGCGTCCACAATTATTTTTTAGTTAAAATTGCCCTACTAAATCTAGCAAAATATAATACGGTACATCAAGAGCCATAATTCTTGGGTACATAAACGTGATACGGTCTCAACTGGGGGCATTTATGGTAAAAAGTAAATATCTTGGTTCTTTCTACGGCTAAAGGTTAATTTCTCTCTGTTACGTTTAACAGAAATTTGTAGAAGAGAAAAAGTTTCCATCGGTTCAAGCCTCTAACGACCTTTTCGGGGTAGAAAAAAAGGCTGAAAATGGGGTCCATAAAAACTCGTAAAAAGCAATATTGACAATCAACATGACAAATTGTGGCAATTAGAACGATAAGCTGTTTCTTTTTTTAAGGCTAACGGTTAAAAACGACCATTTTTTACACGTAACGACTAAGGTTTTTAGCTGTTTGACGGTTAATATAACGGCAGAAACTAAGGTTATACTTGAAAAGACTTAATATAAAAAATGAACACAGTCTTTACCTCAGTTTTTTTTAGTGCACGCGGTTCTGTCCGTTAGGTCCTTCGCTCGCTGCCTGATCTGAGAAAAACTAAATTGAAGACTTCATATTTATATCCAAAAAATCAATCCAAGGTCAAAAACATCAAACGTAAATTCTACATAATTTTGTAAGGATTTCCCGTTAACGTGATTTTTTTACGTCATACTGTTTATTTTCCGGGTTACAACATCCGCAGCTTAATGAGGACAAGAGATCACTTTCAACGACTAGCTAGACAAACAAATCACCCTGCTCTTCGGTCAGGCTATCGAAATTTTAAACGTGAAGTCAAACATGAAGTCAAACGTGAAGTCAAATTTTGATTCCGCGCTATCTTTTGACAATCATATTTCTACTACAGTGCCGTCTTGCATGTCGAAACTATCTCAAATAAGCCGCATTAGATTCGTTTTTTATAAGGAGTTGCTTGAAACCATAATAAAGGCTCTTGTTTCAGTAAACTCTATTACTGTTCGTCTGTATGTTCATCCACCTCAGCCTGTAATGTTCGTAAATTACAATGCGTTCAAAACTTTGCTGCGCGAATTATTTGCAACGTAAAGAAGTATGACCATATCTCTCCTGTATTAAGAAGTCTACTTTGGCTCCCTGTGAAACTACAACTGTATCGTTGAGATGCTACCTTAACATTTAAATGTATGACGGGTCAAGCGCCTGAATACTTAACATCTATGTTTTTTAGAAGAGGCAGCGTATCTGGACGTTAAACTCATCGCCAATAGATGAGTTTGGGAACTGGTGCCTTAAAGGTTGTACGGGAGTCTGAACGCCTCAGGCATAGCAAGGAGGCATCCATGGCAACCCTGCCAGCGGGAACCACCCCTGCATGCAGCCGCCAACTGACACCGTCACACTGAAAGAATTCAGTGGAAAATACTCACCTGACCTAATGCTTACCAATGCACAGAAGGGGAGGGACGGGCTGGGAGCCAGAATCCGCAACGATTCGCTAAGCAACAGATCCGCAAAGATCAGCTAAAAAATCAGCGTGAGATGCAACGTATAAGTCACAAGATAAGCAAAAGGCCCCTGCGGTCACCCCTCAGATCACGTATCACGTACGCTTGAGGAGGAGACCGCTGACCGCATTGGCTTGCAATTTGACTTTGCCCAAATTACATTTAGCCACATTATAACCAGGAACTTTCAACGGCTAAACATTCCTTTTTTTAAAACTGCAACACTGAGTTCATGACTTTCAGCAGTATAATACCGTCGGCTGCATCTAAGTCTGGACACGACACAAAAAAACATGTTCCAATAGGGTTCCAGACGTGACGATTTTTGCCGCCAAACATTTGAAGTTTGACCGCCGTTAAAGCAAACTGTCGTGCCAAAGCTAAGTTGTTTATGTTTTTGATCAGCGCGTTCCGCTCATATTTCATTTTTCTCAACTTTCAGGCATATTTCTCGCTCAGAATCAGTACACTTGCCTCCAGAAAGTAATCTTAACGTCTAAAAATTCTTGCAAAGAATATTTTGTTGAGCGAAAACGAATCAAGTCAACAACAGCCGCCTACTCTAAACTTCGAATGTTTGGCGGCAAAACAGGTCATGTTTACACCCAATTTGGACAAGTTTATTACTCACGTGTACACGCTTAGATGCAACCGACGATATTATTAGTTCACGAAATATAAATAGAACACAGACATCAAAAACGCTTTCGTGTATTCACGTATATTTTTAATAAGAAATACAACAAAACGTTTTGTAATATGTACGATAAAATTTTACAGCGATTATAGTACTGTTTACTTTAAATATTCCTGCTGACAATATTACCAGAATATTTTCAGATTTGGATTTGTTTATTAACTTGGTAGAAAACTGGCAAACATGTCTGAGAAAGTGAAAATGTTTATAAAACTTTACAGCTATAAAACAGAACTTTTCTTTAACCAAATTGTGCCTCTATACGAATGACGTTCACAAATACCAAGATTATGTATGCGAAATGGTAACATCTTAGTTCTTACTTAGGCGCGGGTCAAACGCCGTACTTCACATGAACCAAACTCATTCAATTTGTCCTACAAAGATGAGAAAAAAGAGCGGTTCTGCATTTTTTTACGAAATTCGTTTGGCTGAATGAAGTAGGGCCGACTAACCCAAAGGTTTTATTGTTGCCTAGCAACATGGGAATGCATTTCAAAAAGCGCTGGAAACACAACTTTTCTTTAACCAAATTGTGCCTTCATACCAATGACGTTAACAAATACCAAGATTATGTCTGTTTTGGTAACATTTTAGTTGCCTAGGCGCAACAAACGAATGCATTCAATTTGTCCTAAAAGATGAGAAAAAAAGAGCGGTTCTGGAGAAATTATTTTCGAATGAAGAAGGACCAACTCTTTTATTGTTGCAAACATTGAAAAAAGCTGCACAAGAACACAAACATGAACGATTAGTTTTACTATAAAAAACGGCTCTCTACTTTCACGTTCCTTCTGCTCGTTTGAAGGCTCCTTTTTTCATGTACGTCATACGAACGTCGCTCACATAAATACAATAGAATGGGATAAAACTCCTTTTACACGTTTTAAAGGCTAATTTTTGTTCACGTATGTTATAAAACCATTGCTCCAAAACGTCATAAAAATGGGATAAAACTCGTGTGCTAATATTTACAAGTTACAGTGGGGTTATCACATTTGCGTGAATAATGGATGTTTGAGAAGGTCCCTAGCAGACGGTCGTTCATCTTGTTTACCCTCGAAACATCTGAGCAACACGTCTCGAAGAGCTGGGTTTATATTTTCCGGAATTTCGGGCGGGCTTTCAGCGCAAGCAATCTAAGAAGGAACGAAAAAAAAAAAAAAAAAAGTTTAGGAGAAGCAAAATACCAGTATTAACGCTATCACAACAAGAATCGAATATTGCAATATTGCCCATTTTAAAGGGGGTGTGTCACGGCAGTCCAGTTCATTTTGTTTAATTTTGCCAGTTACTCGCCCTCAATCGCTATGAAAGTTAAAGTAAGGAAAGAAATTACATGTAAATGACAAAATCAGAGATCCGAGACAAATGTCTCCTGAGCATTATTTTTGAAGTTGCAAGCAGCAGGGATCAACTTTGAAAAACTGTTAGGCTGAACAGTTTTCAAAAACCCTAATTTCAATCCATTTCAATCTTCTTCAGTTTTGCCCATCCGTGGCATCTGTTGTTTCTGTTATGTTATTTAAACCTTCCTTTAAAGTTTTAAGCGATTATTTTTATGTTTCTCTTAATTTAACGGGCATTTTGTAATTTCCTAATTTGGCTGAATTTCGTGACAAAGCTCCGTTAAGTTGCGTAGAGGCTGGGTTGGTATTGTGCAAAACTGCATTGTGGGAAAACTGTGGGACCGTTTTGAGGGGCGAACGTCGACCCAGTTTCCACTCCAGAATCTATAAGAGGAATGGGCACAGGTTTTCAGCGCAACGATTTTGCGATCGGTTGGGTGAACAAGCGTTACTTCTGATTGGTTAATGGTTGCCTTGAATACCATCGGCCAATCATAACTAACGCTTGTCCACCCGAACGCTCCTAGGAGTCCCAGGGGTGCAGAACCTACCTTAAAAATAAGCGCCAAATGATTGGAGTGTTCGTGAGCGTTCCATGGTGGTCTTCCAGTCGCCATCTCAATGATAACACATCCTACACTCCAAACATCACAACTTCGACCATAACTCTCTCCACGCAGTACCTTCCAAAGTCATAGAAGCTCAAGTCAACATACTAATGTTCAAATTCTCCCTATCAGATTCACGTATTTCGTATGACATTAGTTAGGAGAAGATACCGGTGGGTTTACTTCTTGAATTTTGGATATCGGATGAAACACTCTTGTTCGCGTTTGATATGTCAAGAAATAAATAATTCAACACCGCGTCAACCGTTCCTTTGTTCTCGAAAAGATTATATGACCCTACGACCTTTGAGCACGTCGCGAAACACTTGTTCAACTATAGAAGAAGGAAGAAAGGAGTCGAATGCTCAGGTTCTGCTGAAACAAGTAGTAAGATAATCAGCCCGTACGCACGCAAACAAAACAAAGTAATAAATAAATAAATAAATAAATAAATAAATAAATAAATAAATAAATAAATAAATAAATAAATAAATAAATAAATAAATAAATAAATAAATAAATAAATAAATAAATAAATAAATAAATGAAATAACTAACCTCAGGAGCCATGAATGCAACCGTCCCAAGCAACTGTCCCTGAAATTCACCTGCGCCCGTAATCTGTGTGGCCAACCGCGCTGCCGCACCAAAATCAGCTATCCTTATGTTTTGACCGGTAGAATCAACTAAGATATTTGCTCCTGCAGAAATAAAGACAACGTTATGTACCTAAATAATACCGTAAGTTGTAGTCTTTAAGACAAAAGAGACTACAACACATTCGCTTGTTAACAACTGCATAAGTCTTCTACCCACCTTTAATGTCTCTGTGGATCACTTGATTCTGATGCAGATAAGCCACGCCTTGCAGAGTCTGATGAGTGTAACTGATAACAATCTTTTCGTCAAATGCTCCATATTTACTCAGTAAGTTTGTAATGGATCCACCTGAAGAGAAATGGTAGAGCAGTGAACAACATCTTACAACGATGGTCGCTTACTTTCGCGTAAATGTTAATACAACACTGAAGAACTTTTTTAGTGGCTCAGGCTCCACCGCCTCTTGTCTTTCACTGGGTGTAAAATTACGCATTTTAAGCGCAGAAAAAATAGTATGCGGTGTACATCATTTCATGAGCGTTACAGTAAAGACCCGCGAGTAAGAACCTACATTTTCTGGAGTTAGCCTAAGCAGGTTCTTATTTAAACAGTAGTTAACACAATTTTAGGCTATTTAGGTTCTTAAATAGGTTTTTATTTTTGTAAAAAAAAAAAAAAATAAAAAAAAAAACAAGCTACAAAATAAGATGGCAATCTGCGTATTTTTCAGTTTCAAAATACGATACAACAGTATTAACCTCTTGCACTTTATTTTTTTATTACATCAATAAATTAGTGCTTTTATTTGCACAGCAATGCCAAGCTCCTAATTCTCCAAACAGGATTCTTGCACAGCTTTGCAGCTGCATTTCACTATTATGACTTTAAAAAATAAGAACCTGTTTTTCATTTTCTGAGCTAAACAGGCTCTTGTTTATAGGGGGTATAAATGGCTAATTTTAGGCTAACAGGTTCTTAATTTTCAGGTTCTTACTTGCGGGTTTTTACTGTATTAGGCAAGAATCGACACCGTCACCTTTCAGGACGTATTAGATTACTTTAGCCACAGAAAAACGGAGATCATGTTGAGAGGGAGTGCATGACCCACGCTAGCCACCACAAGTCTTACCTGGCATCCACTCGAGAAAGATGTTGAAGTGCGCAGCGTGCTTTGTGGCGCCCAAACATTTGATGAGATGAGGGTGTTGTAACCTTCCCAGCAGAGAGATTTCATCTTCGATGGCCTGTGTCACTTTGTCTTGGTCTTCTTTCGAATTACGGCAAAAAGACACCTGCAGGACGACATTATCAGGACTTAATGAGGAAATTGTAACTGTTTACTAAGGGTCGAGGTGGTAGAAGACACTTCAAACAACGCCCTTCGGTTTTTAGAATTCTCCGTGAACGGCCAAATCAGACTGCAACGCTTCTTACAATAACTCTTATCTTGTTAACAGTAAACTTTATAGGGGCACTATCTGCTAATAGCACTTAACTTGACCTACGACACGGACAGAATAGATCCATGTGGTACGTGCCAAATATTTGTGGTTTCTTGTATTCACCTGTTTAACAGCCATGAGTGATCCATTCATGAGATCTCTGACAGCATAACAAGATGAGTAGGCGCCAGTTCCTAGCAGTTCACCTTTCTTCCAATGCACTTCTTCCAGATACAAATGCTTAGAGTTCACTGCCTTATCCAAGGACTGCAAAGGCAATTAAAATAAAAACTCACTTTCAAAATACTCGTCGCTTTTCCGATTTCTTTCACCAATCCTCCCACTTGGCAGATTTTCACACTGTTTAGAGATCCATATTTCCCTTTTTTACCTGTCCACTACACGATCTGATACTTTTAGCTCCAAATACAATAAATCATTATTGGCCTGAATAGTTTACATAACGGTTCCATATAGGAAAGGACTATTCGTTACAGTTACTGGATGAAGTTTGGAAGTTCCATAGTCAGGGTTCTATCTAGGATTTATCGTTTGGGGGGGAAGTCCCGAGTGGCCGAAGGCCACGAGCTTCCTAGGGTGGTCCAGGGGCACGCCTCCTCCCCCAAATTTTTGAAATGAATTTGTCCTGAGATGCAATTCGGTGCATTTGGAGACACAATTTTGAGAAGTATTACAGTGTGTGCAGTGACCTGCAGTGACGATATAGTTACTTAATACTGTAATGACAACAATATTAATTTTTTGGGGGAAGCTGGGCATTTTGGGGGGGGAAGCTTCTACCCCTCAAATACCCTAGATAGAACCCTGATAGTGCGATCTAGCTAATCATGTCTAACCAAAATTTTAACCCATACAAAGCACTTCGTAGAAGAAACGGGTAATAACAACGGAACATACCTCGGGTTGTGTGAAAACAATAATCATCTCATCTCCGGCGTCTAAGCTTTCTATCCTTGAAAGACCAGTATAATGCGAGGAGACTGCCATGGCCTTTGCAACAGCTTCCGCCTCTTCCTGCTCAATAATCTCTTGACATTTCTTTCCGACAGCCAGTTTCACGGGTGGCATCCGTGGTGAGTCCTCGATCGATCGGGACCAATCCAGATTAAGCTCTTTACTGGGAGAAAGACTTGGCGAAAATACCAATGACTGTGGTCTTTCCAAGGTAAGAAGTTCTGACTCAGATACGTTGTCTGTTTCGTCGTCAGATGTCACTGATGACAGGCTCCCTATTGCAGAGTCACGATTGCTAACGGTTGACGACGCCGCATCTTGGCTAACCTGAGATTCAATGCCATGATTTTCGTGGCTACTGACAGAAGCTGTACTAAGTCTAGGTACAGCAAACATGTGGCGTTGAAGGACACTACGTTGTGCCGGTTTGAGCTTTACAACAAGTTTTCTTATGTGGCTAGAAGCAGACGTAGAAGACGAAGCTAGAGAGGCACAAAATGTTAGCACGGCAACTGCTAGCTTGCTTACTTTGCTGTGCGAACAATTCACAGCTTGCATAGCAAACTTTAAAGCAGACATAAGCCGAGTCAAATTGTCATGATAAATGTCCACCACGTCCTGGCTAGCATTTGACATCCTGTCATGAACAAGAATCCCCGCGCTGTCCACTCGATCAGATGGGCTGTCCTCTGACAGTTCAAACTCAGTGATATACTCATCCATTAATTTGCGTAAAAACAGAAGGCGCCCCAGCCACCACGGCCACGTGGTGTACTCAGAGGCAGTTCTTAGAATACAAGATAAAATGAAGCATAGTCCTCCTAACGGCTGACACTCGTGTTCTTCACCAAGCATTTTGCCAAGCGCCAGGTCTCCAGACATATCCTTGCAGAGTTCCAAAAGAACTTTTATGGACAGAGCACTAAAACGCCTGAAGAAAAAAGATAAAAATACATCCAGTGACCTAATGGTCATCTATAATGCTCTAGGGAAAGAAAAATATAAAGAAGAACGTGGAAGCTTGTGCGAGTCAACGCAAATGAATCAATATCCAACCGGACAATGAAAAGGAACGTTCAGCCTCTAACCCCTACGATTAACTGGCATATTCTCTCCGCTGCTCTCCTTTATCACTTATCTCACTATAATATTCTCTTCACGGACCTTTTTATTTCCTCTTTTAGTAAAGAATACTTCGACAGAAAATACTGTGAAGGTGCTAAGCTTGCGTTTGCAGATAACCAGGTAATTCTAAAACACAAATCTTTACGGAAAACATATTTCTGAGTTGTTTTTAGTCGACTTGATTCGGACTTTGTAACAGTACGTGCCCCAAAAAGCATGTAAAAAGATTGCGAACTTAAACGAGTTCTTTATGTACATTATAATTTAACCCTTTAAGTCCCAATGGTGACCAACAGCAATTTTCTCCTAACGATATCCATACATTAGCATGAGATTAGGTTATGAGAATTAATAAAATGATCACATAAGAGAAAATACTTTGATCTTTTATCAAATTCTCTTAACTAATTCTTAAAGGAAATGTATAGAGATCAGTCTGGAGAATTTGTGAGTGGATATTGGGAGTTAAAGGGTTAACACACCTATTGGAATCAGCACATTTCGCCAAAATAGCCTCCACAACACTGAACAAACTCTTCTGAAGATGTTGTTTTTCTGCCTGAGTCGTGTATGATGCATGCATCACCAAGACACGCAAAGTCCGCTGTGAAAAAGATGAGAAAAATACATGTGCCTAATCTTTCTCAGTTTTCAAACAAAAATTTACCCATTGAGGACTGTGTCGAAAGCTATTTAATCCTTTTTGACTCCAAGACCACGCTATGGCAATGAATTCCTATGGTGTTACTACTCAAATAAAACCTCTTTGGAAGAACTTTTGCGTAGTGCTTTTTACATCTTGTGATCGTACAAAAAGACGTTTGATCTGTTTTGCGAATTACTTCCTTGTCCAATATGTGTGAAAGGATCAACAAAGCTAACGCTTATTTAACATCTCAAGATTACAGTCGAACCTCTCCACATTGGCCGCAAATTGGGATCAGAATTTAGTGACCATGGTACAGCAGACAAGTTAAAACAAAGCTGAAACATCTGCTGGCACCAACAAAGTGGCTCTTGTGGCCGGGATGTGGCTGTTACCAGGAGATCAACTGTATGTTAATTTGATGCTCTTACCAAAGCAGAGAAATAAACTCTGTAAACAGGATCTCCACACATCATTGATAACAAAGAACAGCAAGCTTCAAATGCTGCCATATTCTGGACATTGCTCCCCTCCAAGAACACGGTGCTGATGTCTTTACTCAGTCGACGAAGAGCTGTTTCTCTCACATTCCATTCTCGAGAGAAAAGACAGCTTACAACATTTTCTCCAAATGCCTACAATAAGAGAAATAGTAGTCAAATGAGAAACCTTTTATGGTTAATTTATTGTGGGGCTGAAGAGGGCCACGCCCCGTCCTTTTTTTGTCTGAACTGGAATCAAATTTTTAAAGTATTCTCCAAAGGGGCTGTCTTTCAAGGATCTTAAATCAATAAAAAGTATTAAAAGCTGGCACATAATAAGCCTTGCTCCCTCTTTTTTGAATTTTCACTTTCTGGATCTACCCTGGCCTATTTTTTTAAAGGGAATGTTGTCTTAGTTTAGCTACTAGAAGAATTGGTGCTGTGTCTGTGAAGTTTAAGTCAACTTCTTTTTGTCTATAATGGAACTGTCTCCAGTCAGAAGCACTGAAGTCAAGGTAGCTTATAAATTTTCATCATCGTCATCAATGCCTGTTGTTTTAGTAGACACATAAGGCCAAGATATTCTCTCTCCCAGTTTCTCTCTCTTTACCTGCTGTTTTCACTGTGCCGTAGTCACTGCATCCAACTCATTGGAGATGCAGGCTGTTAACATAAAATGTTTCATACTGGCTTGCCATCTACTTTCCTTTAGCTGCCATCCTGATACGATCATATGCAGTTACTTCAATTAATTTTTATCTTATTTCTATGTGATAATTTTATTTGAAATTTGTACCTCAATCCAGGGCTTAGCAAGCTCCACTTGTGAAGGTGGAATTGGATCAGAATGAGGTAGGGTGATCTCTTCTGGGCCCAACGGACCTGGGACACTTGGTAAATCAGATCGCAAACTATGACCAGACGATCTAAAGTAAGATAGTCAAAGATAAAAGATCGTCTCTCCTCTCAGTGTGTCTCATGTGCATATATTAATACTTTGATGATCAAAAAAAGCAGTTTTGGAGAAAAAGATTTAGCACTGCTACTAATCTTTGAAAAGTCTTAAACTTGGATTCAGTTTACATGTGATATCCATTCTTGGGAAACTGCAGGGAAAAATTCATTGAGAATCAGTGCCAATGAAGGGGTGACATAAAGACATAGTTTCATAAATTATACATTGTAACACTTAATTCAGATGAATAATACCTTTCAGTCCCATACACCCCTGAACACCAAATCTTTCGGCACAGAGGGCAGAACAAGGCTTCCCGCTGTCTTTTACATTCTGCCGCCCCTATTGAAACAAACTCCCCAGAGTTAATTGACTATAACAGCTCTAGGATAAGTGGTTACTCTATTGAATGAAGTCTATTATCTGATGGCAGACCTGTAATCATCCTTAATGAAAACATTTTCTTTCTAATCAAACAAGGGTTTTAAAAGAATTGGTGGAAATTATCAGGAAGTCAACTTTTGTATATTTGACAATTCTCAAAGTTATAAGGCTGTCTGTCAGATTCCAAGTTGCTGCATATATACAATAATTATTGGAATATTAGTAGGAGAGGAGGGAGACAACAAGGAAGTTCTTTATTTGCAGGTTCTATTTTCCTTTTGTTTCCTGTGAAAGAGGTAAAGGCAAAAGCGCACTTGAGCCAAAGACCCAAATGGCCGGAGCTTATCCTGGTTTCCTCAGCATGAAGCATGTCTAGAAGTATTGCTACTCCCCTGGACGGGAAGCTAGTCCATCACAGGGTTACCCCCCAGTAGCATGTTGCTGGTACCCATTTATACACCTGGGTGAAGAGGGACAAGGTGGAGTAAAGTTCCTTGTCTGTCGGAAAGAGCGAGGTTTGAACGCCAGATGCCTCCACTTCCTGTGAAAGAAGCCAGGAACTATGTTCATAGTAGCCAGGGGAAATCCCTTAGTGACAGCCTTGTCACAAAAAGGTAAACCAAGGAGAAGAATCTCTCCACACTTACAAATTTCCATGCAATGCTGATGAAGGCGATTATTACATCCATCCTCACAGCTCATTAAACTTTCACCTTCCACCATTTCCAATAAGCATATTGGACACGTCTCCTCTTCATCACGTGGATGGGATGACAAACCTTCCACACTGGCTGTACCTGGAGCTGGGGATGGGACCTTTTCATGTCCTTTTGATCTGGAATTTTTCAAGTCACTCGCATCCTTTGTAAGGCGTGACTCGATGTGAGCATGGTACTTAGACAGAAGTTTCTCAACCTTGTGAAAAGTTTATTAAGCAAGAAACAATATTATTATTAGATCATTTATGACCTACAAGGTTTCTCAGACCTAACAAATTCAGTTTTGATCTTTATCATAAAACCGATAAGACATCCGATTCTATGAAATCTCCATATTTGAGAATCTGCGTACAGAAATGTACATGTATGTTCAAGACACTGGTAAAAAAACTATATTGTTTTCTTTGTATATGTGTGCTTATTACTATTACATAATTAGTAACAAAAAAGAAACAATATTATTATAATGTTAATGATAAAATTAGACTTCATGTACAAAAATGTATTATTTAATAATGCACTTTAATAGTTCAATTCAAGTTACCTCAAAATTTTTCAATTTTAAGCTCCACAGAAGTGGGTCATTTTCCTTTAGTTGAAAGACCCTTAACATTACAAATAACAAATGGACACAGTGTGGTCTTGTGCAGGTACAACTCTGAAAGAAAAGAACATCAGAATTATGTGTGGAAACTGAAAGATTAGAAGTTAATCGTTTTAAAACTATGGGTTGGTCATTTCATGCTATTTGCTGATACATAAACTAAGGGAGAAGGGGTATATAAATATTTCTGTGAGCATTTGGGTTGACAGCAACGACAGATTATTTGTGTACTATATCTATGCCATCTTCTACTGTCATTCGCGAGCAGGCAACTTGGTGTAAACTAATGGCCCGGTATGAATTTGTAAGGGGGAAACAAGAAAGACCTAAGGAAAATAAGCTAAAAATTTTAGGCTCTGCTGCACGTTAACCTATAAAATGGGAGAAGTATGGATGAGGAAAATGCATGCCATATAGAATTTCAAGTAATTTCTGCAGAGTATTTAGAAACACACCTATAAAATGGGAGGAGCATGGCTAAGGAAAACGCATGCCATATAGTATTTCAAGTAATTTCGGCAGGGTATTTAGCAAGATCAGGCAACTACTCTTAAGATAGGGAATTCCCTTGACAAGATGCTGCCATTAAAATTTCAACAAATGACACTTCCTTCCCTTTCAGTTTACCTGTGGTCCAATCATAACACGGAATTTATGATCTGGTGAATCTCCACCAATCAGAAAGGAGTTGGGTCCAGTCTGTTGCAACAAGTAGAGTCTAGTAGCACGTTTAGCTCTCTCTACTTTGCGCTTAAATTCATTGGATGCTTCACACACAGGAGAGGAGCTTCGAGGAAACAAGAAGGATCCAGAATTATTGGGAGAGTTTCCTGGTGTCCGTCTCCGTGTTGGAGGAGATGGTGCTTTCACAGGCTGCAATGCAAAAAGTTTCAAAAAGTAATTTGCATGTAATGCAAGGAAGTTATTACTTTTATAGTTTCACACCTGCTTGCTATGTAAATTTGTTAGATTTTTACCTAGAATACATGGCTTAAAAGACTTTTCTGATTGCATTAGCTCCCAGATACTCAAAAACATTATACATAGTTCTTTCACCCATCATGAAACGACCTACATAACATTCACACTGTTTTCTGTTATAAATCTCAGTTAGTACATGCTTTGAGTGTGGCCTCCTTGCTCTTTGAATCCACTAAAGCCACTGACTATATTAACTGCATACCCTATTGAATCAAATGCGTGCTGCCCCCAATAATAGGTGCTGCCCTGACAAAAGTGCCAGAGTTAGGACAAAAAAGTTAATATGTGCTGTTGTCCACCCCCCCCCCCCCCCCCAATGATGCAATCAAAAGCAAGACCTTAATTCTCTTAGTTTAACACAGTAAATAATTAACAACATAGTTAACACAATTTTTTGTTGTGTTTAACTTTCAAATAAACACCGCCCTCAAATAAGCACCACATTTAAGGTGAGAAAAATTAAATAAGTGCTGTGGCGCTATTTTGCTTCAGATGTGTGGCCCACTTGCTTTAAGTGTAGAATCCGAGAGGAAAAATCTTGGACTATAACTTACAGAATGGACTTTGAACTTAACTTATGATGATAGATGCAGGTAAAATACACATATAAAATCTAGAGCACATAATATACTAACCATTGAAATAGGTGGGGCAGTATGGGATCTGGCACTAGAACAGGCAGATCCTGGTGAAGGAGGACGCGCCACCTAGCATTAAAGGGTAAAACACTCAATGATATGTTGGTAATTAACCTTTATTTATTGAAAGACAGGCTTACTTTCCTTACAATAATATTCAGTTGTTGAAAGATGTTTGACCAAGTCCCAGGGGCATTACTCTTGATTTCAAGTGATGGGGTAAACCCCCACACAGGTGTTTTTAGGATAGCTCATCTTTCATTCCTCCCCACGAACACCTGCTCAACCGAAGACAAAATTAGCCAATTACATTGTAGTTTCCGTTGACCTTGACTGCAGCGTAATCTGATAATAATACTCGATCTGCATGAAACACTGGGAAAGCTTTTTGACCTCTAATCAAATTAGATTCAGAGCGGCAAAAGAAAGGTTTAAATTGTCAAATTTTTAATACTCCATGCACTGCATAACCTTAGCGAAGGAAAGAAAAGAAGAAAAACAGTAACTCTAGGGTCACGTTTTAGTTGTGTTTAGCCTGTCAACACTTTATTTCACAACTGTTGATTGGTCACTTACCACTCAAATAAAACAATGGGAAAGGAATGTTGTCTTCGGTTGAGCAGGAGTTTGTGTGGAGGGATGAAAAATGAGCTCCCCTAAAAACACCTGCATGCGAGGCTAGTGATGGGGATGAGCGAAGGAATTTTTTTTCATTCGAAATTTTCGATTCTGGGATTTTTTTGGGTAGGAAAATTTTGGCAAATATTTTTTTGGGTGGCTTGATTTAAGGGACAGTTTTTGGGTATTCAAAACAATCTGAAGATTTGTGTTGATAAAAAATGTGCTGCCTTTGTTCTTGCAAATTTGAAAGTTCTAGAAAGAGATAGAAAGGAGAAGAAAACTAGTGCCATGTGAACTTTTTCAGGAACACAGTTATGGAAAACTGTAGACACCACTGGGACAAATTAGAAACAAGCTTGAAAAATACATCTGCTTCTTTACTTAACAACTACCCTTGCAAAATAGAGCCTTTTAAGGGATTAAAACTTGAAATACTCACGACATTTGCATAACGTGTGCCACGATTGCAGCTGCTTTAATTATTAACAAGTATGTTAATTTTAAACGGTTTTAAATAAATATTCAATAGAATCTTCCCCCACAATTTTCCAAATAAATAGTACAAATAATATTATTAAAATGATGATTTGAGAAAAAAAGGTTTTTTGTTATTTTTATCACGATCGGAAAGGCCAAGTTAAAAATGGAAATGACGATTATTCAGATTACAGTTAGCCCTAACAATGACAAAGACAAGATACATGTAAGCAAGCAAGGAATTATGTGGGGCAAGTTTTAATATTTTTCGAAAAAATGATTTTCAACAAAATAAACTTTTTAAATCGCTTTCTAGCTAAGGAGGATACACAGGAAGTCGTTTGATGTAAACTTAAAATTATTAACAACATCAACACATAGCAGGCGTGAAATGCGATGGATCGGAGTTAAACGGTTTACTCGTTCAATGAGTAAGCTAAAAACAAATCGCGAAATGATGTCTCAAATAAAAAAGCCAAGAAATATTATAAAGAGCTCTAAGGAACTGTAAAATAGTATCAGTTATAAAAAGAAGGCCAATACAACCGATATTAGTCTTACGATTACGCTTCAAGCATGCAGGATTGTAACCTGTACTTACTATAGTACACTGGACTTCACTTACCATGGGCTGCATTTTTCGCTTTTGTACAGCATCTTTCTCCTTTTTCCACGACGGCATATTTTTCAGTTTTTCTCTTAGAAGTGCTTGTTCCTCCAATATAGGCCTGAACAAAAAATAAGCAATAGTTTTCAATGTATCAAAGCAATATTTGAAGACACGATCAGACGCATAGAAGATCAATTTTTGCCGATCTCTCTTACTTCGCCGATTCCGTTATTTTCGCTGTAGCAGCTTTCTTCTCGTCTTCTGGCTTTGTCATCTCTTTCCCCTGTTTCCCAGCTTTCTTCCATTGTGGAATAATTGAATCTGTTGGGCTCTGAGCGGCCATTTTTATGGAAGATATCTTCCAGACCTCTCCACGTTTGCGTTGTTGTCGTTCCTCAGGAAGGAATCCGGTCGTGTGGCGGGAGTACAAAGCCCGTGCATTACATCATCATAAACCAATCAGGAGCGTACAATTTTCGAATTTCACGTGTTCCCGCCTTCTATTTACCAAATATGGCATTCTAATTATTCCACTGATTTTCTTTTCCCGTCGCCATGGCGGAGAAGAAAACAGGTTTCGTGGTCGCATTGTTTACGTTCAATTTGTGGCCTCAACGACCGGGATTTTAATAAGCCTTTTGTTTTTTACATCCAATACTATTTGTACAAGACTTTGCTGGTGATTTTAGTGTTGGCGTGTTTATTTCGATGCGTTTATCGTCAGTAAGCTCAACGTTTATCTCAGCTGATCTTTGGCGACGTGGGGGCCCTCAACTGTATTTTCAAGCTGAAACGTTTCTTAAGCTTTACATGTAGTTTTTACATACCTTGCACTCTGCAGCTCGATAATTTACCGAGGAAAGTTATGGCTTCAAGATGCATTAGTACGTTAAACGATCTGGATAAGATTTCCAAGAGGATCTACCACAAGCATTCAAAGGTAAGCGATGAAAGTTGGACATTGACTCTCTCGTCCAGAAACGTGGAAAAGTTAAGCAATTCATTGACATTCATTGAATGATCCCCTAACCATAATTGCGTTAATCGCCGCCTACTGTTGTCTTCTCACACATTTTGTTTGCCACATTTACTATCTGCAGGAGCGCTTTCGCGCCGGTATCGAAGCTAAACTCAAAGCTTCCAGAGACAAAGCTGATCGATCTTTGCGAGAAATAAACGAGGGATCGTCTTACAGGTCTTGCAAAACGTCAGCGGCCCATCGTTCCTCTGTAGGGTGAGATTGTTTGAAATGATTCTAACTTAGAAGATATTTGTGAGCTTAAGTTTAATAATATTTTTCAAATACTTTCTACTGTCAGAGACATATTCTTGGTGCTTTAGCTGCAATTACCAGCAATATGAGTAAATACCGTGTCAGGGTGGGGAGGGGAAGTCATAGTAAACTTTGGTTAAGAGTGAGATTTCATTAGAGCTCGAGACATTTCTTATGCATGCTCCTACATTCGTTTAACCATTTACTTGTTTGAGTTGGAGAATGTGTGTGTATCATTTTCAGTCGTGAATTTTGCCTAAAAGAACTGAACTTTTTAAGAATAACCTGACCTGATCAAATCAACATGAATTCATTGTTTTTGTCTCCTAGCACATCTAGTGTAACTTTGTCATCAAGACTTTTTTCTGCCTCTGCTTCAACGAGATCAACAACCTCAGAACACTATAACAAAGTAGTGAAGGAGAAAACGAAGTGCAAGCAGTCTACTTCCAAATCCACTGACGCTGGGAAAAAGGAGAGAATAGAAAGACGAGAAACAAAGTCTTGTCCAAGCCGTTCAGTAGATGCAAAGGTTGACAAAAAGAAAGACAAGAAAATCGATGTAGAAGAGGTTCCACGGGCCATGTCTGTCTTTGGCAAATACAATGGGAAAGGCTCGGAATGTAAGCCCACAGCTTGGTTTAACTTTCCCCAGGAAACAAGCGTCGGTGTTATTAATTCTTTTGTTTGTGATGCAATGAATGAAAAGCCAATGTGCTATTCGATAAATGTCAAGAAAGGAGAAACTGTACCAAATCTATTACGGCATAACTTGGAAGTCAGGGTAGGGCAAAATGGTGTTATCAGGACACAGAGAAAGAAAGATACAGTGATGTCTGAGGTTTGTCAAGTAGATGCTAGACAAGGAAAGAAAAGGACTGCCCCTTTATCCTGGGAAGAACAGCTTCAATGGCATGATGTAAGTATTGCTGGGTAGCAGGACTCAAAAAAACTTGAATTACAGCTTGCAGCTCTCATATTTTGCTTGCACAGGGCCACTTCTTGCTGGTCTAAGTTAATGATTTTGCTATAAGATGACTTCCTTGCTCAGCAAGAAAATCTACTTGTCCTAGGACTGAAAAATGGATGGGACTTTTTTCTGGCTGCTGCTTCTCCCTCACTACTTTTGAGGAGGAGAGAAGGGATAGGCGTAAATATGTTTGCATTTTAGGGCTCTTACAAAGCCTCATTCAGTCATCCAGGGGAAGTAGATTTTCTTGCTGGGCAAAGATTGAACATTTTACCTCTGGTGATCATTTTATTTGTAATGTCCACTCATAATAGCTACTTTAAAAGCACAAAACTCATATCCATTCTGGACTCGGACTTTAATCAACACTGCTTACACGTTACACAGAAAAACGGTATAAGAAAGTCATCACAGAATGATTCGCTGAAACAGAAATGAGGTTATTACTACAAAGGCGATATGACTGAACTATGACCAACTAAAGATGCGTATTTACAAGTTGTTGTGCCTCTGAAAGTGAACAAAACCTGATCTCATAACAAAACAATAACAAATATGTGCTCTGTGGGAAAGTGCACCCTCGATCTTTAGGTATGCGGTCACCACTTCGTGTAACATGCTCATTGTCTCCAACATTATTGATTCCCATAACTTTTCTCTTGATGACGTATTGTAAAGGTTGTTAAGAGAGAATTGATGTTGATCACTCTTGAGGCTTGAAGGTTGAGCTAACTGTTATTTTTCTGACCTAAGACCAGTAGGTGACCATGTCATGAATAATTTCCCATAATTTCAACTATGTACAATAATTTATGCACAAATATATGAGATGCAAAATCGCCAATAGCAAAAGATTGTGATGCAAAAAGAGAAAATAGATGGGGTTTGAATTAACTCAAGTCATATTTCACACCTCCTTGAGAAAAGAATCAGTTTTTAGAGTGTTAATTTGCAATAAGAGGTTCAACTCATTAATTCCTACTTTATTTTACAGGCATGTGTTATTTCAGCAGAAGCACCTACAGATAAAAGTGCATCTTCTGAGGTAAAATAAACTTTTAAGAGATATTAAAAAATGTTTAAAGTTTCACATTTGTTTTCTAGAATGATAACCATTTTTTTCTATTTAAGGGCCTGAGAGAACAGCCAACATTTTGTAACACCCCCACTGGTTTTCTGTGCAAAATGACATCTGAGGAATGGCTACAACTACACGGATCTGGCTAGTGCTTTAGATCGGTTGTGACAATGATAAGGGAAATTTTCTTCAACCAATCTAACCTGTTCCAGGCTCCAAGATAGTCGGGTCCACGGGGATTGAGAAAGCGCAACATAAAAATAAAATAGGAGGAAACGTTCTCTTTCGCTTCTTCCCCACTCTATCTTCCCACTATCTCATTCTGAGAGCCTGGAACAGGCTACAACCAACCAGAAGCACTGTCAAGATTTGGATGGTGACAAGTCATTAGTATGGAATTTATGGGCTTGTTCCAGACAGATGTCTTTTTACAGGGAAAATCCCGAAATGTCAGGTGTTGTCGGTCCAGTTGTGGATCTGTTATGGGTCTATAAGTGTTAATTTGTTTGTGTGCTGGCTTCAAAAACCACTTTTTCCTATGATGCTCACACAAGAAATTATTTTTTGCAGATAAACAGCTCTGTTTTTGACATAAATTTTTCTTTTTCATGATTTTAAACCTGCAGCTATTTTTAAAAGTGAAAAATTAGTTGTCGTTTTTTGTAAATTTTCTAGGTGAGGGTAACTCAGGGATTAATGCTTAACAAATCTGGGTTCTTGAATTTTTAAAACATAGGCATTAATAAATTTTACCTAAACTTGTTTTCAGCTTTAGATTCAAGCTTGGTTTTCACTATTGCCTTAAAAATGCCTAAGTGAAAGAATAAGAGTCCTTGTTATATTCCTAGACTTTCACTCAATTAAAAAGGGACTGCCATTGGTTGATTATTGGTGACGTGCCCTTGAATAAATTCAAATGTATCTTGGTCTTGTAACCTACCAACGTAGATGTATTTCTGGTCGTCGCTTCTCTCGACCCTAGACTAGACGTTAGGGAGCTTTAGCAACAACGACGGCGACCGTCGGACGGCAACGAGAACGGCAAAAAAAACAATAGGCTTGATTAGCAAAACAACAACTTTGCACGTGTATCACACTTTTTGGTACATTTCTTTGCCTTTACTGCACGACTACGACGTGAAAATGCCTAATTTTACGATTTATGGAGAACGTGAACAAGCGACGACGAATTTTCCTTTCTCTTTCAAAGCTTGAGTCCGGTCCCCAAGAAATCAACTGCAGTGAAATTCGCCCACATTTGACATTTTCAGTGAATTGGAATAAACGCGACTAAGTTTGAAAAAACGCCGGCGAATTCATTTTAAAAGTGACTTTTTCGCTGCCGTCGCCGTCGTCGATGCTAAAGCTCCCTGTTATTTTTCGGGTGGAGAGTAGCGATGACTGGAAATACGTCTATATTCACAGGCTACTGATCATTCTGCTCAGGATACAACAGCACGTGATAAAACCATGATGGAAAGTGCAGTGACATGAGACACGGAAAACACTGACAGTTTTCACTCTGGTGAATGTTTACAACAACACAAACATGACGCCTTCAGCTGAAGCCTCAAGCAAAGTTAAAGCATGCCTTCTGCTTGCGTTGCATTGCTAGTGAAAACTATGCTGTTGAAAGGTTAACGTAGATCGAGGGGTTTCATCATCGGACTTTCCCATAAAGAACTTAACATTTACCGGTACGAGGACATAATTAATTAATGAATAAATTAGCAACGTTCAACCGTTTTTAGCCCAAACAGTTATCAGTGGAGTCTGTTTAGAATTTGTGGTAATTAAAAATGATAATAGGAATACTGTAATGACTGAATTAAAGAATTGAACTGATAATGTCCTTACCCCATAAACATCTATAAAAGACATTGCTAACACTTTAATTTTCTACATTTTGACTCATCCAGTCAAGCGATCATAGAACTACATCAGCGGGCGAAGTATAACGTTTGCATTCATTCTTTTTCAAACTGTTAAAGGTAAATCTCAGGTTTGTGGAAATTGAATACTAAACTTTTAGCAGTGTAAGCAAAAAATATTTATTATTATAACTTATAAAACTTAAAAGTGTGAAGGGTGATGCGGGTGGGTAGATTTTGTCCCCAACACTTATCACAAAAGAGTGTTTTCAGGTCTTTCACCATGATATATCTACAATACAACTAATATTACAACTAATACCCGTTTTTCAAATAGTAAAAAATAAAAATTTGTATTGTAAACTCTCTAGACTATACATGCAAGTCCCTTGCAGCTTTAAATCAAAATGAATGAGGCAAAGCAAATAATTTGGGGTTAAACAGCCTTAAAGCAAAATTAATAAAGTAAAGCAAATATTTTTAGGTTAAATAGAATATTTATGGCGTAAAAACGTGACGATGATGATAAGGAAGTCGGTGATTGACGGGGACAATGGCGGTGATGATGATGATGATGATGATGATGATGATAGGGACCTTAAGCAAAGACGACGTCGACGGCAGTGAAAACATCACGAAAAAAATGAATTTGCGTCTTTTCAAACTTTATCGCGTCTATTTGGAACCGCTCAATTCGTCAAATGTGGGCGACGTTTCCTGGAGTTGAATTCTTAAGGGCTTTATCCATGTTCAAATAGAGAAGGGAAAATTGTCGTCGTATGTCCACCCATGTCCTCCATAAAACGTCGCATTGGGAGGTTTCACGTCGTAGTCGTGCAGTGGACGTCAAAGAAATGTACTAAAAAGCGTGATGCACGTGCAGAGTTGTTGTTTTGCTCATAGAACCAATTGTTTTATGACGTTGTTGTTGTTGTTGTTGTTGTCGTCGCTGCTTAAGGTCCCTAATGAAGATGACCACGACGACGACAATGATGATGATAATGATGATGATTAGATTTATTAGAATTATAAGTAACAACAGACCAGACATAAAACATGCATGTGATTTCGGACTTGTTCCTATTCTTTTCAGAACTTATGCGAAACACATCCAGTTGTCTTTCACGCGACGAAACCAAGGGAACAGGAAAAATGTTCGAAAGGAGACGAGGTTAAAAACCATTCATCGACTTACAAAGTGGGCTTAGAGAGCCGCTGGGTTTATCCAGATCGAAGAAACTTAATTTCTTCGGTCGAGAAGTGTATTATCTCTGTCGAAGTCGAGGATACAAGAAGCGGGGACAGGAAGGATACTGGTGAAAGAAAATGCCACACTCAGAATCTTAGCGGAAATGAAACGACGCAAGATTTTAACCTTGTTGAGAGTATTTCAAAGAAAGTTAGTTTCGAGGACGAAGGTACCGTTGCTAGTAAAACTATCACAGATGTAACGGAGAAAGATTTAAGTGATAAAAGTAAAAAGGAAATGTTGGAGGAAGATACAAAGACTTCAACAAAAGTTGATGATACTAGAAAGAGCAATTTTCAACCGGACGTTGCTGGGAAAGCCCGCCCGAAGACAAGTCACGAGAGATCGCGAAAAGATGGCGAAGAAGCGACAATGGACATTGAGAAGCTGCGACGACCGCACACAGCTCCGGCTGCTCCTCCGTCGAGCCCTAGAGTTTACTTTGATTCACGATTTAATAATTGCGTTCCCATCAAAATACCAACTTCGCAAGGGGAGGTTGAAAATAGCAGCAGTTTTTTGTCAGTGGACAATCAAGCAAGTGAAGAAAAAGACTCGTTTATTGAGCTCAATCAAAGCTCAAGTTCCGAAGATGAAAACGAAAATGATTACGGTATAGGTGAGGATTGCCCTACTTTTTCAATACAAGTATCACCGAGTTCTTGTGAAAAAGGTGCCTTCCAAGGTGACGGCGCCACACCGATAAAACGGGTAACGTTTTGTAAATCAGCGCCGATCGTAAGAACTGTACCTCGGCTTGAAAAAGCTAGAGTCCCGCGGGCGAGGTCGTCGAGTTCAAATAGACCCCCTCAGCCGATTGTTATTGAGGCGGAAACAGCACTGGAGTTACCCAAACATCTACCGCCCGCCCAAGCACTTGTAGCTCTGAGGAAGAAAATTCGCGACGATTTAGCCCATCAGAATCATGAATTGCAATTGGATATTCAACAGTTGTACTTGAGAAAACATTTAGAGTAGTAATCAATTTCGAGAACTAATGAGCTAAATTAAAGTGTATTTTTAAAGCTTTTGAATTGAAAAGTTGTCTTTTCTGATTAGTTGTTGTTTAGCTTTCTTCAATCAACAGTTGTGTCTGTGTTGTCTTTGAGAAATTACAAAAACTGAGCCAATGCAAGTCGAGGAGAGGAATTCCCCTTATAGTTTTTACCCAGTCTCTACTTGGATAATTCTTTCGTTCCAGTTTGGCTCGTTTTAGCAGTCACATTACAACCACGTTGGTAATTCAAGAGCACTGTTTTTTGCTACCCCATATTAAAAATGGCGCATCTGTTTTTTGATGGGGTGTTGGGTTAATGCATTTTTCCCTCGTAAAAATAATTAAATAAACAAATAAATGTCCGTCCCGGTTTTAATTTCCGTTGGCATTTTTTCACACTATTGTGAAATTTGTCATCAGATTCGACAATCTTGTTATCTGAGTCAAATGATAAAGTAATCATGGAAGAGGTCGACAAGCTTGTATGATTGCAATGCGAATTAGACTCCACTCTGTCTTACAGACCTAACCATAACAAAACTATGTTTAAGGAAAACATGCGCGGTATTGATACCGGTATTGATAGACAAAACAAACAAGTTTGTTTTTGGACGTGAGCAAAAAGTGTAACCCATTCAAGTGCAACTGTTAATTACACCGTGGGTGATGGTCCGTGCCTCTGTCAGTTACGTCTTAGATCAGGACTGTAGCCAATCAGATTCGAGAATCTTGTTATTCTTTATCAAAAGCTTCGTTTTTGTATAAATTGAACTCAGTTTGTACAGAACTTGCGTTGCAAACTAAGAGGTCGATAGGTTTGTTCAAATGATACATCATTGTCAAAGAATTCCACCGTTAGCCCATTGCGTGCGCCAGAAATGTTTCGAGTCCAGATCAGTCTTTGGATTCACTCCAATACCATTAATTACGCACTAACCTTTATTGTCTATCTGTGCACTCTTCTTAATAGGATTTAAAAAGTTAACCCTCTCCACTACAATTAGTTGTTGAGATCTGAAAGCAGTTTTCTAACTGTTGAGTCTCCGGACAAAATCCTTTGACTTTTCAAATGAAACCTGTTTAGGAGTACGTTTCGATTTTCATTGTCTTAAAAAGTCAATTTCCGCTTTTCTCGTCGAATGCCGACACTGTTTCGTTTGACGTAACTGTTAAACAATATATGTATATACAAGCAATAAACCTTTAAAATAATCCCTTTTCTTTTGTTTAGACAATCAATCTTAAATTACTCTTCGATCTAAAAGAAACACGTTATGATAATTTAAAAAAAAAAGTGCAAACGCTTTATACAGTCAGTTAAACACACTAACATTTGTTTAAGATACAAAGCAGTTCACTAATTTCATTGTTTATTTGTAATTGTGACATGCTTGTACGATCATTACCATTCAGGTGAATCATTGCTCATGTTCGAATTCATGTCCATGGTCTCGCTTGAGTACTTTCCAGATCTTAAATACCGTAAATCTTTTACATCTTCCAGTTGTTTAGAAAGCGGTTTCTTGTTTGTTAACTCGCGAGTTTCAGCGGGCGTGTACGTGTGCGATTTCAAAGTAAGCACCGGAGAAATCGGTGCTGACTGCTTTCGAACGGGTAAACTTACATAACGTTTTCTACTTTCTAGTTCATGTTTGTCAACGTTGAAGTTCCGTGCCTGTTCTATATTCGAGAGACTTCTTGGTCGATTCCCCACAACTTTCCTGTGTTCGTTTTCACCCGCCATTAATCGAATATGTTCATCTGATTTCTGTCTACGGGGTAAACTTAGATGTAAGCATTTGCTGCCGTCTTCGCCCTGTTTAGCGGCGTAAAAGTCCCATGACTGGTCAATGTTTGAGTGACTCCTTGGCCGATTTCCAATGCTCATTCTTTGCTCTTTTCCTCCTTCGTTTTCTTGAAGATGTTCAGCAGATTTATGTCGAGTCATCTTCTCCAGCGCTAGTTTTTCTTGTTCTTTAACTGCTTCTACCAAGTCTGAGAACGATCGGGATCTTCGGCGAGCAAGAGGCGTATGCCCTTGATTCAGAAACGGTAGACCTGACGTTTTCCTTTCAAGCGGTGGAGAGATAGGGGGCGTTGAGGATGGAGAAAACTGGCGACGAGTCGATCCAGTTTCATCATTGTAAGCCACCTTAATCGCTGGAAGCTTCGTCTTTATCATACGAACAAACCTCGCTTGCTCGGCGTTCACTATGTGGCATTTTGCTTTAAAGTCACTCTCAAGTGTTCCAAATGTAGACTTCAAAGTCTCTGATTGGCCCTTGTTCGTTGCAAGGGCTCGTTTGGAAGTTTCAGTCAAGACTGACTGATGACGCCTTAATTCCATTCTCCGTTCGAAACAGTTCTTACCAAAAAGATTGAGGCCGGTGTGTAAATTAAGTTCCGCTTCGTTTGAAAAGAAAAAGGAAGACGGCAACTATTGCGTGATCGCTAAAGCAGCTTTTTCATGGTCTCTTAACCAAATGAAACTTTAAATAATGCAGGCATGTAGCTCCCACGCATTTGGATTGGTTATCGCCTTTAATCTTTCAAATCAAAATAGATCACATTTGCCGTACCCCTCTTTCGTATAGGTTACCAATGACGTAATGTAAATAAGAACAAAAATGCTATCGGGTTAACAGAGTTTGACTTCACCTGCCCAGCCAAAACCAAACACGGAATTATTTCACACACAAGAAACGAAACTGTTCTTCCGCTGTGCTCGGGATCTAGATTCTCATGCACCTCTCTCTCTCCACAGAGAGCTCTGTTAGGGAGTTTAAGCCGGACTACGACGGCGACGTTTAATTCGTCAAATGTTGGCAAATTATTTCGGAGTTGAATTCTAAAGGACTGTGTCAAAGTTCAGGAAAAGAAAAAGAAAGTTGTTGTCTTGTGTTCCCGTCCTCGACAAACGTCAATTTAGGCACTTTCACGTTGTGGTCATGCAGTGACGGTATAGAAATGTACAAAAAAGCGTGATGCACGTGCAAAGTTGTCGTTTTGCCGTTCTCGTTGGCGTCCCCGTCGTCGTTGCTTAAGCCCCCTTTTGTGTCGCACCCGAGCACTTGTTATTTTTCAATTATTGCCATTTTTATTGGGATGCAAAGCGGGAGCCTCCGTCGAGGAAAGAGATTCTTCCTCGTTTGGACATTTTTTGCACACGGAAAAAAGGCGGACCAGAAACCGAAAGTGAATACTGTTGGCTCTTCCGCATCTCTTCCAAAGAGAGGGTGGGGCCGAGGGTGTATTATTGAGATAACCCGAAGTGTAGGAAAACAACAAAAAGAACAAAATAATTTGCAGTGTTGGTACAATCACCAGAAATAATAAGCGCACATTTTGACTTGTAATTTCTTCGAGGCGCCTGTGAAGGACAAAAACGAAAAAAAAATTACAAAGCAAACTTCTGAAAGAGCCTCACTGTTGATCTATGCACTCTTGGTTTTATATTACGCAAATGAAGGATCTAATTCAGTGCAAATGGCCTATATCTTCTACATTTTCTGACATTTATCACTACACATGTGGCACTATGACATGTATCTGTGCAGTTAGACTGCAAGTAGTCTCTTATTTTTATTTTGAGACACGGTTGAATGCAAGCACAAGAAACAAGGGCACGGTCGAGGGGTGAGCGATGACTCCCGTGAGAAACAATGGTGGCTCCCCCCTTTTTGCCATTAGTTTGCATAATTTTACCTTTTCGCTCGCTGCGCATGGCTCTGAGGAAAGATGGACGACCGCTTGTGGTGTACTGTTCAGTTAAGGATCACAGAAGATATACCAAAATGTAGTACGAGCCACTAACATTGTCTGTGATTTTTAAGTGAAAAGACAGAAGGCAAAGTAAATTTGGGGGTTCCTTCACACTTAAAATCAACATGTGAAAGGCTGGAACCCAGGAGTCATTTCATAAGTAAGTTGAACATGACCGTCCGGGTGAGAGTAGTCCTGAATATGACTGTTGATAACACTGAATGATGCTTCAAAAACCTGTGCGGTAGTCATCTTCTGAGACAAAGCGAGTTGTATCACATCAAATGTAACCGGAGATCCGGCCCAATTTAAGCGGTTCTCATACATTCTCTCTAATGGCTACCGCTACCGCTCGTTTTGCCTTGCCCACCGGCATGTTATTTACAAAGTGAAACAAAAATTGAGCCTGATCTCAGGTTACATCAAAATGATGGTAATATCAAACTCTGGTTTTTGACCTGATTGGTCCATTAATTTGTGATGCAATGGTAATCTGTCAGTCAAGCTGTGATGTTATAGGATATGGAAACTTAAGATGTCATTGGTGCATTTCGATTCATCTATTATTACAGTTTAACAGTTGTTTACTGTTAGTCAATTTGTAAGTTGTCCAGTCATTAGATCTGGTAGTTAGTTTTGCTTGAGTCCGTCAATAAGTCGTTCTAAGTACGGTGCCGGTAACTGTTGACTACAATTCAAATCAACAGGCCACACAAATTTCGTTGTTAGAAACAATTTTTATTACATGTACATGTTGCTGGAATTGTTCACTGGCTTGCGGCACTGGAAGTGGCAGCAGCACCACCCCTTCTCTTCTGAGATTTGGCCTGACTCCCCTCCCGGAATCCGTTCTTGAAACGGCGGTAGACAATCTTCAAGTGTCGCATGCGGCCAGTCCCTGTTGTCTTCCTGCGGTTTGCCTTAACACTCCAGTTAACTGAAAACAACAACAAAAAAGCATATCAGATTTCATCTTGCCCATGATTAATTTAGACCGGTTTTTTCCTCAAACACTTACTCTTTCTGTTTAAAATAAAATCTTGGGAATTACTATGGATTCCAACAGAGATCCCCAAAGACCATTGAAGATTTTAAAGCTTAATTGTTAAGCAGTTACCAAGGCAATAAGGAATCTTACTATCACCCTATGTCCGGCATTCCAAAGTACATTAAGCTTCTGATTCAAAATGTGGCTGAGCTTCACATATTCCACAAGCTATACTTCAAACACTTAGCATCACATTTCTTGTCACTGTACTATGCAGTCAAGCACAAGAAATACTTCTGCTTCCTTGGTTTACAGTACATACGGTTAATTGCATGTCCGTTCTACAGGGTTTGTACAGATTTTGGGACTGACAATTTTCGAGATTTTTTCCAAAACAATAATTTCTTTTTCCAGACTCAAGGTTTTCAAAATTAATAGGTGTTCAACAGAGACCTTAAACAATGTAGGAACAAAGCTTTTTTTCATGATGAACTGCAAACGGACAGGCAAAATTGAATAAGATTTGACAATAATACACAAAGACCTACATATACATAGAAGCAAAAGGAAGATCAAACTGAAAGTGGATGCCAGAAAAAAATTACATGTACAAGGAATTCATAACTAGCTACAAGCACATGCATTCTCTTCACTGCACTAGCTAAAGTGGAAAAAGTGAAGAACAGCTCCCCAAAAACTGTCAGCTGACTGTTGGCCCACAGTAGGTAGACTGTCGTTTTCTGTCTTACGTGAAGTTTTTCTGCCAACTGTCGGCCGACTGTGGGGTGATTGTTGGCCGACAGCTGGTGACCTCAACATAAATCCTCTACTTAAATCACTTATTAATGTAAAAACACATCACGAAACAGTAATTACATTTCCTGGTTCTAGAGCGTGGGTATCCACAGGATGCACATCTTTTTTTCTGGATGTGGTATGCTGACCGTCCACAGCGCACACACAGAGTGTGTGTCTTGTTATGGCGCTTACCAAAACTTGATGTTCCCTTAGTCTGAAATACAAATTAGTGTCCCGAGATGACTACACAACATGGTGGCTATGGTGATATTGTTAAGAAGTTCAACAGACATTTGATGGGGAGGAATGGCTTGCGAAAAAACGCTAGGTAATAGTAGGACGCTTACAAAAACATCTAAAACATTAGACATGTGCCATAGATCCTATTTGTCCTTCGCAGCACGTCAAGCTATTGGCAAAAATCAACACGCATAGTATCATACACGAACGTAAGCTGGCTGGTTACGCATCTACAAAGAAAATTCATGGCCATTTCACCACGAAAACACAAGTTGCAAGGGATTTTATGAGTTCCTTCACATTATTTTCAGGTTGTGAAGACTCCGTAACCTCCCCTGCCACTTTTGACCATTTTAAAATCTTTTCAAGCCATCGTAGAACAGCATTACTCCACAAATCGAACGAAATAACATTATTCTTTAATTAAATCGAATTAGATTTAAATATCAGTCGTTCTGTTACGAGATGGAAACGGATTTTCACCCAAGGTTTACGGAAAACTCACCATTTCTTGATAAGGCCGTAAAAGAGAGGACGGCTTAGAAGCCAGGCCAAGGACTTATTCCCATAACGCGCTGGGGCCTTTGTTTGAGCCTGCAATGACTGTGCATAAAACAAAGATGGCGCGGAACTGTGAAAAGAAGCTCGTTGGGCTTAACCGATTATGGCTGGAAAAACAACGAAAAGGTTCAAATTTAGAACTTATTTAAGGCATCATTAGTTGGTAGGAGGGCTCATTTAACTTCTTTGTCATTTGATTGCAGATGAGCTGGAAAAAAGACCAAAAAGACCACATCTAGTTAGTAGCCTTGTAAGACTGCACTTCAGGTGCATGTACACTGCGCTAGATTTAGTCAAAATTTTCTTTCTTAATATCTGTCTTAAGCTCATTCTGCACGTTATTAATTTCTTGTAGAGCTCATTAAACAGCGCTTCAGAAGTAAAAAAATGGATTCCGGGCATCAAAAGAGAAATTGATTATTGTCTAGACGTAAGTTAATTTTAATTTTTATTTTTTTGCAACGGTGATTTTTTTTACAGCGGTAATAGGTAAGTTCACATTTTATTACCCCTGTCACCTTAACCCTAAGAGAGCATGACTTTGATTATTTTTTTTTCTAAAAGCCCCTCTTAAAAGCTAGGAGTACCAGGTGATGCACCGTTCTTTTGAAAAATTGATTCCAAAATTCCCAATTAGAGAATGAAATAGAGCAGAATGCTTCTGAATAGAGATTATGATAATGACATGCACACCGTCCAGACAAGAAAAAAGACAGTGATACCAACCGTGGTGGACAAAACACTGACCTCCATTCCATGGACTTCTCATATGGACTATACTAAAATGGATTAAGCTTAGCTGCTGAGGTTTAGTTAGTAGCATTTCGGAAACTGCGTGAATCAAGTTTCAGGTCAGTTTTCCCAGTATAATGACCGTAAATGGAACTTGATTCACTCAGTGTTTTGACCCTAATCCCTAAATTTCAGCGGCATATTCCATTTGTTGACTACCAATACCAACAGCCCCCTAGCAAAACATAACATGATTTCTAATAAGTCATAAGTCTGACAGAACTCTTACAGTTCACACATTATCTTCTGTTGGTGTTTGTGAGAAGGGCCAGAGGTTGGATGAAAAAAGAGACTGTCCCGACATTAAAAATTCTTTACTGTTGTGCTTAACCTTACAACAGCAAATATCTGGAGCCAGACAACATCGTTATCCTGATACAAAAATGAAGGAATTTGAAAGGAAGGTTGAAGAGCTTGAGAAAGAATATAAAAGGTATGCTGGGATCAGTCAGTGGAGGCAGGTTTTTTTATTGTCACATTCTGGATCAGAGGACAGATCACCTAGCTACTGATGAATAAACATGTCTGACAAAAAGGTTGTCCAAGCCCAAATCCTGATAAATTTTTTAGATTGAGGCTTCTCATTTATTATTTATACCCGGTCTTTCACAGAGTGAGATCTGGGTACAAGATACTGTAAGATTGAGCGGAGAATAGTTACTATAGTTAAGACAATGATCTACACTGGTGACCTGTGAAATGCCACCTATTCCTCTCTTTTCAAAGAAAAGTGTTGTGTACCCCTCAGCCATGTTACCCCTTGTTTTATAGGATTCAAACATTCCTCTCAATTTACAGGTTTGTAAAGAAAGTTTACGAGTTAGATCCAAGTACAACAGGTATACCATGGCAACCAAGAGGGTATACCAGTAAAAGGAAGAATATGGAAAGCTATTCAGCAGAAACAATACCAAAAAAGATTTGTACACCACTTATAGATGAGGAGGTGGGTGAAAGCAAATTTTTACCACCTGGCTTAGTTGTTCCAAGGCAATAAGTACAAATCCAGGGTTAGATACCATGACAAATCATTATGCTCTGTTTGTCAAGCCTTGATAACCATTACTGCCCTGCCACCTGGTTAGCTTAGTTGGGAGAGCCCCTATCTATGGAGCTGGAGGATGTGGGTTCAGACCCTGCCTGGACCAGCCAGGAGGCCCTGCCAGGGTAAATTCTGACAAGTGACATGGCCCAAAAAGTAGCGAGAGTACGTAAAATGAAATCGCGACAAGAGACAACCCCCCTCAGCCAAATTGCGTCAGTGACGGCAAAGCCGACAATAAGCAACAAGCATTTATAAACACCAATACGAGACGTTTTAAAATTCAGATGGGCGACATGTTATTTTCCTTTAAAATACTGAAATAAACTTGAAACTTCGAGACTGATGATATACACACAGTATACATATTATACAGTTACGTTTTAATACTTAGAGGAGTTTTCTGACAGAGTTTATTTTCATGTTTATTTATTGTCTTTAATAAAATTTGTGATGTTGTTACAGGGTCCTGATCTTAAAAGTGGCTCAGATGATGTGGAATTAATCACATCAAAAGGAGCTGATGCCAAGTCTGGATGTGTATTGAATGATATGAAATTAGTCCAATTAAAAAGGTAGAGTATTATCTTTAGCGATGTACCATAACTCGTAAAAATTCCTGAAAATTCATTAAAAAAAAGTCTCGGGGAGCATAATATATTTGTCCTTTCGTTGGTTAACTATAATGGATGAGGCAACTTTTAAAGAAAATTTTATGTGGCTATAAATGTAATATAGGCAAGATTTAACCATGAGACTATGCTGGGCAGCGGTCAACATCACTAATTGTATGTGGGGTGGTCTTGGGCTTTTGCAGGGCTCTACACTGTAATAATTTTATTGCGTTTTCGCTGAGGTCAATTGTTTTGCTTATGTTACTTTTGTGGGCAGTAGCTTGAGCCATTTTTTCTCCAAGCCTCTTCCTTTCCTCTGGATGTTTTTTGGCAAGTATCTATGTATATCTTTACTGAGGTTCTCAGTGTGATGGTGCCTGGTGGGTGCCACTCACAGGGTTGTCATGGTTACCTTCTAGGAGCACTCACAGCTCCCTTCAGTTTCACCAGGCATCTTCCCCCACCCTATTGTCCATGGGTTTTAATGCCCATCTCACTGGGATTGTCCATCAACGTGTTGTATCAACATTTTGTGATTTTCTTTAACAGTCTTGTAGGACTTGAATATGATTCTTCCAGTGACTCAGACATTTCTTAGTTTTACAAGTAAACACAAAATCAAGATAAGAAGGACACAGCAAAATTTGTAAAAAAAAGTAAGTAATGATATTGTTGTATTCCTACGCAACCTTCTTAATTAAAGCTTGACATGCAAGCACTCCTTGCCCCCCCATCTCGCCCCAAACAATGCTTGACCTAATGTGTCATAAGAAGGCCGTCTATGTAGGCAGTTAAGGACTTGTTTTTGACATTATTACTTGTTTTATTTACTGTACCTCTCTTTGGGTTGTCAATCTCCTCCCTCCTCCTCATTCCCTTAATTGAGTGAGAGGTGGATGAAATTAGATTAGCTAACAAATCTTTTACTTTTTTTTCTGAAACCTCCTCACTCACATCGTCTGGTATGTTTTCCATATCTGTCTTCACAAGTTTAGCTAAAAATTAGCCTGCTCTAGGCATTCAGATTTTGGAGACAATGCAAAAAGATGTAAGCAGGAAATATTTGTTTCAGTTAATGCTTGATCTCTGTAGCCTTGTTGTATACATACTGCTGAGGGTAAACTAAATCATCAATATTTGTGCCTTTTTCTGATTATTGATTGACATTTTCGTGTTTCATCCTCTTCTAGGTTTTCAAAAATTGGAAAAAGTTATAAAAATGAGATAATTCTTTGGGTGGATTCATTTGCAGCACACACATATAGCTGTCGTATTTTCCTGCTGGAATTTTTTATTGTTTTAAGCCTAAAAGCAATAAAAAATTCTAGTGGATGAATGTGACAACCGTACAAGGATGTTGCAAATGAATCTACCCTTCCTATAAGTAAACATTAATTCATAATAATTTATCTTATATATGAAAATTCTCCAGTCTCGACTGACTAAAGTTATAAGTTGTATTGTAAATACTTTGTAAATATTCAGTCAATAAACCAGTGTTTTTCAAAGTGTGTAACATTTGAGTATTACACGGAAAATCGGAAGGTAAAAAATTTGTAAAGCAGGTTGGGTTTGGTTGGGTAATTTTATTTCTGTACGTAAGACGTGCAGCGACAGATTACTCTTTGTTAGCAGCTAAGATATTATTTGTTTTGTTTTCGTTTTTCTTTTTCGGTCAGATTCATGTCAGCTGTTTGTATCCTTTAGAACACTCCGCCGCACAAAACAGCCACAAAACGTCGTAGCACACAAAACGTCGTAGCAACGCAACTATAATCTTCGCTTACAAAGTCGCTGGTTGTCACGCAATTCATTCACCCAAAACATAGTTTTATAACCCCCAACACGAGCGTGTCAGCCTTGCTTTTTATCTCGCATGAAGAAAAATGTTCAAGGCTTGTTCGCAGGCATCGGCAGAGCGATCATATGGGAATCGTAAATCGCATCAATTGTGCTAAGTTTGATGCATGTTTATGTCTTTTATAACGTAGTTCTAAAAATAGGATTTACGTGGTGGAGGTTTGACAACCGGAAGTTGACAAAAATTGCCACGTCGATAAAATTTGCGTTGAAAAGCAGCTGCTGAATCGCTTCGAAATCAAAATATATATAATATACCCGCTAAGACGTGTTCATTCGCTCAACAATTTTTAGGAAAACTACTGGAAAGCACAGATCGGACGAACGACAAACGGAAACATGCGCGATTCTCAACAAGATAGTTCGCAATTGATTTCCGGTTTAAATTCTGAGAAGACGTTTTTGGAAACAGCGACTTATCCCATTCGGTTTTTGCTCAAGTTTTACGAAACGACAATGATGGAGGTGAAAGAAATAACTGTACAGCCATCAAAAGGAATTGCAACTTGGACGCGAGCTGATGTCGGCAAAAGAGTTATCGTCAGAGAACCTTTGACATCGGAATTCGGTTTCCACGAGTTACCGGTGAGCGAGTCTGGATTGTGCTGTAGTGTTGCTTGGGGGTTCTATAGTAACATTTAATATGAGAGAGTGAAAACTCCAGTTTCATGAAATAATAGGAGTTAGCTGGTCAGATAGAGAGTTCTTCGCAGCTACGAGTTTGCAGAGGACCGAAAGTTACGAAATATCAACATATATGTTCATTGTAGTGTAATGTGATTAATTTTTTCCCAAAAAATATTTCTTTGTTGTACGTCACGCAACTGGTTATGGCGAATAATAGTTAATAGAAAAAGAAACAGATAGATAGATAGATAGAAACTTTATTTATGTGTCAAGAAAGAAAAACTAGCCGAGGGGCAGGCCCTCTACTAATAGGGGACACCTACAGTTAAAATATAATAGATATTTAGTTTTTTGAAAGTATTTACTTAACAAATAAATGGTGCTTCAATTTTTTAAATGTAGAATTTAGTATAATTTAGGTTCCACTTCAAAAACTATGCATTAGCAGGTTTGTACATTCTAGCATTTCAAATTTTACTTTTGTTTTCTTATTAAATACAAAGATACCACAAAAGTGATTTATATAATTCATTTATGTTTCAAACAGTTAATTATTTTTAACTGGCCCAAAAACTCTTCTTACAGATAAACTTGCAACTTAAAATATTCTCTTACTTGGATGCAAAATCAGTTTGCACAGCAGCAATGACATGCCACTACTGGAGCATGCTCAGTGAGGATAAGGTATTATGGATGAACCTGTTGCAGCGCAACATGCACAAATGGAGCAGTATGGGATACCAGTCATGTCCGTCCACATACTTGGAGGCCAGGTCTGATTTGACATTAAAGCAAATGTAAGTTAATGAATGCAGAAAAATAATTTGAGTGGTTGTTAGAAGTGGGAGTAGAACAGGCTGGGAGGGAGGGTCCCCTAGCTTTTTTTCTTGATGATTATAATCAAGATGATCACCAAGTTCCAGATCGAGGCTAAAATCTTGACTCTTGATTGAGAGCAAAAACTGCGGGCAGGGAACAAATTGCTTGCCCATTGGGGCAAGGATGGGAGAGTGATGTAGATGGGGTTGGGGGAGGATGGAAAAAACTTCAAATGTAGAAATGTATAAAACAAAATAACATTCATTTTTTATGATGATGATTTGTAAGGCAGTAATATTTTCATTTACAAGGAAAAACTATGGTCAGGTCCAACTACAGGTATTTACCAGTAGGGCTTATCAATTTTATTATGGGTTATATCATTTAATTCTATAGACCCTTAGTCTCCCTCGCAGCCGTTTTTAGTATCGTCACGCAACGCTCCTCCCCACAAACGGCCATTTGTGGGGAGGAGCGTTGCGTGACGATACTAAAAACGGCTGCGAGGGAGACTAATAGATCCTGTGCTAGTTTTATAGCCTGCATGGCAGGCATTTAAGGGGGCTGGGGAAGTAGGAATTTAGGTGTGCCAGAGCACAAGGGGTGTATGAGAAGGGGGAAAATTAGGAACACCTTCAATGACACTATTGTTTTATCCAAACTGCCCGCTATTGTTATGTAAAAGATAAAATGACTGTACTGTGAAATGTCTGGCTGTCAAATGATGTCCCCTCCTTGTGTGCCCCTTGTGCTTTTGCATCCCCTCCCCTTTTCCCTTTTAATGTCTGCCGTGCAGGCTAGCACTAGTCTTCTAACCAATCCTAATGACTTTTTTTATGAGCCGTTCGAACGGTTTGGTTACCCGTTCGGACTTTTTTATGAGCCGTTCGAACGGTTTGGTTACCCGTTCGGAATTTTTTATGAGCCGTTCGAACGGTTTGGTTACCCGTTCGGAATGTTCTACGACCCGTTCGAACGGTTAGGCTACCCGTTCGCAATTTTCCCCGAGCCGTTCGAACGGCTAAGCTACCCGTTCAGAATACTTAATCACCCGTTCGAACACTCATTGAAACCCGCTTAAAACGGCTTGGTGACCCGTTTGTAACCCGTTCGATGGCCGTTCATTTCACCCGTTTAACGGAAAGTCGTTATAGTACGTTTTCGCGTGAAAGGTCACATGTAATCTTACTCCAGCTAATTGTTATCTTCAGATACCTAAGATGCTGCCCAGAATGTAGATCCTTGAGAAGATCAAGACAGTCTGGTTTCAAGTCAGTTGTCTTCTACAACTTACAGAACTTGTCATCCTTCTTCAGACGGAAATCACCACGTGTTGTTATGTTTGGTCCTGGTTTGGAATGTGATGCAAGAGGTCTTGTACGTCAACTCCTCCATGATCATACATCACCCTTTGAAATCATGGGCATGTTCCCTGGGCAGTTTGATGGTAAGTTAGATTTCCACTGCCTAATTGCTTTTATTTGGTTTGATTTTCTGCTACTCTTAGGATTTCTCCTAGTTTAAGGAAAGGTCAAAATGTAAAACTGTTTACCTAATAAGTTGATCAAGCATATTTGGCTTTCTGTTTTTAGGTACAGGTTCAGGGCTTTGCTTGAAGTTTGAAAACATGGAATTCAACCTCATCACATTGTATGCATCAAACATGTAAGTGCATAGAAAATCAATACTTTACTAAGAATAATTACTATAATATGATTTAGGGAAACTGAAGTTAGCTACTCTGCTGGTAGAGGAATAATCTTCTGATTCTTTGGTAAGAGAGCAAAATAAACTGCCTATTTAACAAACAAAGCTACCTCCTTCATAATTTTCTGACTTCTTTTTATGATGATGTTAAAGTATGAGAATTTGTATGTTGCTGTTGGGTTGATGGCTTAGCTGAGATTTTTAATCACCGGTACTCGCCCAGTAAAAATATTTGATGATCACAGAGTGATCACAAATAACGCTCATGATCACTGACATTATCTCTCCTTTTCTCGTGATATCACACTTTTGCAATGGCGTAATCAAGCCGCTATAGGGGAGTGATACGACCCGTGATCACCCTCCTGGCCATTTGCATGCTTTACAGATGGTGTTGTAGACAAGTACAAAGCTTTTCAAAATAATTTGTTCCCTTCTAAATAATCATTGCAGGAAGGAGAGGGAAGCAAATGCAAGACTGGGAAGGCCGAGGTTAAGTAAACTATTGGTTGATGTTGAAGATGCAGAGGACGGTGATGACGAGTCTCAGCAGAGTGACACAAGATTAAGACACACAGTCAGAGAACTCTGTAAAACCGTTGATGCTTTTATATATGTAGTGGATGCTTCAGCAGACTCTCAAAGAGGTAGCGATATCATTACTGCTATTTCTAGCTGGATTTGTAAAAACATTACTGCCAAATAAACCTCTACCATGAAGCCGTTTTTTTTTTGTTCAAAAACCATCACCAATGTAGCCAATATAAAAAGTAAGAGTGTAACCATCCCTTTTCTTTTCTTCTCTTCCTATCTTTCTCCTTTCCTTTTCCTTTGTTTGTGTAATTTTCGGTCTTATCAGAATTTTGGCAGCCCATTTTCATTCAATTGGCTGCAAATTTTGCTAAGTTTGTTTTAAAAAATCCAGCTAGATTTGTGTTATCATTGCCGTATAATGATTTTGTTCGTTCTAGTGAAGTCATTTGAATTGGCAACCAAATTATTGATCTTGACTAGTTTCCTGTTGCAGAAAAATGACAAAAAATAAAGACTTAGACTGAAAATATAGTAAATCTGTTTCAAATAAATTTATTGATATCATTTTATTTTCTAATAGAAAGTTCTGGTCATGTAATCATGTCATTAAGTGCCCTTTTTATTGTGATGTATGCAATTCTCAAAGGAAACTCATCATGCAATAAATACTGTATATTTTGTCTTTTTAAACAGTGAACTTGGGTGACAGAGAACTTTCAGCCATGTTAAATGAGAACTGGACACAGTCAGATGCTCCACTCCTTGTCCTCTCAACTGTCTCAACAACATCAACACCTTCTTTATCTTGTGCTACAGTTGTGGAGCTACTACAGCTTAGAAGATTTAACAGGCCATGGCAGGTTAGCTTAATCCATATTTTGCTCAATGACCTACAGGTTCAGGTTCTCCTTATAAGGCAGTAACTGGTAAAATTTACTGGCCTAAAGAAACACTTCTTACCCCCTGCAACGGCCTGAAGGTTTACTAAAATTAAAGAAGTACTTTTAAAAAGTACACAAGTTGTGATCCGATCCGATTCTCACATGCCATGAGGAAGTGAATAAATATGTCGAAAGTACTAAAGTATACACAGCTTTTCTTTTTGTGGGCCATGCATTTTGGAAAGAGAACATTGAAGGCAGAGTAAAATTACTGGAATCAAATTATTTAAATTGTTGTGTAAAGGTAACAACGGCCTATTTGCGTAGAAAAGGTCTTAAAATGAAGGAATGACATTTCAGAGAACTTAGCTCCTGAGCTAAAATTTAGGGAGAACACTGCAAGTTACAGTAGAACCCCTCAAATGCAAACTCCCAAGGGAAAAAATACATCACAACATGAGTACAAGGTCTTGACCTTGTAGTCGGGCTGCACCGGCACCGTGCCCGAATTCTAGCATGAGTACTTGAAAAAAGGGTGTGTTCACATTAGTGCCCAGCTAGTACTGTACTCAGGCACCATGCCTGGGCATCAAGTGTGAACACTGCCTAAGTGTCCACCTAGGCAGCTGTCCATTAACCCTTTAAGCCCCAAGATCCACATGCAAATTCTCCAAACTGATCTCCATACATTTCTTTTAAGACTAGTTGAGAGAATTTGGTTTAAGATCAAAGCATTCTCCTTTTGATAATTAAATTAGTAATTCTCATAACCTTTACTCTTGATGATCTGCTTATGTTGTTAGGAGAAAATTGATGTTGATCACTCTTGGAACCTAAAGGGTTGATTGAGGGTTAACTGTGTTTCATACTTAGTGGATAACATCAAGAAAAAGAACAACAGCAAATAAAAAACAAAAAAAGTTCAAAGTGAGAATGAATGTTTTTTCCTTTTTTCAGGTTAATTCAGCATGTGTTGAAAACTTAGATGGTATCCATCCTGGAATTAAATGGCTTCTGACCTCATGCAGTTGAAGAAAAAAAATGCTCGTCTCATGGGAAGAAGGCAGAATGAAAATTTTTCTTTCTACAATGAAGTGATAATGGATTGTAACATTGGTGTAAAATAAGTATTAGTATTACTTGTTGAATGTAGTTAATTTAATAATGCAGGGACTTGAGAACATTTTTTAATAACACTGATAGTGTATAATAATATTGATAGTGTACAGTTCTGTTTGTGAAGGTATTTAAATAAAAACAAATGTTTCATGTAACATTATTGAGCCCATATTACCTCTTGCTCAGGTATCACCAAGTGATTTGCATTTTCCTCTCTGGCCAGTCAACCTTCTGTGCGAGAAAGTCATGTGTCCACATCTTCAAATATTGAGAATTGATAGGGCAGGGATGATGAATGATGTCATAATGCAATTAAAGGCACATGATGTCATTTGTGCAAAAAATACCCTTTGACTCCTATTGTTACAAAACGGACGAAAAGATGTTGTTGCCGTTGTAACATGATTGAAACTTTATTGCCCCAAAGTCAAGTCTACTGAAAAAATGACAAACTTTGGTGATTATCCAGGAGATTTCATCTCTTAACCTGGAGAGCATAAGATACGGTCCAATATCTGGAGTCTCCTAGCTTATCCAGGAGACTTGGCAGCACTGTGTGTTTGTTCAATAGACCTTTTTGCATGTTATTTATTATTCTTTTATGGTTCTGTTACTGTGAAACTCACAAAACTGTGAGCACCAGAAATATTTATGGAAAGTTACTGTATTGCGAGAAATGGCCAATAAGGCACGAGATAACTAAACCGCAAACAGCAACGGTTATAAGTTTGTGGTTTTGAGGTTTGCTTGGTTATCCTGAACTTTACTGTGATTGGTCAGTACACAATCGACATTCCTGAAATTTTTCAGGTGTTTACGGTTTTCTGCGTCTGACAGTAATTGCCCTCCAAGGCTCGTTTTCCTGTTTTCTTTGTTTTGTAGTTTGCACAGGTAAGCGAGGATATGAGGTCAATAATAATAACGTACATAAAAGAATAATAATTGTTCAAGTAGCATGAAAAAGTCTCTAAAGAGCAATAAACGTTCAAGAAACTAGATATCTCATGTCTTCGTAGATAATTTCGGCCATTTTTTTGTAGCCTTCTTCAGTAAAATGCAAGCCGTCACTCCATAATTTTTCCAAACTTGCTGCACTCAAACTTTGCTGAGGAAATTTCTCCGCTAAATCACACAATATTATTTCACCACCACAATCCTTAATGTACGCCCTCAACTTTCCATTCACTTTTAAACGAATATTGTCCCCTGCTTCTTTCACCCAAGACGAACCATTCTTTCCCAAGTCTTTGAGATAAACATCTGTTTCAGGAATTGTTAGAGCAACACATTTTGCACCGTGCCCATTTACTTCAGAATGCAGCATTAAGATCTGTTCGAAAAGGGTGTCTTCCAAGCCTTCTTTAGGCTCAATGATGTCGTTCGTTCCTCCCAAAATAATCACTATATCATACGGTCCGTATTCGTTTAAAACCTTTGGCAGTCTGTATGACATTCCACCGCATACTAACTCGCCGTAAATGCCTTTGTTTTCTACTTCAAACTTCGAACTAGGATGGTTTTCCGTCAATAACTGCGATAGCCGGATTGTGTAAGGCTTGTCTAATTGTATGTTCTCCTCTCCTCCGGTATTGCCTGTTGTAAGACTGTCTCCGAAAGCTAATATTCTACACACCCTCCCCTCGTCCGCCATGTTGCAAGATTGGACTAGACACCAGGCCCTAACGTTAGCTGTGTATCCTGGCCTTGATGAGGTCTTGATCAAAATGGCGAATTGAACATCCACAAAATTGAAGTAACGACGTGGATTGAAAAAATCGAAATACAGAGGAAATGTTTTCCAGATTAAATGCTGCAAAAGGTCAGTTTCTGTGATCTGAAACTAGTACTGCTTCGAATTCATTTACAAATTGAACGTTGGCAAAGACCGTCAGGTGGTCATGCCAACTGGTCCCGTCTGCAGAGTATGGCAGAACTCGACGAGATCTCCGGCGTGCAAGGCTGTTTTTAGTCCCTTATTTCTTACATGTTATTTAAAAAACTCGCGCGTGCACCTGCCATACTCTACAGACTGGCAACTAGTTACAAAGAAAAATGATGATAAATAATAAATAAATAAGGTTAATGTAAGCTTTGATTGATCAACAAGCTCCACTAAAAATCTTAATTGGCATCTAATTTATGCTATATTTTACTTTTCTATCGAATATAGTGCACAGGTTACCAGGAATAATGAAGTTATTCAGAATGGTGATCTCTAAAACTAAAAAGGGAAAATAATTTTTCAACTATTTCCCGAAGGGAAGGTGAATAGTGGTAGTTATAAAATAATGATACTGAGCAGGGTTGTCAAAAGTAGCCGGCTGCCGGGGAAAATCGCCGCGTACTTGGTTAGTATTGGCCGGCTACTCTGCTTGGCATTTCTTTATGGATGGTGTTTTTTAAATAAAAATATCCTTGGACTGGTTAAGAAACATCTTCTGTAAACTATAGTAAGTGTTTATTTGCCACTCACAGTTAAGTTTAATGCCTATTCACCTTATAATTCACTTTAGATTTTTGGCAATTTTGGAGAGAAAATAGCCTGGAGAGTGCAGAAAATAGCATTTCAGAGCATCTCAATGTAAAAATTAATGTTCTGGTGGAGCATGCCCCCAGAGGTTTGTGCCTTAGGTGCTCGGCAGCACCTTCAGCACTGGCTGCTTACTTTGACAACTCAGATGTCTACCTCAAAAGTTTCTGACAACCCTGACCGAGACACGAAGCGTCGAGGTATATATCTAGCGCTGTTCACCGACTCTGAGGGGGATAGTAACTAAAACAACTGTTGTTTTAGTATTTACCAAATCAGTTGGATAGAAAAGAAAAAAATAAGTAACTTTTTGTAAATTGAAAACATCACTTAGTAGGAACTTTGTTTACAATTTGAAAACATTTCGGGGATTTTGTCAAGTGCATTTTTACAATTTTGTTACAAATTCAGCGTGAAAATAATTTTCCCTAACAGTAAACAATGACAAGCCAAAGGTCATGGCTTTCTTGATATTACAAATTTTGTTCGTATGACAGCCTCATTTATTGCTCAAATTTTGTCTTTCGAAAATGTCTCGAAAGGAGATGCCATCTTGGCTCCAGTCGCAAAACAGTGAATAACCAAGGATGTTCTGAGTTACGGGAGTCAATCAAAATGTGCAATAATAATTATTGCACATTATTGCTATTCACTGATTTGGTAAATACTAAGATAGACATTACTAGTCAGATCAGATTTGAATATTTCAATAAACTGAAACTGGGATTTAGATTGTGGTGTGCAAGGTGAGGAGTGTTGTGTATCAAACAATAGTAATATTTGGTACAGACTAATATACAATGTCAAGTAAGATAGTGAAAGCGTGCAGAAATAAATGTTACTTCTGGTACTAATTTGGTGTTCTGCCATTGATCAAGCTGGTTGTTAGAACTGTGCATGCTGGGGTCACTCTCCATATGGATTGTCTGTTCTAAAAAAATTCTGGCTAATAACTTTGTCTGTAAAAGTATGTTGTCCTTTCCATGAACAGCGACATGTAAAATTATATGCATGAGATGGTTAACTGCCCACGGATGGCAGTTATTGTTTGGCAATAGTTTAGCGTGGTATCTTTGTGATATCAATCCTCAATATCACATTAATTTGGAAAGTTCGGGAAACAGTGCTACCCTAGATCATTTGGGATGTTTGTGATTAAGTACCAACTATAAGTATTTAAAGAAGTCAGGCCTGAAAGACCAGTTTTTAGTGAAAGCTGATGTTTGGTCTTCATTAAATTTCAGTTCTGGGGAATACTTCTCATCTGAAAAATATTTGTACAGCTTTAAAACCGAGGCAAGCTTTGTTAGCGTCACAAATCAGTGTATTGAATGTAAATAAAAGGATGAACAGTACAGATGCATACTCATTTGAAACACTTGCTGTAACCAAGCCACAGGAGCATGTAATCCAGGTTGAGCTTAACAGACCAGACAAGCGAAATGCAATGAACAAGACATTTTGGAGGTGAGAAACTATTAAAAATAACAATTTATTGTTGTGACCTTGAGTGCACAGGTAACCCAAGCCATGTTGTGAGAAAAAACAGGAATACTCTATACAGATTTTTATTACACAGTAAAAATTTACATGTTATATATTAACTAAGTTTATTCATGCCATTTTTAGGTGTATAGAGTTGTCACTAAGATTTCGAGTTGCCAGGGTAAATACAACAAGTAGGCGGGGAATCGAACAGCTAGGGATTTCTTTTGGTTCTATTTTTCTTCTATTTTCCAATAAAAGTAGCCAGGGGCCACATTCATAGTAGCCAAGGAAAATCCCGGCCCCTGCCTCCTACTGACAGCCTTGGGTGTAAAATCGTCAAGCTCATTCAATTATTTGCAAAGTACAGTTTTGTATGGCCTGCATAAAAGACGTAATTTCCATAGTAGGAAGACCATTAGGCTTAGCCTGCTAGCTGCTTCTCTCTGTCGGTAAAGTAATGGAGCCACTTGACAAGTGAAAATACATCAGTCTGTGTTTGCAGGTTAAACCATTACTCAGGGTGTCTGAAGTTGACCTAACACTTGTTTGGTCATACATTTTGTAAAAAGTCACCAGTGTGAGGAAAGCCGGAGAATAGATGACAGCTTCCCCAAGAGGTCTTTTCTCAAGGTTGAATCATGAAAGATCTTTACATAGAACACGTGGCCACCCGTCAAAGATGTTATCTCTTTAAGCCCCAATATCCACATACAAATTCCCCAGACTCATCTCCATACATTTCCTTAAAGAATAAGTTGAGAGATTTTAGGTGAAGATCGAAGCATTTCCTTTGGTCATCATTTATAATTTCTCTTAACCTTTTTTATTGATTATGTTTTAAATGATATTAGGAGAAAATTGGTGTTGGTCACTCTTGGCATATATATTCAAAGGGTCTTCAAAGTCCTAACTGACTATTTCCTATCACTAGTTCAATTATTATTCCTCTTATAAAGAAACATTTTAGTAATCTGTAACTTTGTCGTGATATGTGTAGGGAGATGGTTGAATGTTTTCATCAAATTAGTGATGATTCCGAGTGCCGAGCAGTGGTGCTGACTGGAGCTGGGAAACTCTTTACAGCAGGTTGGAATATAGCTGACTTCAATGTCACAAATGTGTTAATGAGTCCATGTATCCTATATAAAATTTCTAGTTCTTAATATCACACATTTTAATGGATGTCATTTTTGTGGTAATTTTGCTGTAACCTTTTTGCATTCGTGAGAACGCATCCTAATCTGGTGCTCCTGTGAAATTTTCGAGCTATTATGGGCGACATGCAAATTAGCCGCCCCTATTAATTTTATCAGGTGCACTTGGCTGGGAAACTGGACTCCTTTCAACTTGATTTTGTTTCCATAATTTTTTGAACGCGGATCTGTAATCAATGAGTACCTCTAGTAATATGTCCTTTAGAAAGGGCATAGTTGTAACTTGATCAGACAACGAGAAGCAATAACGTTAATGAGGAAAAAATGTACTGGCCCAGTAAACCAAGCTTCACCTATACAGATGCCCTACTGACAACCACCATCTCAGACCCCTCTTAAAATTGAAAGTGGCTTGCAGAAAAACCCAGCACATTTACCCATCCTCACAATATTATTCACATTATGTAGGCCCTCTTGCTATAAAAGGTCCCCCATTTAAGCTCACAACTGAGGAGTTCATCCCTAGCTGGATTTAATCCCTTTTAAAAGGGGACAGGGGGAATTTGTAGAGAGATCAAGCATCATGGTCCATCATAGCTGCGGCAAATAGCAAAAGGCAGAGATGAGGAGGCAGTCATTTTTTTGCAACATTTTATTTTTGCTGCATGCTTCTTTCAGTGCTGAAAAAAATTGTCATTGCATTTTAAAAAATGTGAGAAGTGACTGTTTTTTTTTTTAATTTTTAAGGCCTTGATCTCATGGACATGGCAAGTGATATCATGAACAATCCAGGCAATGATCCGTCGCGGAGGGCTCATTTCATGAGAAAGCTCATCCTTAATCTTCAAGAGTCCTTCCTGGTGATTGAGAAATGCCCACAGCCAGTGATAGCAGCTGTACATTCAGGATGCGTTGGGGGAGGAATAGACATGATCTGTTCCTGCGATGTTCGCTTGTGCTCTGCTGATGCATGGTTTGAAATTAGGGTATGTAAAGCCTTCTATTCCCTCGCAAACACATCATGACAATGTAGACAACAGCTAAATCCCTGGCAGAACTTACAGCTGTTTTATTTTAATTTTCTCTGCCAGGAAGTTGACATAGGGCTTGCAGCCGATCTTGGTACCCTACAGAAATTTCCAAGAATTATTGGCAATGATAGGTAAGTTACCTTTCAGTTTAACCCAATTTGGTTTGGATTGGTTGAAGTGGGGTTGGACAGGGTTGATGGTGCGTAATATATTTTGGTAGAAAGTTAGCTTTTAACTTTTGCATCAAATGTCAAACTCTTCTCTTATATGGACACTCTTCATCTTCAAACTTCTTGCATGCTAAAATACATCCAACATACTTAGCTAATAGCCTTCTGGAAGTTGGTGACACAAGTTCCCTTATTTTCAAATAACATTAACTTGCATACAGTACTTGCATGGAGAAATGACTCACATTACATCAGTGCTCATATAGTCTTGAATTCTTAAAAATTTGAAATTTGCCCAGCAATTTTCCAGACCTGGAAGGAGTCTAGAAAATAGAGGTTAAGTCTGGAAAAAATGGTAAAAAGTCTTGCGTTTTTTTCCCAAAGCTACTAGAAGTTCTTTATAAGTGAAATGTTTTTTGTTTTGGTCAAATCTTATTCAGTCTCGTCCGTACGTTTGAAGAGCATCGTGAAAAAGCTTTTAATTCTCCCTTCTTTTTAAAGGTCGATACTGATCACCTATTATTTATTTTTGATAACCTTGAGTCTGGAAAAAGAAATTATTGTTTTGGGAAAAAAGTCTGGAACAACTCTTGAATTTTGCATCCAAAAAGCAGTACGAACCCTGTTACATCCTTCAAGTACAAACTCCCCCCACCTGGTTAGTGCCAGTCTCCCGAGAGGGAGTTCGTGTACTAAAAACTTGGATGGATCAGAAGCTGGGGTTGTTAAAAGACTGGTAACTTCATAACGGTTGTAAATCAATTAAAAGGGGAAATAAAGCAAGCCACGATAATAAACAATCGTTTTGTCTTTACAACAACAACAACAACAACAACAACAAATTTTATTGAAAATTGGAAAATAACTAATTACATTACTTTCCCACCCGCAAATAGCTTATGAACTAATCGAGGCGGGGGGAGCTGAAGACATATTACAAAACAAGATTTATATATCGATGGACTAAATAACAGTGAAGACACTACAATACAGTAAATAGAATTTAAACTAACATAAAACAAGTTATGTACATAACGATTACGAAGAGGGGCTAACCTAAAGTATTAAATAACTTAATAAGACGGGAGACTTCGACATAATCATCTTCTGACCGCAAAAAATTTAGTAATAATTCCTTTATTTTTTTACGAAAGGACGAACGTTGAAGTATTTTAATCGAATACGGAATAGAGTTCCAAATTTGGGCACCGATTCTCGTGAAAAAGGCATACATTTTATCGGTTCTAGAGAACTTAACATAAAACGAGTCGCTAGAGACAGATCTTGTTCTGTAGTTATGAATCTGACTTGTTTTAACGAACTGATTGAGAATACTAACTGATGCTGTCTGTCTGTTGATATCATACAATAAATAGCTACAATCTCTGAAAAATATGCTAGGCAGGGGAAGGCAATTTGATTTGAGAAAGAAGGGTACGGCGTGTTCCTTAGACTTACTGAAGTAGATGGGACGTAAGGCCCGTTTTTGTAGAGTTACGATCTTTCTTTGAAATGTCAAGGCACAATTTCCCCAACCACAAATACCATAAGTCAAGTAAGGGACAATTAATGAGTTGTAAACTGAAAGTAAAACACGACGCGGGACATAATGTCGAATCTTAGCTATAATTCCTATCGACTTGCTGATTATGTGACAGATAGATTCGATGTGGTCTTTCTCTTCTTCAGTCTTGCGAGGGAGTTATGCTTTACTGGCAGACGCTTTACAGCTCAAGAAGCCAAGGAGTTTGGATTTGTGAGGTGTGTTTCGGATAGGCATTTCCGTTAAGTAAGGCTGAATACACTTGAAAATCGTTGTCCCAACCCTTTTTAACGTTACTTAGATTTTTATTTAGGTTTATAGTATTGTTTAATCAGCGGGACTCGTTTGTGTTGTTGTCTTTGCACTTTTTGTCTTGTTTTTGTTAGATTGCGAGCAGTCTCCTATTTTTCTCTAATCCGCCCGCCCGCCCCTAGCCTGCATAGCAGGCGCTTGGAAGTAGTGGGCGAAAGAGAGAACGTCTCCTTCTCGCGCGCCCGTTTTTTCTTGTGCCCACTACTTCCAAGCGCCTGCTACGCGGGCTAGCCCGCCCCAACGGCGGGTATGAATGAATAAATTGAAAGAAAAAGAGAAATCTCAAAAAGGAGAGAGAAATCTTATTTCTTATTGTAAAATTCTTAGCTACGTTACCTCACTTCTTAGCCCCTTGAAGTTTTTGGTTTTCGGCGTTTTTGTGGCCTTGTTGAGTTGCATAAGGTCTCTTCCAATATTTTAGTTTTGTTCATTTTCGTTTCTCAGTCGTATTTGTCCAGATCGTGACAGTCTTGTCAAGGACGCTGTAGATCTTGCAAGCCAGATATCCAAGAAAAGTCCAATCGCCATGTCAGGAACAAAGCACAACCTGAATTACTCAAGAGATCATTCAACTAAGGAAGGTTTAGAGTACATGGTAAGTTTTTTACGGATGCTGTACGAGTGTTCCTTCATTTCTTTTTAGAAAAGATCTACGTGTGCAAACGCGAGTGAGCGTGAATCTCCTCCCACGAGGAACGGACTTTGCTTTATCTTTGCTCCCGCGTGTCGAGCTTCTCGCGCTAAGGGAGTTTCGAGTAAAGATGAATAATTCACAAGTGTAGTACAGTAGTATTTATTCCGGGGTGCTTACGCGAATGCGCTAGAAACTAGTTACCTCGAGGAACGTGCCTCACTTTGTCTTCGCACCTGCGCGTCGTGTATCTTCATAAGATTTTATTTTCTTAAACTGCTTTTGACAATTTTAGGGGATAAAATTGACTCGGAAAAGGAAAGCTATATAATTATCTAAACTTTAGCCAGGCTTGCTTTAGTGTTTCGTTTCACAAAAATTGGCTGATTAGATCCACCGGGACAGATAATTATCCACCTTAACTCTTGCTGCCAAAGTATTGATCCTTTTGTGTCAGAAGGCTGACTCAGGGGGAGGGGGTGGGGGTGTGTAGTAGCGAAATATAGAATGACCGCACTCCTTTAGGGAAGGAGGGTGGGGAGACTAGAAAGGATCCCTCCTCCAACCCCTCGAGGCCTATAATTCTGCGTTTCCTCTGAGTTTCATTGAGAAGGAGTGAATAATTTTTAATCGCTCACGTTTTAATATCAAAACAAAAACGCTAAAGGTTAATCGAATTGCCTCTTTTTCTAGGCTACTTGGAACATGGCCATGCTGCAAACAGAGGATATTTTGAAAGCTGTGCAAGCTGGAATGAGCAAGGAAGAGGCTGTATTTTCAAAACTTTAAACTTAATCTTAACATTTTAACTAGTAATCTGAAGTCAAAGACATTATCAGCCAAATTGTTAGCTGGACAGAAAAGCGTCATTTATTTCAACCCTCCCTCATTCATTAATTGAACTATCGGCCTTATAAGCAACATAAACGACTGACATCGATATCCCCACGTACAGAGCAACATCTTTGCTCTGCCGTTGCTACTCATTGCTACTTTACAGTGCTACGTTAAAAAGTAACTTGTTACATGAATGGTAATTTACCCGATTACAAAGTCTTGAAATCACTATAGATCGTAATGTCACGCAATACCAAAGCATTTCAGTTTCCCCAGGGTGTGATACCCTTGTTCGTAGCTCAACCCAGTATCACCAAACCTGAGTTGTTTTACTGGAAGCTTTGTCTTATCAGTGAGAAGACCGCTGTCCTCACGCCATACAGAGTCATTCTTATCACAGTTACAAGCATAACTGGAGTCTGCACATGAGTTGGTCATCCCGCATGCGCATTTACCACTGCCGGGTGACGCTCCACCCCAGTATGTCATCTTTGCGGAATCACGTGACATCCACCAGGCCCTTCCCCCATATCCGAATATCGCTGAATCATAACACTCGTATTTGATAAACTGCTGACATTGTGAAGAGACTCTGGTAAGTCTCGCCAGCTGAGACAGACTCACTCTTGTGTAATGAATGTCACGTGAGTAACATCCTTTATCCTCACATCCATTAACATGTGTCCTACTCTCGCTGTCGTGACTAATGACTGTCACGCCAACTCCACTTTTATCAGTCATGTTACAGAACACCGTGAATGGTGCCAGACCTCCCTCGCCATCAGGATCAATGACGTAATTTCCGCTTGCCCCACTGCCGTATTTCTTGATCACAGAACAGGAAGTAGCCATAACAAGAGAATTGATTTTAACTTTAGCTTCTATTGTTGCCAGAGTATTGCTCGCTCGACAAGTGTAAGAACCTTCATGGAACTTCTTGATGTTCTCAATAACTAGAGTGCCGCTTTGAAGAACATGTGTGTTTGCTGGAAGTACACTGACGCCATTCTTTAACCAAGAAATAGTAGTACTCAGCTCACTCTCGGCCACACACGGCAGACGGACAGGGGAACCATACTTAGGAGTCACTTGTTGTGGAGGAAGTACTCTGAACCGCAAAGGAGAGTATACAATAAGTTGAGCAGTGTCTGTCACCGAACCCAGAATATTCTTTGCTTTACAAATGTATATTCCACCGTCTTTTCTTGTGACTTTGAAGATTTTTAGGGTTCCATCTTGCACATGGATTCTGCCTACAGGTACACTTCCACCTGCCTTGGACCACGTGATCTTAGGTGGCGGCTGACCAGTAACAGTGCAGGAGATGGTGACTTTTTGATGCTCTTCAGCCCTCACTCGATTGGATGACAATGAAAGTTGCGGACCAACTGGCACAAAAAAAGAGAATAAAGCTTGTTTACTGACAGTCTAACTTAGGAGTGTTAGAAAATAAAAGGAAAGTGATCGTCAACTGAAAAAAATCAGTCCATTTCGAAAATAAGTTGATTCGAACTTCGTAAAATCTCAAGTAAGCTTTTGATGAAATAACTTGTTCTTCAGTGGATTTTGTTTTTTACATCGCACCTAAACGAATTAAGTTGAACGCGTTATACATCTATTGCCGTAATAACTAAACAAAGCTTTGCTATCAATTGCCGATATATGAAATTGTAATTCTATTGCTTTCAGAATATTATGCCCAGTTATAGTGTACTTACACTGAACAGTGAGTTTCGCTGAAGCGTCCACACTTCCCAGTAGATTTTTAGCTTTGCAGCTGTAGACTCCCTCATCCCCAGGCCGTACGTACTTCAAAATTAGAGCACCACTGGACTCTACCACGTGGCGTCCCACAGGTAGCTGCGAATTCAGCTTAGACCATGTGACTTGCGGAGTTGGGTAACCATCTGCTGAACATTTCAAGATGGCCGTCTGACTTTGATTGACAGTTGTTTTAACAGGACTCTGTAGTAGAGAAGGAGCCGTGATGGACTGGCCCGGCTCACCCTTGATTCCCTTTTGACCTGGTGGGCCCCTAGGACCCATGGGCCCAGGAACCCCCGGTATTCCGAGATCGCCTTTTATACCTAAGGGTCCTGTTGGTCCTTGGGGACCCATAGGACCAGGATTTCCCGGTACTCCGAGATCGCCTTTTACACCTACGGGTCCAGCTGGTCCTCGGGGACCCGTGGGACCCGGATTCCCCGGTAATCCGAGATCGCCTTTTACACCTTCGGGTCCTGTTAGTCCTGTTAGTCCTTGGGGACCCATGGGACCAGGGTTCCCCGGTACGCCGAGATCCCCTTTTACACCTACGGGTCCTGGTGGTCCTTCTGAGCCAGGTTTCCCTGGGGGACCTCGTCTTCCACGGGTTCCAGGTCTTCCCCGTTTTCCTGCTTTACCTTTCGGTCCTGAGCGGCAAAGCGTTTCGTTTTTAGCACAGAAGTTGTTTTGCAGCAGACGAAACTCTTCTCTGATCAGACGTTTTATTTGTGAATCAAAGGATGAATCTCGCTTCTGCCTTGAATTGACGTTTTTATACTGGCCAAGACCTTTCAAAAATATCAAATAAAAACGTTTCTTAGCACAACACACTGGAGGAAAAAGGCTCCTCAAAAAACTCATTTCATCGTTCTCTACCAAATTTGTCCTGCTGTAAATAATGGAACATCAGCCCGATCAAATTTACCTCCTATATGATACGAAATGTCAAATACTGACCACACATTTTCTCACCCTCATTCGTACGATATTTTTTAACTTTTAAGTATCTAATTTAAAATAAACTTTCCCCTTCATTTGCATCCAGAAATAGAGGTGACGTTCAAAATTTTTAACACCACGATGTTCTAACACATTTTGCACATACCCATGATTAAACTGATGTTGACCTTGTTCCTTGTTGAATTGCTGACTCTTTATGAGTATTTTTAGCTACAAGGTTTTACGAACTTACCAGGTGCTAATTGATTACACTGGGTTTAAGATGTAACCCCGGAGGTGTTCAACAAAGTTGTATACGGGAAGGCTTCGCTCCGAAGTCCAACCCCATTACCCTTTTATGTACCATTTTTGGCAGAGAAGATACCCTTTCCATATACTTTTCATCGAAAAAATGGAGATATGGGATTAAATACTTTGATGACACCTCGGTATTTGAATCTATTCCTTGATGTTCGCCTAGCTACCTTCCATTTATCGCCGCAAATATTAACACTTACGCTTCCATGCGTAACATGCGGCTTAATGAGAAAAAATGTAAAGATATGGTTGTCAATTTTTGGAAGTATCGACCCACTGTTATAACACCGATTCAGCTTAATGGTATAGTCATTGATAGAGTATCTAGTTGTAAACTCTTGTGTGTTATTATCTCTGATGGCCTCTCTTGGAACGAACATTGTGACAGTATCCATAAAAAAGCTACTAAGCGATTGTTTGTGCTGCGGACCCTCAAGAGAGTTGGATTGGGCACTAACGATGTCGTGTTAGTCTACTGTAGTATTGCTGGATCCATTGTTGAGTACGCCTCGCCAGTTTGGGCTGCGATCCCTTTATATCTGGACGAGTTAATTGAGTCTGTACAGCGGAAAGCTCTCAAAATAATATTTGGCCGGATAGACTATAGCTCTGGTGGCGTTGAGTAAAACTTCTTTGTCTCAGAAAACTGGACTGAGGACTTAGGACTGAGTTTTCTTTAGAAACAGCAATAGCGGATGCTAAAGCGCTGAAACGTGTTGGAATTTCGGTCCCAAAATGCGCACTAGTTGTATTGTGATAAAGAAAGAAGTCGAGATTATCCGACGAGATGTTTCTTTAGCTCAAGGAGTAGCGGAAGTATAAACCTGTCATACGATCGCCCCTGAATTGATATGGATAGAAAAGCTATTCATTGACGGTAAGTGACAACAGCAAAGCTGAAACGGAACACAAACTGTGGAGTGTTTTTCTTCTCTTTTTCTGCTTGTTGTACATTAATGAAATTGATGATATATATTGTTGTACATTAATGTAAATTAATGAAATTGATGATATAGCCAGTAATGCAGCCAAGGGCAGGTTGTTGAAAAGGAAAACAAGTAAACATTAGCTAAGCTGTATAATCAGGCTTGCTTTATTGATTCTTTTCACGAAAGTTGGCTGTTTGTTCATCATTGGAACAAAACCGACAGACATAAATTACAATTAAGCGGCTGTGACTAACCCCCATTTGAAATATTATCGTTATTTTCAAGTCTCAGTTTCAGCGAGATTTAGAGTAACGTTTACTTTAAATGGTAAACGTCAGATTCAAATAGACAAAATCTAAAAAAAAGAAAATGAGCTGATAAAAACGGCTCAAAAAAATTCTTATGGATAAAATAGGCATGAAACTATTGATTTCCTTCATGTAGTCAACAGTCAAGACAATTGAAGGGGAAACTTGGAGGTCAAACTCCATGACCCTTTTATGTACCGTTTTTGACTGAAAAGATACCCTTTTCATATACTTTTCATCGAAAAATGGAGATATAGGATTAAATACGTTGATGACACCTCGGTATTTGAATCTATTTCTCGATGTTCGCCTAGCTACCTTCCATTTATCGCCGCAAATATTAACACCTAAGCTTCCATACGTAACATGCGGCTTAATAAGAAAAAATATAAAGATATGGTTATCAATTACAACACCGATTCAGCTTAATGGTGTAGTCATTGATAGAGTATCTAGTTATAAACTCTTGGGGGTTGTTATCTCTGATGACCTCTCTTAATTGGAACGAACATTGTTACAGTATCCTTAAAAAAAGCTACTAAGCGATTGTTTGTGCTGCGGACCCTCAAGAGAGTTGGACTGGCCACTAGCGATCTCGTGTTAGTCTACTGTAGTATTGCTGGATCCATTGTTGAGTACGCCTCGCCAGTTTGGGCTGCGATCCCTTCATATCTGGACGAGTTAATTGAGTCTGTACAGCGGAAAGCTCTCAAAATAATATTTGGCCGGGTAGACTAAACGAAAGCCTTGGTCTTGGCCGGCCTGGAGACTCTTAGTGACAGGAGAGTAGGAGCTTGTAAGCGGTTTTATGGGTACTGCACGCCAAATGTCCCCCCTTAAGAACATCATCCCCTCTCCTGCCGCTATTGAGTCTCATTACAGTATAAGGGTCCAACGTCCAAGACGTCAACATGGTCATACCAGAAGAATTAATGACTTTGTAACTTATAAATTTCAGTGAATGTATGTAAATGGTTAATTGTACGTGACAATGACCTTCTCCAACAATTCAGTTATTGCTGCAAGTGGGTGAAATAAACAGAATATCTATCTATTTACATACCTAGTTTGGAAGTCTGCATCCCTTTTAACCACTGTAAGAGTACTGTCTTAATGAAAATTGGATTAAATCACAAAACCAGGAAGTTTTCTGGACTTTTTCACAAAGGCATAAAATCCTTCTGTTTGTTCTTTCGGGTCTTTTTACAGACCAAAAAATTTAATGACAGATTTCCCTACCCTTCCATATACTTCAACTAGTGAAACCCCAACTCTGAAGACTGAAAAAGGTACCTTTTTCGGGCAGAGCCGTCCCTGTATAGGGCATTATAGAGAGTAACCCCTCCCCCGTGGGGATGTAAATCGGAAGTAATGAAAATCTTACGTTGTTTTCTAATTTATCCTCACCATTTGTTTCTTGCCGTTGATCTTTAAAATTATCAACTTTCCTGACTTGCCATCGTTCGTAATTCTGCTGAACTTTCCCTAGAATCTGCGTTTCCATTTGATCACAGACTGTTACTGAATGTGATATGAGTCGTTGATGTTCTTGTATTCGAAGTTCCACGTGAATTAGTGCCATACAACACACAACAGACAACAGCAAAGCTGAAACGGAACACAAGCTGTGGAGTGTTTTTATTGTCTTTTTCTGGTTGTTGTCCTCACTCGGTTGTTTCATTTTCGATCAGTTTAAGAGACAACGTTAAACTGTAGCTCAATTTAGCTCTAGTGGCGTTAAGTAAAACTTCTTTGTCTAAGAAAACTGGACCGCGCTGAGGACTTAGGACTAAGGTTTCTTTAGAAATAGCAATAGCGGATGCTAAAGCGCTGAAGCGTGTTGGAGTTTCGGTCCCAAAATGCGCACTAGTTGTATTGTGATAAAGAAAGAGGTGGAGATTATCCGATGGGATGTTTCTTTAGCTCAAGGAGTAGCGGAAGTATAAACGTGTCATATGCAATCGCCGCTGAATTGATATGGATAGAAAAGCTATTCATTGACGGTAAGTGATATAATTAATGGAATTGATGATATAGCCAGTAATGCAGCAAAGGTCAGATTTGTTGAAAAGGAAAGCACGTATACATTAGCTAAGCTCTATAATCAGGCTTGCTTTATTGATTCTTTTCACAAAAATTAGCTGTTTGCTCATCATTGGAACAAAACCGACAAACATAAATTGCAAGCTCTTTCTAAACCTCATTTGAAACATATCGTTACTTTGAAGCTCAGTATTTTTTTTAAAAATGAAGAGATTAAGACTAACGTTTACTTTAAATGGTTAACGTCAGATTCAAGTATACAAATTCTAAAAAAAGAAAATGAGCTGCTAAAAACGGCTCAGAATAATTGTTATGGAAAAAACGGACATGAAACTAATGATTTCCGTGAAGTTGTAATAAACAGTCAACGACAAGTAATGGGGAAACTTGGTCATGTGGCACAAGTCCACGTTTGCCGTAAACGTGATTTTATATCTCTCTATAAGTTAAAAGTTTTTTTAAACAATTGAGACACATTTCATGCAATACCAAAGCACTTCAGTTTCCCCAGAGTGTGGTAACCTTCCTCGCTTCCGCTCACATCACCAAACCTGAGTTGTTTGACTGGAAGCTTTGTCTTGTCAGTGAGGAGACCGCTGTCCTCACGCCATACATCGTCATTCTTATCACAGTTACAACCATAACTGGAGTCTGCACATGAGTTGGTCATTCCGCATGCGCACTTACCACTGCCGGGTGACGCTCCACCCCAGTATGTCATCTTTGCGGAATCACGTGACACCCACCAGGCCATTCCCCCCATTCTGAATATCGCTGAATCGTAACACTCGTACTTGATAAACTGCTCACAGTGTAAAGAGACTCTGGTGAGACGCGCCAGCTGAGACAGACTCGCTCCTGTGTAATAAATGTTACGCGAGTAACACCCCTTAGATTCACATCCAGAAACATGGGTTCTACTCTCACTGTCGTGACTAATGACAGTCACGCCAACTCCACTTTTGTCAGCCATTTCACAGAAGACCGTGAATGGTGTCACACCTCCCTCGCCATCAGGATCAATGACGTAATTTCCACTTACACTGCTGGCGTATTTTTTAATCACAGAACAGGAAGTAGCCATAACAGGAGAATTGATTTTGACTTTAGCTTCTATTCTTGCCAAGGCATTACTTGCTCTACAGATATAAGATCCTTCGTGAGATTTCTTGATGTTCTGAAGAACCAGAGTTCCATTCGAAAGAACATTAGAGTCCAACGAAAGGGAAGACTTGCCCTCCTTTCGCCAATAAGTTGTAGGACTCAGGTCGCTCTCTGCCAAACACGGCAGATGGACAGTATAACCAATGACAGGAGTCACTTCTTGTGGAGGACGGACTTTAAACCGCAAAGGAGAAAACACTGTGAGTTGGGCCGTGTCTGTCGCCAATCCCAAAATATTCTCTGCTTTACAAATGTATACTCCACCATCTTTCTTTGTGACACTGTAGATTTTCAGGATTCCACCTTGCACCTTGATTCTGTCACCAGGTAAACTTCTCACTGACTTGGACCACGTCATCTTAGGTGACGGCTGACCAGTAGCAGTGCAGGCGATGGTGACGTTTTGTTTCTCTTCAGCTATTAGTCGACTGGGTGACAACGAAAGCAGCGGAGCAACTGGCAAGAAATAGAAATTAGAATCGTTTAGAGCGCGATTTAAGAAATCGTGATCATTTGCCCCAAAATGTGTTTGCTGGTGACTTATTTTGATTAGATAAATGGTTTTCTAGTCTGTGCTTTGAGCCTTCTTGATACCGTTAACAGGAAACAATGTTTGATAAAGGTGTTAAAATTAAAAAGGGCTCAGAAAGCGCTTTTGTTAAAATAATTTCTAAACGGTGTTTTAGTATCATGTTTTGAAATGAAGTATTTCCGATGTTGTATTGAACTAGATTTTCTTAGAGCCTTTCTCTGTACAATTTGAAATATCATTTTCTAAAATTTAATCATTAGAGCTTCGGTAGTAATTGACGATAACTACAATTCTCGTTCTATTTGTATATGACCAAGTCTACTTACACTGTACAGTGAGTTTAACTGAAGCCTTAACATTCCCCAGTAAGTTTTTAGATTCACAGCTGTAAAGCCCCTCATCCTCAGGCCTCACGTTCTTCAAAATCAGCGCACCACTGGACTCCACCTTGTGACGTCCCACAGGAAGCTGCGAGTTCATCTTAGACCACGTGATTTGTGGAGTTGGATTTCCATCTGTTGAACATTTCAAGATGGCCGTCTGACTTTGATTGACAGTTGTTTCAACAGGACTCTGCAGCAGAGAAGGAGCCCTGATGGACTGTCCCGGCTCACCCTTCGTTCCCTTTTGACCTGGTGGGCCTCTAGGACCCATGGGACCAGGGACACCCGGTATTCCGAGATCACCTTTAATGCCGACGGGTCCTGGAGGTCCTACTGGCCCATGTTTACCAGGAGGTCCTTCTGGCCCGGGTTTTCCTGGGGGGCCTGGTCTCCCTTGGGATCCGGGTCTTCCCCGTCGTCCTGTTTTACCTTTTGGTCCTGAGCGGCAAAGCTTTTCATCTTTAGCACAGAATTGGTTTTGTAGCAGACGAAGCTCTTCTTTGATGAGTAGTCTTACTTGAGATGTAGTTTGGACCGATTTTGGCTGTGAATTGTCGGGTGACGCTCGTTTCTGTCTTGAATTGACGTTTTCATACCGGCCAAGACCTTTCAAAAATAATAAAGACCTTTCTGAGCATTACTGAAGTAAAAAGATAAAGGTGAAAGTTGAAAATATACAAACGTCCAAAAACTAAGCAAACCATAAAACGGCAGTTGTTCTTAAAGATTTTCTTCCTCATGCGACCTCAGTTAGCATCCAAAAATAGACATATACTAAAGAACACTTCAAGTTACATCCATTTGTTAATTCGCCATCTCCTCATTTGTAGCCGCAAGGAAATACGGACTCATTTGGTGTTCGATATATATCCTATATACACTAAATTATTTTATAGCACTGTATGTGGATGACGGTGTTTTTATCGTTCATTCTAGATGAAGATGTGCAGAGCCGCTTTGAAAACTGGCGGACTGGACGGGTTGGTTTACAGGAAATTTACTCTACTCGCAATGGCTTTTGTATTCTAGTATTCATACAGCCTCCTATACAAGCCTCTCATGATCAGTCCCCTCCTTTCGAATTCCCTGAGTCAGAATAACGTTATGAAAATACAACTTCTTACATACTAAGCAAGAATGATTTTCAAAATGGAAGGATCTGAAACAAGCTGATCATAACTCTGTGTGTTAGAATTATAAAACTGTTCCTCACCATTTGTCCACTGCAAATGACCTTCTAAACCATCAGCTTTCGTAAATTGCCAGCGTTCGTAATTCTGCTGAACTTTCCGAAGAATCTGCGATTGCATTTGATCACAGAATGTTACTGAATGTGACATCAGTCGATGATATTCTTGTATTTGGAGTTCCACGTGAATTAAAGCGATGCAACACCCAAAAGACAATAGCAAAGCTGACACGGAACACAAGCTGTGAAGTGTTTTCCTTCTGTTTTTCTTCTTGTCTTCCTCTTTTTTCATGTTTAAATCAGTTTTGAGACTCTTACAAAGTCAAACACAAGCTACTAGAGCGAGGAAGGCGTAAAGTGATACTTCTCTACCAAAGAAAACTCAGTCTTTTGTTTAGCAGTAGCTACAGCGTGAGCTGAAACGTGTCTGAATTCCGACCCTAAAAAAACGGAAGTAACCTAGACAGTTGTAAATGATACATGTATTTTTTGACTTGGTGCGAGGTCAAGTTGATGTTTCTTTTGTCATTGCGCTTATTTATGTATTCGGGCCCGAAAAATAAGCCTTGTCAGTAAAGAATTTATTATATGGCCAACTTTTGCAATTTCAGTCTTTATTGGAATCGAATTCAGATTTTGTGAAACACTTCTTACATAATTTTTGTTGTCTCTACTACCTTCAAGATTTACAGACGCTCTGCAAGTACATGTTGGGGCTCTATTACTGAAGACGCACAGGAAATTTCCCACTTTTCACAACAGATTTCCCAGAGGTAACGAATTGCTGAGCCGGCTTCCGGGGAAACACTTTTTCCTTTGTTTGGGAGCAACTGAGTGGAGGTAACCCGCGTTGGTGGAGTAACCCGCCTGTCCATATAATCTCTCGTTTTAAATTTGATCATGTTTACATCACAGGTGGGGTGACCCGCCGCGGGTTACCTCACCTACCTGGGGTCCCCCACCCCCATGTAAACGGGCCCTAACACTATCAGTGAGAATAATTCTATAACGGACTTAATAAATTACAACTGCAAAACTGCACACTGAACGGAGGTATGTGAAAAAATTAAACGTGAATTAATAAGAAAAAGAAAAAGGTTATCGAGAAAATATTTGAAGCACGCCAAACAAACGACTTCATAAAAAAAAATGACAATAAGCGCAAACTAGAGAATATCAAGAAAGGAGTAAAGCACAAAGCGGAAACGAAAAAAGAAAGCCGGTCCGTAAAAGAAAAGTAAAGCGAAACGTGAGTTGCTTAGAGAGATGCCGTAGAGTGACCTTGTCCTGTAACGTACTCCTTATATACGATAACACAAATAACAGCATGCAGAAGCATGCTATGATGTAACACCCAAATACCGAACTGCAAACACTGCGTGAATTCCCAAACGCGAGAAAATACATTTGTGGGGGAGCAACAGTGGGCAATGACACAAAAAGGTCTATGCGTATTGCGCGCTAGGGCAACCAACAAGAAAGCAGGATTCTGTCCATATTGCTCAATACCGGAAAGAACCATACAATAATAGAAAATAAATCCCTTTGAAGTCCCGAGAGGAATTCATCATGGGTCAGGGTTAAACGATACGAAACCAAAATTATGACCAGAAATAAATCAACATAGTTTTTAATTGGCATTCAACTAAAAATAGAAAAAGTATGACTAGACATACGGAGTGACTAGATCACGTATTTTTGTAAAAGTGCAAAAGCCAGATATATATCTTGCATAGAATATTTGCAATAATAATACAAAGCATTTCCTAAGCATAAATTCCTTCAGTGGTACTAACGACATTAAATAAGTCTGAACCAGTCTCCTAAGAGGAAGGTCGTGTATTAAAACGTTGAATGGACCAGAAGCTGGGGTTGTTAAAAGACTGGTAACGTCATACCGGTTGTGAATCAATTTTAACTGAAAAAATTTAATTTAAAAAAAGGGACGTAGAATAAGTCACGATTATAAACAAACTTCTTGCCTTCCTCTTCGTCAGTCTTGTAAGGCAGTTATGCTTTACTGACAGACGTTTTACAGGTAAAGAAGCCAAGGCGTTTGGATTTGTGAGGTGTGTTTGAGATAGGCATATCTGTTAAATAAGGCCGAACGCACTTCACTTGAAAAACGTCGCCTCAACCTTTTTGAACGTTGCTTAGATTTATATCTAGGTTTATACTGATTATTTTAACCAGCGGTAATCGGTAATGTTGTAGTCTTTGCACTTTGGCACTTTGGCTTTGGCCGTGGTTTTGTTAGACTGCGAGCAATCTCCAACAGCGGGTAAAAAAATGAGAAAAAACCCCAGAAAGCAAAGGACTAAATCTAATTTCTTATTGTAAAATTCTTAGAAGTAAAAAGCACTATGTAAAAGTTCTACAAAAGACGTTTCATTTCAATGCTAATGAGGGGTTAAGCATCACGTTTATGTCAAACGGCAAACGCGAATTGATACCACGTGACCAGCACGTGACCAATTTTCCCCTTTGCTTGTCGCCTACTGTTCATTATTTCTACACACAGTAGTAGTTTCATGCAATTTTTTATCCAAAAGAATTTTCTGAGCTGTTTTTATCTGCTCATGTTCTATTTGGAGAAATTCTTAACTTGAATCCTTTTGGCGTGAACCGTGAAGCTTAAACTCTCTAATACCATTTTTAACAGAGTTGGGATTTTAATGAAAAACATCGTACAGTGGAACCTCTATATAACGAAGTCCTCGGTATAACGAACGATACTCTGCCTCAGAAATAGCACCATGTACTGAAAAGGACGTCGATATAACGAAACCTCTTTATAGGGAACATATTTTGCCAGTCCCTCGGGCCTTCGTTATATGTAGGATCCACTGTCGTAAGCAAATTAAATCAGCTACGTTACTTCACTTTTTACCCTGTTTTTACCCCCTTGAGATTTTTGGTTTTCGTCGTTTTTGTGCCTTGTTGGCTCCCTTCCAGTATTTTGTTTTGTTCATTTTCGTTTCTCAGTCGTATTTGTCCAGATCGTGTCAGTCTTGTCAAGGACCGGCTGTAGTTCTTGCAAGCCAGATATCCGGAAGAAAAGTCCATAACCACTATGTTAGGAATACATCACAACCTGAATTACTCAAGAGAACATTTAGAGTACATAGTAAATTTTTTACGGATGCAGTACAAGTGTTTGGAAAAGATCCGTTTGTGCTAACGCAAGTAAGCGTGAATCTCCTCCCACGAGGAACGGACTTTGCTTTATCTTTGCTCCTTCGTGTCGCGAGCTCCTCGCTGATAGGGAGTTTCAAGTAAAGGTGAACAATTCACAATTGGAGTACACTGGTATTTATTCCGGGGTGCTTACGCGAGCGCGCTAGAAACTAGGTTACCAACTTCTAAAACGAAAACTATTTATCTAAACCTTAGCCAGGCTTGCTTTAGTGCTTCGTTTCACAAAAATTGGCTGATTGGATCCACCAGGACCGATAATTATCCACCTTAACTCTTGCCGCCAAAGTATTTATCCTTTTGTGTGAGATGGCTCTCAGGGGGAGGGGGTGGGGTGTGTAGTAGCGAAATATAGAGTGACCACGCTCCTTTTGGGGAGGAGGGTGGGGAGACCAGAAAGGAAGCTTCCTTCATCCCCTCGAGGCCTATAATTCTGCGTTTCCTCTGAGTTTCATTTAGAAGAAGTGAATAATTTTCAATCGCTTACGTTTTAATGTGAAAACAAAAACGCTAAGGGTTGATCTCATTGTGTCTTTTTCTAGGCCACTTGGAACATGGCCATGCTGCAAACAGAGGATTTTCTGAAAGCTGAAATGAGCAAGGAAGAGGCTGTGTTTTCAAAACTTTAAACTTAATCTTAACATTTTAACTAGTAATCTGAAGTCAAAGACATTGTCATTCATTTTAACCCTCCCTCATTCACTAACTGAACTATCGACCTTACAAGCAACATAAAGAACTGACATCGATATCCCCAGGTACAGAGCAGCATCTTTGCTCTGCTGTTGCTACTCATTGCTACTTTACAGAGCTACGCTCGAAAAAAATGTTACATGAATGGTAATTTACCCGATTACAAAGTTTTACATTACTATAGATCGTAATGTCACGCAATACCAAAGCATTTCAGTTTTCTCAGAGTGTGATAACCTTCCTCGCCACTACCCACATCACCAAACCTGAGCTGTTTTACTGGAAGCTTTTTCTTGTCAGTGAGAAGACCGCTGTCTTCACGCCATACATCGTCATTCTTATCACAGTTACAACCATAACTGGAGTGTGCACATGAGTTGGTCATCCCGCATGCGCACTTACCACTGCCAGGTGACGCTCCACCCCAGTGCGTCATCTTTGTGGAATCACGTGACCCCCACCAGGCAAATCCACTTCTTAAGAGCCTTGAACCATAACACTCGTACTTGATAAACTGCTCACATTGTGAAGAGACTCTGGTGAGACTCGCCAGCTGAGACAGGCTCGCTCCTGTGTAATGAATGTCACGTGAGTAACACCCTCGTGAATCACATCCAGACACATGAGTTCTACTCTCACTGTCGTGACTAATGACTGTCACGCCAACTCCACTTTTATCAGCCATGTCACAGAAGACCGTGAATGGTGCCAGACCTTCCTCACCATCAGGATCAATGACATAATTTCCGCTTGCACTTTTGACGTATTTTTTAATTTCAGAACAGGAAGTAACAACTGGAGTGATTTTAACTTTACCTTCTATTGTTGCCAGGGCATTACTCGCTCGACAAGTGTAAGATCCTCTTTGAGTTTTCTTGATGTTCTTAATAACTAGAGTGTCATTTTGAAGAACACGGGCATTTACAGGAAGTACACTAGCGCCATCCATTGTCCACGTAAGTGTAGTACTCAGCTCACTCCCGGCCACACACGGCAAACGGAGAGTTGAACCAATGACAGGAGACACTTCTTGTGGAGGACGGACTTTGAACCGCAATGGAGAGAATACTGTGAGTTGGGCCGTGTCTGTCGCTAATCCCAGAATGTTCTCCGCTTTACAGATGTATGTTCCGGCATCCTTTTTTGTGACACTGCAGATTTTCATGGTTCCATCTTGCACCTTGATTCTACCTCCAGGTAAACTTCCCACTGCCTTGGACCACGTGATCTTAGGAGACGGCTGACCAGTAGCAGTGCAGGCAATGGTGACGTTTTGTTTCTCTTCAGCTATTAGTCGATTGGATGACAACGAAAGCAGCGGAGCAACTGGCGAGAAATCGAAAATAGGGTCGTTTATTTTAGAAAGTCTAACTTAGAGAGCGGTTTAAGAAATCATGATCATTTATCACAAAATGTGTTTGCTAGTGGTTTATTTTGAGTAGATAAATTGTTTTCTAGTCTGGGCTTTGAGCCTTCTTGATACCGTTAACAGGAAACAATGGTGTTGGCAAAATTAAAAAGGGTTCAGAAAGCGTTTTTGTTACAATAATTTCTAAACGGTGTTTTAGTATCATGTTTTGAAGTGAAGTATTTCCGATGTTTTATTGAACTAGATTTTCTTAAAGCCTTTTTCTGTACACTTTAAAATATCATTTTCTAAAATTTAATCATTAGAGCTTCGGTAGTAATTGACGATAACTACAATCCTCGTTCTACTTACACTGTACAGTGAGTTTAGCTGAAGCGTTAACGTTCCCTAGTAAATTTTTAGCTTCACAGCTGTAAAGCCCCTCATCCTCAGTCCTCACGTTCTTCAAAATCAGAGCACCACTGGACTCTACCTTGTGACGTCCAACAGGAAGCCGGGAGTTCATCTTAGACCACGTGATCTGTGGAGTTGGATTACCATCTGTTGAACATTTCAAGATGGCTGTCTGACTTTGATTGACAGTTGTTGCAACAGGACTCTGCAGCAGAGAAGGAGCCGTGATGGACTGGCACGGCTCGCCCTTCGTTCCCTTTTGACCTGGTGGGCCTCTAGGACCCATGGGACCAGGGACACCCGGTATTCCGAGATCACCTTTAATGCCAATAGGTCCTGAAGGTCCTACTGGCCCATGTTTACCAGGAGGTCCTTCGGGCCCGGGCGTCCCTGGGGGGCCTGGTCTCCCTTGTGATCCGGGTCTTCCTCGTCGTCCTGTTTTACCTCTTGCACCTGAGCGGCATAGCATTTCATCTTTAGCACAGAATTGGTTTTGGAGGAGACGAAGCTCTTCTTTGATGAGTAGTCTTACTTGAGATGCAGTTTGGACCGATGCTGGTTGTGAATTAACGGGTGATGCTCGTTTCTGTCTTGAATTGACGTTTTCATACCGGCCAAGACCTTTCAAAAATAATAAAGACCTTTGTGAGCATTACTGAAGTAAAACGATAAACGTGAAAGTTGAAAATATACAAACGTCCAAAAACTAAGCCAACCATAAAACGGCAGTTGTTCTTAACGATTTTCTTCCTCATGCGACCTCAGTTAGCATCCAAAAATAGACATATACTAAAGAACAGTTCAAGTTACATCCATTTGTTAACTCGCCATCTCCTCTATGTAACCTGAAGGAAATACGGACTCATTTGGTGTTCAATATGTATCATATATACACTGAATTATTTTATAGCACTGTATGTGGATGACGGCTTTTTTATAGTTCACTCTACATTAAAATGTACAGAGCCGCTTTGAAAACTGGCGGACTGAACGGGTTGGTTTGCAGGAAATTTACTCTACTCGCAGTTGGCTTTTGTATTCTAGTGTTCATACAGCCTCCTATACAAGTCTCTCATGATCAGTCCCCTCCTTTCGGATTCCCTGAGTCAGAATAACAACTTCAATAACAACTTCTCACATACTAAGCAAGAATGATTTTCATAATGAAAGTATCTGAAACAAACTGATAATAACACGGTGTGTTAGAATTATAAAACTGTTCCTCACCATTTGTCCCCTGCAAATGACCTTTTAAACCATCAGCTTTCGTAGATTCCCATCGTTCGTAATTCTGCTGAACTTTCCGAAGAATCTGTGTTTGCCTCTGATCACAGAATTTTACTGAATGTGACATCAGCCGATGATGTTCCCGTATTCGGAGTTCCACGTGAATTAAAGCGATACAACACCCAAAAGACAATAGCAAAGCTGACACGGAACACAAGCTGGGGAGCGTTTTTCTTCTAGTTTTCTTCCTGTCTTCCTCTTTTTTCATGTTTAAATCAGTTTTAAGAGTCGTACACCGTCAAATACAAGCTACTAGAGCGGTGAAGGCGTGAAGTGATACTTCTCTACCAGAGAAAACTCAGTCTTTTGTTTGGCAGTAAGTTACAGCGTAAGCTGAAAGGTGTCTGATTTGCGCCCCTAAAAAACGGAAGTAACCTAGACAGTTGTAAATGATACATATATTTTTGGACTTGGTGCGAGGTCAATTGCAAGTTGATGTTTCTTTTATCATTGCGCTTATTTATGTATTCGGACCCGAAAAATAAGCCTTGTCTTTATTGGAATCGAATTCAGATTTTGCGAAACACGTCTTATATAATTTTTGTTGTCTCTACTGCGTTCATGATTTACAGACGATCAGCAAGTACATGTTGGGGCTCTATTGCTGAAGACGTTACAGGAAATTTCCCACTTTCCACAAAAGATGTCCCAGAGTTAACCAATTACTGAGCCGGCTTCCGGGGAATTTTTCCTTTGTGTGGGAGCAACTGAGTGGAGGTAACCGGCGTTGGTGGGGTAACCCGCCTGTCCATATAATCTCTCGTTTTAATTTCATCATGTTTACATGATAGGTGGGGTGACCCGCCGCGGATTACCTCACCTACCTGGGGTCCCCCACCTCCATGTAAACGGGTCCTAACACTATCAGAATAATTCTATAACGGAGTTTATAAATTACAACTGCAAAACTGCACACTGAACAAAATAAACGTGAATTAGTAAGAAAAAGAAAAAGGCTATCGAGAAAATATTTGAAGCACGCCAAACAAACGACTTCATAAAAAAAAATGACAATAAGCGCAAACTAGAAAATATCAAGAAAGGAGTAAAGCACAAGGCGGAAGAAAAAAAAAGCCGCAAAAGAAAAGTAAAGCGGAACGTGAGTTGCTTAGAGAGATGCCATAGAGTGACCTTGTCCTGCAACGTACGCCTTATATACCATAACACAAATAACAGCATGCAGAAGCATACTGTGATGTGACACCCAAATACCGAACTGCAAACACTGCGTGAATTCCCAAACGCGAGAAAATACATTTGTGGGGGAGCAACAGTTGGCAATGACACAAAAAGTCTATGCGTATTGCGCGCTAGGGCAACCAACAAAAAAGCAGGATTCTTTCCATATTGCTCAATACCGGAAAGAACCATACAATAATAGAAAATAAATCCCTTTGAAGTCCCGAGAGGAATTCATCATGGGTCAGGGTTAAACGATACGAAACCAAAATTATGACAAGAAATAAATCAACATAGTTTTTAATTGGCATTCAACTAAAAATAGGAAAAGTATGACTAGACATACGGAGTGACTAGATCACGTATTTTTGTAAAAGTGCAAAAGCCAGATATATATCTTGCATAGAATATTTGCAGTAATAATACAAAGCATTTCCTAAGTATAAATTCTTCCAGTGGTACTAACGACATTAAATAAGTAGAACCAGTATGTCTTCTAAGAGGAAGGTCGTGTATTAAAACGTTGAATGGACCAGAAGCTGGGGTTGTTAAAGGACTGGTAACATCATACCGGTTGTGAATCAATTTTAATTGAAAACATCTAATTTAAAAAAAGGGATGTAAAATAAGTCACGATTATAAACAAACTTCTTGCCTTTCTCTTCTTCAGTCTTGCGAGGGAGTTATGCTTTACTGGCAGATGTTTTACAGCTCAAGAAGCCAAGGAGTTTGGATTTGTGAGGTGTGTTTGAGATAGGCATATCTGTTAAATAAGGCCGAACGCACTTCACTTGAAAAACGTCGCCTCAACCTTTTTGAACGCTACTTAGATTTACATCTAGTTTTATACTGATTATTTTTTAATCAGCGGGAATCATTTACGTTGTACTCTTTGCACTTTGGCCGTGCGGGTTTCGTTAGATTGCGAACAGTCTCCAGCAGCGGGTAAAGAAAAGAGAGAAAAATCCCAAAAAGGAGAGACTAAATCTGATTTCTTATTTTAAAATTCTTAGAAGTAAAACAGCACTGTGTGAAGGTTCTACAAAAGACACTTCATTTCAATGCTAATGAGAGGTTAAGCATAAAGCCCGGGGGCGGGGAAGGGGGTACTCCCATATATGAGCTATATAGGTACGTGCCGCGGAATAGGGTATGGTTTTTGAGGTTCTCGGTCCTTAAATAGGGTATCTTTTTTGACCCTTTTGTTTCTGTGTCCCTGGTGTGGTCCTTAGATAGGGTAGCTTAATTGTATTATCTAATATTGCAGTGTGAAAACGCCCGCCTAAACGAACATTTTTTTTTAACTAGGCTAATTCTAGTATTTTATGCTTGATGCTATACATCCAATGTATAGAAATAAAGTTTTCCATTTCATGCTATTAATAATTTTGTTTTTTCCTTGAATAGGGTGTCATTTTTCGGCTTTCGGCCTTAAAAAGGGTATCAGTTTTCGCTTTCTTATTCCTTAAATAGGGTTAGGGTTCGCGAACCTTCGCGACACACCCCTATCCAAAATTCGCGAGAGTACCCCCCCCCACCTCCCCCGGGGCATAAAGTTTATGTCAAACGGCAAACATGAATTGATACAACGTGACCAAGCTTCCCCTTGGCTTGTCGCCTACTGTTCATTATTTCTACATACAGTAGTAGTTTCACGCAATTTTTTGTCCAAAAGAATTTTCTGATCTGTTTCAGTATCTGCTCATTTTCTATTTTGAGAAATTCTCAATAACTTGAATCCTTTTGGCGTAAACGTGAAACTTAAACTCTCTAATACCATTTTTAACAGTGTCAAAGCTTAGAGCTGGGGTATTAACGAAAAACATCGTACAGTGGAACCTCGTTCAAAATCAAATCAAATCAATTTTATTTAAGCTCGATAGCGTGAGGAGTGGTTGCCCAATCTACCGAGCCAGGGGCTCATGTATTAAACGCTCGAGCATTCCGGATCGAATTGGAATTTAGAAATGTTGGTTTTTGCGGAGAGGGGAAAACCGGAGTAAAACCTCTCGGAGCAGAGAAGAGAACCAACAACAAACTCAACCCACATATGACGTCGAGTCCGGGAATCGAACCCGGGCCACATTGGTGGAAGGCGAGTGCTCTCACCACTGCGCCCTCCCTGCTCCCCGAAGGTTCGTTATCACGAACCTCTTTATAACGAAGTCCTCGGTATAACGAACGATACTCTTTGCCTCAGAAATAGCACCATGTATTGAAAAGAACCTCGATATAACGCAACCTCTTTATGGGGAACGTATTTTGCCAGTCCCTTGGGCCTTCGTTATATCGAGGATCCACTGTCGTAAGCAAATTAAATCAGCTACGTTACCTCACTTTTTACCCCCTTGAAATTTTTGGTTTTTTTCGTTTTTGTGCCTTGTTGGCTCTCTTCCAATATTTTATTTTGTTCATTTTCGTTTCTCCAGATTGTGTCAGTCTTGTCAAGGACCGGCTGTAGATCTTGAAAGCCAGATATCCAAGAAAAGTCCACGATTGCCATGTCAGGAATATAATACAACCTGAATTACTCAAAAGCCCATTTAACTAAAGAAGGTTTAGAGTACATAGAACGCTTTTTACGGATGCTGTACGAGTGTTTCTTCATTTCTTTACAGAAAAGATCCGCGTTTTGCTAGCTGAACGTGGATCTCCTCCCACGAGGAACGGACTTTGCTTAATTTGCTCCGGCGTGTCGAGCTCCCTCGCGGTAAGGGAGTTTCGAGTAAAGATGAACATTTCACAAGTATAGTACTGTACACTCGTATTTATTCCGCTGTGCTTACCCGAGGGCGTTACAAACTAGGTTACCGCGAGGAAAGTGCCTCACTTTGTCTTCGCCCCTGCGCGTAGTGTATTTTCCCTATTTTTTGAGCCTATTCCTTTTCTTTAACTGTACCTGACTATTTTATGGAATAAAATAAACTTCGAAAAGGAAAACTATAGAATTATCTGAACTTTAGCCAGGCTTGCTTTATGCTTCGTTTCACAAAAAATGGCTGATTAGATCCACCAGGACTGAAAATTATCCACCTTATCTCTTGCTGCTAAAGTGTTTATCCTTTTTTGTGAAAAGGTTCTCAGGGGAGGGAGTGGGGTGTGTAATATCGAAATTCTTTTGGGCAGGAGGGTGGGGACTAGAAAGGATGCTTCCCCCCAACCCTTCGAGGCTAATAATTCTGCGTTTCCTCTGAGTTTCATTGAGAAGGAGTGAATAATTTTTAATCGCTTAAGTTTTAATATGGAAACAAAAACGCTAAGGGTTAATCGAAATGCCTCTTTTTCTAGGCCACTTGGAATATGGCCATGCTGCAAACAGAGGATATTCTGAAAGCTGTGCTGGAATGAGCAAGGAAGAGGCTGTTTTTTCAAAACTTTAAACTTAATCTTAACATTTTAACAAGCAATTTGAAGTCAAAGACATTATCCTCCGAAGGGTTAGCTAGACAGAGGCGTCATTCATTTTAACCCTCTCTCATTCATTAACTGAACTATCAGCCTTACAAGCGACATAAACACCTGACATCGATATCCCCACTTGCACAGCAGCATGTTGCTACTCATTGCTACCTTACAGTGCTACGCTAGAAGATAAATTGTTACATGAATGGTAATTTACCCGATTACAAAGTTTTTAAATCACTATAGATCGTAATGTCACGCAATACCAAAGCACTTCAGTTTCCCCAGAGTGTGGCAGCCTTCCTCTCCACTATCCACATCACCAAACCTGAGTTGTTTTACTGGAAGCTTTGTCTTGTCAGTGAGAAGACCGCTGTCCTCACGCCATACATGGTCATCCTTATCACAGTTACAACCATAACAGGAGTATGCACATGAGTTGGTCATCCCGCATGCGCACTTACCACTGCCGGGTGACGCTCCACCCCAGTATGTCATCTTTGCGGAATCACGTGACACCCATCAGGCAAATTCTTGGCCATAGAATATCATTGAATTATAACACTCGTACTTGATAAACTGCTCACAGTGTGAAGAGACTTTGGTGAGACGCGCCAGCTGAGACAGACTTGCTCCCGTGTAATGAATGTTACGAGAGTAACACCCTGATGGATCACATCCATAAACATGTGTTCTACTCTCACTGTCGTGACCAATGACTGTCACGCCAACTCCACTTTTATCAATCATGTCACAGAACACCGTGAATGGTGCCAGACTTCCCTCGCCATCAGGATCAATGACGTAATTTCCGCTTACACTGGAGATGTACTTTTTAATTTCAGAACAGGATGCAACCTTTGGAGTGATTTTGACTTTAGCTTCTATTGTTGTCAGGGTATTGCTGACTCGACAAATGTAAGATCCTTTTTGAGTTTTCTTGATATTCTCAATAACTAGAGTGTTATTTTGAAGAAAACGGGCGTTTACAGGAAGTACGCTAGCGCCATCCATTGTCCAAGCAAGTGTGGTACTCAGCTCACTCTTGGCCGCACACGGCAGACGGAGAGTGGAACCAATCACAAAAGTCACCTCTTGTGGAGGACGGACTTTAAACTGCAATGGAGAGAATACCACCACAAGGGTGGTGGCTGTTGCTGTTCCAAGAATATTCTCCGCTTTACAAATGTATACTCCACGATCTTTTTTTGTGACACTGTAAATTTTTAAAGTTCCACCTTGCACATGGATTCTGCCCTCTGGTAAACTTCTCACTGCCTTGGACCACGTGATCTTAGGTAACGGCTGGCCAGTAGCAGTGCAGGCGATGGTGACGTTTTGTTTCTCTTCAGCCATCAGTCGACTTGATGACAACGAAAGTTGCGGACCAACTGGCGGAAATTAAAGAATAAGGGTCGGTTATTAAAAAAAGTCTAACGAAGAGGAAGGTTTAAGAAAATCATCGGCCCCAACATGTTTACAAGTAGCTTATTTTAAGTATATAAGTTATTTTCTAGTCTGGGCTGCTAGGCTTCTCATGATACTATCAACAATGAACTACCACCAATGTGGCCCGGGTTCAAATCCCATCGTCTACGCCATATGTGGGTTGAGTTTGTTGTTGGTTCTCTCCTTTGCTATGTGGCCCGGGTTCAAATCCCATCGTCTACGCCATATGTGGGTTGAGTTTGTTGTTGGTTCTCTCCTTTGCTCCGAGAGGTTTTTCTCCGGGTACTCCGGTCTTCCCCTCTCCTCAAAAACCAACACTTCCAAATTCCAATTCGATCTGGAACGCACGGACACGTTTAAACGAGTTCATATGAACTCTTAAGTGCTTCGTGGGTGAAAAAAGCCGAATTTACAATTGTTTTTTTTACAATGAACAATATCTAGATATCAGAGTTGACAAAACTGAAAACGACGAAGAACATGTATTTTGTTAAATACAGTCTATGGACGTATCCAATTGTGACCGGTGGCTTAATGTAGTAAATTTTTTCGGAAGTTTTTTTAACCACTCTGTCTTTTTGAAGTTTAATTTCTGGACGCCTCCTGGTATTTGTCGATCAATAAAATTCTCATTCCATTGGTGTTTTAAAAATGAGCAAGTCTGCTTGCAATGAGTTTCGTTTAGCTTCACAGAAGTTTTAGCTTCCCAGCTGTAGAATCCCTCGTCAGACTTTTTTTATTCTCTTACAAGTAAAAATCATTTCCACAAGAAAGGTTTTGCACTTAGCCTCGTTTTAAAGTGAGAGTTAGTGCCTGTTCTTGGCGTATAAAACAATCTGCAAGTCACGTGTTCCCCGTATAATTCCAATTCGAGGTCCAATCCTAAATCTAAACCTTAACTTAGTGTTTTTAAAACTCTCTGTATCTTTAAAGTCATAATTTGAAGTTATCCAATTGTGGCCGGTGACACGTCAATTAATATATGTAGTAAATTTTTTTTCCGAGCTCCTTTAATCCCGCTCTGTCCACTCCTTCTTTCTAAACATTTAAAATTTCTAGACTCCGCTGGTAATTGCGGATTAATTAAAAATGACCAAATCAACTTACACTGAACAGTGAGTTTCGCTGAAGCGTTAACGCTCCCCAGTAAATTTTTAGCTTCACAGCTGTAGACTCCCTCATCCTCAGGCCTCACGTCCTTCAAAATCAGAGCACCACTGGACTCTACCTTGTGACGTCCCACAGGAAGCCGCGAGTTCATCTTAGACCAGGTGATCTGTGGAGTTGGATTTCCATTTGCTAAACATTTCAAGATGGCCGTCTGGCTTTGATTGACAGTTGTTCCAATCGGACTCTGCAGCAGAGAAGGAGCCGTAATGGACTGGCCTGGCTCACCCTTGGTTCCCTTTTGACCTGGTGGGCCTCTAGGACCCATAGGGCCAGGGACCCCCGGTACTCCGAGATCCCCTTTAATGCCGACGGGTCCTGGAAGTCCAACTGGCCCATGTTTACCAGGAGGTCCTTCTGGTCCGGGTTTCCCTGGGGGACCTGGTCTCCCTCGGAATCCGGGTCTTCCCCGTCGCCCTGCATTACCTTTTGGTCCTGAGCGGCAAAGCTTTTCATCTTTAGCACAGAATTGGTTTTGCAGCACTCGAAGCTCTTCTTTGATTATTAGTTTTACTCGCGATTCTGTTTGGACCGATTTTGTTCGAGAATTAGCGGGTGACGCTCTCTTCTGTCTTGAATTGACGTTTTCATACTCGCCAAGACCTTACAAAACATTAAATAAAGCCCTTTCTGAGCATTAAGTAAAAATGGAATTATATATCGTACCAAAGAAAAAACAAACAAATGCCCAAAACTGAAAACAATCTAAAAAAACGACCGCTGCCTTGACGGTGTTTCTTCCCGACACGCATCCTCTGAGTTAGCATAAAAAAAATAGTCTTTTAAATTCTTACCGAGCTAATTCAACAATGTACACTCAATTCAGTTCACGTCATGTCCATTTGCTAAATAGCCAACTCCTCGTATGTAGCCCAAAGGAAATACGGACTTATTTTGTGTTCGATAGAACCGAATTATTATAATTTTGATTTTCATTTACTGTATCGGTGTAGCTGAAGGTTGTTATAATATCATTCGTTCGAAATGTGCAGTGATACTTTTAAATCAACTCTGGACGGGCTGTTTTTTTGTTAAGAATGTCCTTTCGTTGGTTAGCTCTTGTATTCCCCTGTTCTTGACAGCCTCACCGATTATAAGCCTGTGCTCTTATTGCGGATTCTAAGCGAGTAGTCGGAACAAATTTTGAACAAGATAAAGCTCCTCTTATGTTAAACAAGGATAATTTTCATAATCGCCAGGATCTGAAACAAGCTGATGTTAATATCAAAACCCGGAAAATTTTATAAAACGTTTCCTTACCATTTGTCCCCTGCAAATGACCATTTATGCCATCAACTTTCGTAACTTGCCATCCTTCGTAATTCTGCTGAACTTTCCTCAGAATCTGCGTTTCCATCTGATCACAGCATGTTACCGAGTGTGATATCAGTCGATGATGTTCTTGTATTCGGAGTTCCATGTGAATTAGAGCCATACAACACGCAACAGACAACAGCAAAGCTGAAACGGAACACAAGCTGTTCAGTGTTTTTCTTCTGTTTTTCTTCTTGTCTTCCTTACTAGTCGGCTGTTTCATGTTTAAAACAGTTTTCAGAGATACGCAGCGTCAATCTCGAGATAACAAATTGAAAGCGTGAAGTGAATCTTCTTTGGCGACCAAAACTCAGAGCGTGTTTAATGAGCAAAACGACAAGCGGAAGCTGAAACGTGACTTAATTTCGTCCCTGCAATGGATACAACTCACCAGTTGTAACTGATACGAGAAAATAAACCCTTGACTCAGCCAGAGTAATACATTATAGGTTAAAAAATTGGCCAAAATTCAAAGTGAGGGAACTTCTGGGAAAATCTGGGCAGAATTGTCGAGGGTCCCCCCAAAAGGGTTTTTTTAGAGTTGGTATTTAACTTATTTACCCGCAGGATTCGGGATTTCATATGAAACGCAGAGCTCGATTTAGCATTGGATCCCTAATTAAAGGCTGCCAATAGGTTTTTCTACCCTCGGGATTACGGAATTGCACGAAACTGTGGGTCGAGATTACGGGATTGAAGAACGCTATAGGGGACCCTCGAGATTGAAGTATGCGCGGGCGTGATTTACTGATTGTGTGGTGCGGAATTCAAGAAATGTTGTTTCCCGTTAAAACAGTGAACTGAACTTTCTTAAAATGATATCGATCGACGAAAACTCTATCCATGTCCACCGTGTCACGAGGCCAATTTTCCCAATATCTATCTGGCGCCCGTGGCTCGTTCGATGAAAACGTTTCATCTTCTCTTAAATACAGCCAAGGCTGTCATGCTTTCACCGTGCCAACAATTTAGCTCAGTTACTTCAAACGGGGCCGTAACAATAGACCAAGTTAACTGCTTAAAGGGACCTTTCAGTCAGTGCTTTTAAGTCCCGGCTTGCAGGACTTTATATTTCTAAATGGTATTCGTCTACTAGCCAGTGAAAGATACTAATTGTGCAGAAAACCACCACTTAAATTTGTGACTGAGAAAGGGCTCAAGGCCGAAAAGGCTGGAAACATTTCACTTTTCAGATGGCACTTTTATCTCACTAAAAACTCCGAACTTACAGTCAACGTTCTCTTTGATGGAGACCTTCGGGACCGGCCGCGACTGTGCGTCTTAGAGCGATGTCCTTCTTACAGAGGGTTGAGGTAACTTGACACCAGTAAAAACTTAGGCTGAACGCATTCGCAATGAATACACGTCTGTATGAGCAAAACAGATAGAACTAGAATATTGTAACACAAAGGGCAAATCATTTTCTTGTTATAAAATCAACGTTCATTACAAGCAAACGTTCGCGACTTAGCGGTCTAAAAGCACAACAATATGCACTCAACAGCGGACTCTATCAACTGGAGAAAGACCACTGAAATATTAAAAGTTGGCAATTTACTGTCATGTAGAGCACTTACATTTCGGTTTTGGGGTATTTTTCACCGCATTAAGCACTTCTCAAGTGTCCATTGACGGTTTCGCAAGGGTCTGTTGTCCGTTATAGAGAGGTGTCCGTCTTATAGAGAGTGTAAAATGACTGAAAAACGGCAGGGACCAACACCATGTGTCTGTCTTAGAGAGGTGTCTGTCAGTTATGGAGGTGTTCGTTAAGAGAGAGTTGAGGGTATTTTAATCCACTTACTGTATTTCCTCGAGTAATATCCGTCCCTCTATTAATCTCTTCCCTCAAATAATAACACCCCCCTCCCCCACCCCTTTCGCTTTTTTTTCCCTCCCCGTCAAGATAAAATTGACACCTTTGACATCAAACAGATTTTATTTACTCATTGTTTACAACTGAAAGCTACTGAAAAGTTTCAAAACTGATCAGTGACTGCTCAAGCTCTGACGCCGATGATATTGAAATTGAAAATTAAACAGGGAAACAAATTTGGAACCCTTAAAAAGACCATGTTCAGTTTACATTTCGTGTGATTATTTTTGATAAGTAACGGGATTATAAAGCAAAATACTTAGTGCAAGACTTCCAGTGAGCATTACATGTATTTGAAATAATCGCCTTCCCTCGAATAATCTACGGTAATCTGTTAATTGTTATGCGATTCAGTTCATGAACAATGCACAAGCACAGTAGAATACTTAATAATGATTGCGATTTTTTTCGAGTTGGGTAATAATGTGGCTGCTAACGCAAATGAACCAAACTCGATAAATACCGCGAGGAACGAACCTCACTTTGTCTCCGCACTTGCTCGAGGGAAGCAATTCCTCTTCTTAGACTGATTATTTCAGGGAATCGTGAGACGACACCAATATACTTGTCAGGCTATCTTAGCTTTATAGCTAATGCTTTTTTGTTTCCTTTCACGAAAATTTATTGATTACATCCGCGAGGCTTACCTCTTGCTGTCAGAGTACTCATCTTCTTTGGTGAAAAATAGCTGCAAAAAGCTCTCGTTGGTCGGGGTAGGGGTGCAAAAGAAACGAACAAGCTCTTGCTAGGTGAGGGAGGTGGGAGGGGGGAGGATAGAAGAACATTTCCTCCAGTTCTTCGAGTTCTGTCATTCTTCTCTTTGTTAAGGTTTTGCAAATTTCAAACGGCCTGCTTTCCTAGACCACTTGAAATATGGTCATCTTCCAAACAGAGGATATCTTAAAAGCAGTGCGCATACCGTAATAAGCATATGCATTGAAGAGGCTGTCTTTTCAAAGCTTCAATCTACATCTTAACAGTTAAACTAGTGATTCTGGAAAACTTTAGTGAAGAGCATTATTTGCCAAATTCGTGCCAGCTAGACAGAATGATTTACACGCTCTAATCCATTAAACTATCAGTTTTATCGGCCACTTTCACAGATAACGTTAATATCCCACTTGCAGAATAGAACCTTTCGCTCTGTTAATTTACTACTCAATGATACAACTTAACAATGTAAGATAAATTGCTGGAAGCTGTGTTAAACTCATGAATGACATATGGTAGTTTTCCTGGTACAAGCATGGGCTCCTGGTACAAGTAGGACTCCTGGTACAAGGTAATGCATGGTCATGCAATATCAAAGCACTTCAGTTTCCCCAGAGTGTGGTAACCTTCCTCGGGACTACTCACATCACCAAACCTGAGCTGTTTTACTGGAAGCTTTGTCTTATCAGTGAGAAGACCGCTGTCCTCACGCCATACATTGTCATTCTTATCACAGTTACAACCGTAACTGGAGTCTGCACATGAGTTGGTCATCCCACATGCGCACTTACCACTACCAGGTAACGCTCCACCCCAGTACGTCATCTTTACGGAATCACGTGACACCCACCAGGCGTATCCACTCCTAAATACCCTTGAATGATAACACTCGTACCTGATAAACTGCTCACAGTGTGAAGAGACTCTGGTGAGACTCGCCAGCTGAGACAGACTCGCTCCTGTGTAATGAATGTCACGAGAGTAACACCCTGCTGAATCACATCCAGACACATGTATTCTACTCTCACTGTTGTGACTAATGACTGTCATGCCAACTCCACTTTTATCAGTCATGTCGCAGAACACTGTGAATGGTGCCAGACCTCCCTCGCCGTCAGGATCAATGACGTAACTTCCGCTTACACTGCTGGCGTATCTTTTAATTACAGAACAGGAAGTAGCCATAACAGGAGAATTGATTTTAACTTTAGCTTCTACTGTTGCCAAGGCATTGCTCGCTCTACAGATGTAAGATCCTTCGTGAGATTTCTTGATGTTCTGAAGAACCAGAGTTCCATTCGAAAGAACATTGGAATCTAACGAAAGCAAGGACTTGCCCTCCTTTCTCCAATAAGTTGTAGGGCTCAGGTCGCTCTCTGCTAAACACGGCAGGTGAACAGTATAACCAATGACAGGAGTCACTTCTTGTGGAGGACGGCCTTTGAACCGCAATGGAGAGAATACCATAACAAGGGTTGTTGCCGTGGCTGATCCCAGAATATTCTCCGCTTTACAAATGTATACTCCAGCATCTTTTTTTGTGACACTGTAGATTTTCATGGTTCCATCTTGCACCTTGATTCTGTCTCCAGGTAAAATTCCTACTGCCTTGGACCACGTGATCTTAGGTGACGGCTGACCAGTTGCAGTGCAGGCCATGGTGACGTTTTGTTGCTCTTCAGCCATCAGTCGATTGGATGACAATGAAAGTTGCGGACCAACTAGCAAAAAATAGAAAATCAGGGCCGGTTGTTAAAGAAAAACTGAGTTAGAGCGCAGAAAATCAGTGTCCCCTCAAAATGTGTTTGCAAGTACCGTATTTTAGGTAGATAAATGGTTTTGTAGCCTGCGTTACGTTGTTGCCCTTCTTGATACTATTAGCACTAAACGATATCCAGATACAGATCAGATTTAGCAAAATTGAACACGACAAAAAACATGTCTTTTCTTAAACACTGTCTATGTTTTAATACCATGATTTGAAGTTTAATATCCAGTTGTAACCGATGACATAATATAGGAGTTTGTTTATAATGTTCTGTTTAAGGACCTTTTTTACCCCGGTATATGCAACCAAGTTAAATTCAAGAATCCGCTGGTAATTATCGATCAATAAAATTCTTAGTCCACTTTAATTTTTAAATAAAATGACTAGGTCGACCTACACTGTATAGTGAGTTTCGCTGAAGCGTTAACGCTCCCCAGTAAATTTTTAGCTTCACAGCTGTAGACTCCCTCATCCTCAGGCCTCACGTCCGTCAAAATCAGAGCACCACTGGACTCTACCTTGTTACGTCCCACAGGAAGCCGCGAGTTCATCTTAGACCACGTGATTTGTGGAGTCGGATTTCCATCTGCTGAACATTTCAAGATGGCTGTCTGACTTTGATTGACAGTTGTTTCAACAGGACTCTGCAGCAGAGAAGGAGCCGTGATGGACTGGCCCGGCTTACCCTTGGTTCCCTTTTGACCTGGTGGGCCTCTAGGACCCATGGGACCAGGGACCCCCGGTACTCCGAGATCTCCTTTAATACCGACGGGTCCTGGAGGTCCTACAGGCCCATGTTTACCAGGAGGTCCTTCTGGCCCGGGCTTCCCTGGGGAGCCTGGTCTCCCTCGGAATCCGGGTCTTCTCCGTCGCCCTGCATTACCTTTTGGTCCTGAGCGGCAAAGCTTTTCATCTTTTGCACAGAATTGGTTTTGCAGCACTCGAAGCTCTTCTTTGATGAGTAGTTTTACTTGCGATTCTGTTTGGACCGATTTTGTTCGTGAGTTAGCGGGAGACACTCTCTTCTGTCTTGAATTGACGTTTTCATACTCGCCAAGACCTTTCAAAACATTAAATAAAGCCCTTTCTGAGCATTAAATAAAAATGGAATTGTATATCGTACCAAAGAAAAAACAAACAAACGCCCAAAAGTGAAAACAATCTAAAAAAACGACCGCTGCCTTGACGGTGTTTCTTTCCGACACGCATCCTCTGAGTTAGCATTTAAAAAAATAGTCTTTTTAAATTCTTACCGAGCTAATCCAACAATGTACACCCAGTTCAGTTCAAGTTATGTCCATTTGCTAAATAGCCAATTCCTCGTATGTAGCCCAAAGGAAATACGGACTCATTTTGTGTTCGATAGAGCCGAATAATTATAATTTTCATTTTTATTTACTGTCAGTATCAGTGTAGCTGAAGGTTGTTATAACATCGTTCGTTCCAAATGTGCAGTGATACGTTTAAACTAACTCAGGACGAATTGTTTTCACTCCTTTTGCGGTTGGTTGGCTCTTGTTGTGTTCTTCTATTCTTGACAGCCTCACCAATTACAAGCCTGTGCTCTTATTGCGGATTGTAAGCGAGTAGTCTGAACAAATTTTGAAGATCAAGCTCCTCTTATGTATCGGTCAAATCGAAGCTTCAACATCCACCCCCCGGGCAACCCCCCGGGTATTTGACTTTTTTGAAAATTATTGTTCAAATTCCCCTCTACCCGGGCCAAAACGCTGCTCAAATGCCCCACACTAGGGTCCATTCAGGTGATCAAATGCCCCCACCCCTGGGACATTTCACAGGTTCATAAATGACAGAAGGACGGCAGAAACGCCTTCAGTTGTCGAACAAAATCTTTATGAATACAGCAAATACTTCGCATTCAATATTACAAAAACTGAGAAGCACTGTTCGCGTATACGTATTTACTATGAACAAAAGTCTCGTGCAAAGCGGCGGAAATCGCTGCTATAAGGTCACTAAAGGCTCAGAGTTTCTTCGTGTGTTATGCAACATACAAAAGGTTCTTTATAAAATAATCCGACCTACTGAGATTACTACATCATGAAAAATTCACTGACATGTACCATCGCTCACCTTATTAATTAACATACATGCGCAAGTCAAAATAATTGACCTCTGTTGAGCTTTTTATTGCTGTATTGAAACCCGGTATAGGTATTGTAATTCATTATAAACACAACTTAATACATTCATATATTCAAAGCCTGAATCCAATATTAAAAATATTAAAATTTAAATACCTTCAAATACGGCACAAACATCGTAACCAATTGGCCACAAAGGCACAATCTTTTCCACGAAAATCCTCTAACACCATAATTGGCCACAAAGGCACAATCTTTTCCACGAAAATCCTCTAACACCATGTCCCCCATGCAGCTCGCCACGCCAGAGATTTCACATGAAATCGAGGGTGCAGTTCAAATTCCCCACCCCTAACGCATAGGGATCAAATTCCCCACCCCCTGGAAGGCACTGATAATCAAATTCCCTCCTGCCCGGGACGGCAAAGGTGTCAAATGCCCGGGGTATGCCCGGGGGAGGGAGGGTTGTTGAAGCTTCGATTTGACCTATACATTATGTTAAACAAGGATAAATTTCATAATCGCCAGGATCTGAAACAAGCTGATGTTAACTTCTCAAACTCATTAATAATTCATAAAGAAAATTCAAAGGAAATTAATGTTTAATGAGTGTTTGGATATCGGATGAAAAACTGCTCATTTTTGCATCCTTAATTTCTCCTTCAAAAATGATTTTGTTTGAGAAGAAATATCAAACATTCGACACAGTGTTTCATCACCAGATGAAACACCTCGAAGTTCGTCAAAAATACTCCGCTACGCGTCGTATTTTCAACTCTCTTCTCGGTGTTTCATCTGGTGATGAAACACTGCGTCTCATGTTTGATATATTACATCAAAAACCAGAACATTTTATAAAAGTTTTCCTTACCATTTGTCCCCTGCAAATGACCTTTTATGTCATCAACTTTCATAACTTGCCATCGTTCGTAATTCTGCTGAACTTTCCTCAGAATCTGCGTTTCCATCTGATCACAGACTGTTACCGAGTGTGATATCAGTCGATGATGTTCTTGTATTCGAAGTTCCACGTGAATTAGAGCCATACAACACGCAACAGACAACAGCAAAGCTGACACAGAACACAAGCTGTTCAGTGTTTCTCTGCTGTTCTTCTTGTCTTCCTCACTGGTCGGCTGTTTCATGTTTAAAACAGATTTCAGAGATACACAGCGTCAATTTCGAGATAACAAATCGAAGGCGTGGAGTGAATCTTCTTTGGCGACGAAAACTCAGAGCGTTTTATATGTTAAGCAAAACGGAAAGCGGAAGCTGAAACGTGACTTATTAAATTTCGTCTCTGAAATGGATACAACCCACCATGAGTTGTAACTGATACGAGAAAATAATCCCTTGACCTAGCCAGAGCAATGCATTATAGGTTAAACAATTGGCGGAAATTCAAAGTGAGGGAACTTCTGGGACTTCCTGTTCAGAATTGTTGAGGGTCCCCGCAAAACGTTTTTTTTTTTTTTTGAGATTTGGTATTTAACTTATTTACCCGCAGGATTCGGGATTTCATATGAAATGCAGAGCTCGAGTTAGCGTTGGATCCCGAATTGAAGGGTGCCGAATACGTTTTTCGGGACCTGGGATTTCCCTTCTTTGAAGCTCGGGATTCGGGATTTGAAAGCAAAATTGGGTTAGGTTTCGGGATTGAAAGTATAGGCGGGAGGTGAGATGCCAAAACTAACCCTTGGGATTAGGGGATAACGCGAAATTTTGGGTCGAGATTACGAGATTGAAGAACCGTATTAGTGAGTCCCTCGAATTGGCGCGGGATATGTGATTTACTGATTCTGTGATGCGGAATTCAAGAAATGTTGTTTCCCGTTAAAACAGTGAACTGTACGTTCTTAAAATGATATCGATCGATAAAAACCTTTTACGTCGTGCTTTCACCGTGCCAACAATTTAGCTCAGTTACTTTTAAATTGGGGTGGCGGTAACAATAGACCAAGTTAACTGCTTAAAGGAACCTTTCAGTCAGTGCTGTTAAGTCCCGGCTTGCAGGACTTTATATTTCTAAATGGTAATCCGCCACTTTAACAGAACAAATGGATCCAGCCAAAGAATAGCCTGTTTCCGGCGTTTAGGTAGTGGGGAGCAACTGAAATCGTACGCGGCGAGCGCAAAAAGAAACACGAGGGAAAAAAAAAACGAGGGGAGACTGAGGCGTTTTCGCCCGCTCCCCACCATCCGAACGCCTGGAACAGGCTAGCCAGTGAAAGATACTATGGTTCTTTCAGAAACCACTTAAATTTGTGACTGAGGAAGGGCTCAAGCCCGAAAAGTCTGGAAACATTGCACTTTTCAGACGACACTTTTGTTTCACTAAAAACTCTGAACTTACAGTCAACTTTCTCCTTGATGGAGACCTTCGGGACCGGCCGCTACTGTCCGTCTTAGAGGGATGTCAGGCTTACAGAGGGTTGAGGTAACCTGACACCAGTATAAACATATATAGGCTGAACCCATTCGCAATGAGTACACGTCCGTTTAACTTGTGAAAAACAGCTAAAACTAGAATATTGCACACAAATGTGAAATCATTTTCTTATTATAAAATCAAACGTTCATAATACAAGCCAAAGTTCACAGCTTAGCGATCTAAAAGCGCAACAGTATGCACTCTACAGCTGACTCTATGAACTGGAGAAAGACTACAAAATATGAAAATCTAGCAATTTACTGTCATGTAGAGCACCTAAATTTGCGTTTTGAGGTATGTTTACTGCATAAAGCCGACTTCTCAAGTGTGCGTTGACGGTTTCATAAGGGTCCGTTGTCCGTTTTAGAGAGGTGCCCGTCTCATAGCGGAGCTCTCTCGCGCGTAAAGGGCGCGAAGCGGAGCACCACGGGAAAGAAAATTTAGTAACCTATGCATCCGAGAAATTTTGGTAGTCACGTGACCGCACGCCTGCCCGCCCTCTTGACCGACCGTCCATACGCACCACAGGCATACCAATGTAAAATAACTCAATCGACAGGTATAACAACTCAAATGCAACTCAAGGTTTTATTTGGAAGGAAATCGCATGGCCGCCCGGACTTTTAGAAAGAATAAACAACAACAAAGCCGTGTCTTCTTCGACGTTATTTTTGATGCTTACACTCAAGTGGATAACGAAGAAAGAGCTAGAGCGAGTGATTGAAAACAAAGGAGACGAATTCCGTAGGAAGAAAAACATGAAAATTCAAAGCGGCGGTAAGAAAATTAGAAATGCTAGCGGCCAGCAAGGAGCGACCAGTAGGGTGTAAATGAGGGCCAGTGAAAAAAAAAAAGAAAAAAGGTGAACATGAACACAGGAAACAAAATATTGGGTAGGCACATACGACAATTCCTCCCTCCATAAAAATAATGTGTAACTAGACAGTTTGACGCTTTAGTCGTACAAAACAGCGTTGTAGTCGTGCAAAACAGCGGCAAAGAAAGACCAAAAAGCGTGCTGCACGTGCAAATTTGTTTTTTCCTAATAAGAAAAAAAGTGTGCTGCACGTGCAGTGTTTTTTTGCTAATTAGATGTATTGATCTTGATGCCATTTTCATTGCCGTCTCTGTTTAACATTACACCATTTAATTCTTTGTTTATGAGTATTAATATTAACCAGAGCTTCGCTTTTAGCCCTGGGTAAATCTATATATTAAAGAGTATAGTTACAGTGGAATGACTGAAAAACGGCAGGGACCAACAACAACCAGGTGACCGTCTTAGGGAGGTGTGTGTCTTATGGAGGTGTTCGTCAACAGAGAGTTAACGGTATAATCACCCCCACCCAACCCTTTCGCTATCTTCTTCCCTCCCTGTCGAGTAAAGTTGACACCTAGGACAACAAACAAGCTTTTATTTACTGACTGTTTACAACAGAATAGTTACAAAGCTGATCAGTGACGACTCAGGCTCTAGACTGCGAGCGGTCACTTATTTTTCTTTGCAAAGTTACTGCACGTGAAACCCAAGCACCGAGCGGCGAGCGCATTTTAAGAGAAAAGGCGGACGCAAGCAGTCTACTCAAGCTCTGACATGCACCGATAATATTGAAATTGAAAATTAAACAGGGAAACAAATTTGGAACACTTAAAAAGCCTATGTTAAGTTTATATAATGTGATTATTTTTGATAAGTAACGGGATTATAAAGCAAAATATTTAGTGCACGACTTCCAATGAGCAATACATGCATTTGAAATAATCGTCTTCCCCCGAATAATCGCCCCTGGCTATTATTCGGGAAATACGGTAATCTGTTAATAATTAGGCGAGTAAGTTCATGAACAATGCACAAGCACAGTAGAGTACTGAGAATACTTAATATTGATTGCGATTTTCAGTTTCGAGTTCGGTAATAATGTGGCTGGTAACGCGAGTGAACCGAACTAGATTACCGCGAGGAACGAACTTTGTCTCCGCACTTCCTCGTGGGAAGCCCGATTTCTCTTCTTAGACTGATTATTTCAGGGAATCGTCAAACGACACCAATGTACTTGTCAGGCTATCTTTGCTTTATAGCTAATTTTGCTTTCCTGTTTCGTTTGACGAAAATTTATTGATTATATCCGCGAGGTTTACCTTTTGCTGTTAGAGTACTCATCTTCTTTGGTGAAAAACAGCTGCAAAAACTCTCGGGGGTTGGGGTAGGGGTGCAAAAGAAACGAACAAGCTCGTTCTGGGTATGGAAGGTGGGAGAGGGGAGGGTAGAAGAACACTTGCTCTAGTTCATCGAGTTCTGTCATTCTTCTCTTTGTTACGGTTTTGCAAATTTCAAACTGCTTGCTTTCCTAGACCACCTTCCAAACAGGGGATATTTTAAAAGCAGTTTGCATACCGGAATGAGCAAGGAAGGGGCTATCTTTTCAAAGCTTTAATCTACACCTTAACAGTTTAACTAGTAATTCGGGAAAAACTTAAGTGAAGGGCAATATGTTATTTGCCAAATTACCAGCTAGACAGAAAGATTTTTACGCTTTCATCCATTTAGCGGTCACTTTCACTGGTAACGTTAATATCCCACTTGCAGAATAGAACCTTTCGCTCTGTTAACTCAATGATACAACTTAACAATATGATATAAATTGCTAGAATCTAGTGTTAAACTGATGAATGATATAGTTTCTCTAGTACAAGGTAATTCATCGTCATGCAATGCCAAAGCATTTCAGTTTCCCCAGGGTGTGGTAACCGTGTTCGATGCGTTCGCCACTATCACCAAACCTGAGCTGTTTTACTGGAAGCTTTGTCTTATCAGTGAGAAGACCGCTGTCGTCACGCCATACATTGTCGTTCTTATCACAGTTACAACCATAACTGGAGTCTGCACATGAGTTAGTCATCCCACATGCGCACTTACTACTGCCAGGTGAAGCTCCGCCCCAGTACATCATCTTTGAAGAATCACGTGACACCCACCAGGCATATCCAAGTGTTAAGAACATTGTTTGATAACACTCATACTTGATAAACTGCTCACAGTGTGAAGAGACTCTGGTGAGACTCGCCAGCTGAGACAGACTCGCTCCTGTGTAACGAATGTCACGTGAGTAACACCCTGGATTACATCCATCAACATGTGTTCTACTCTCACTGTCGTGACTAATGACTGTCACGCCAACTCCACTTTTATCAGTCATGTCACAGAACACCGTGAATGGTGCCAGACCTCCCTCGCCATCAGGATCAATGACGTAATTTCCGCTTACACTGCTGACGTATTTTTTAATCACAGAACAGGAAGCAGCTCTCCCTAGAAAATTTATTTTAACTTTAGCTTCTATTGTTGCCAGAACATTACTCGCTCGACAAGTGTAAGATCCTCTATGAGTTTTCTTGATGTTCTCAATAACTAGAGTGTCATTTTGGAGAACACGGGCATTTACAGGAAGTACCCTAACGCCATCCATTGTCCACGCAAGTGTAGTACTCAGCTCACTCGCGGCCACACACGGCAGACGGACAGTTGAACCAACGACAGGAGTCACTTCTTGTGGAGGACGGACTTTGAACCGCAAAGGAGTGTACACAATAAGTTGAGCAGTGGCTATTGAAGAACCCAGAATATTCTTGGCCTTACAAATGTATGTTCCACCATCCTTTTTTGTGACACTGTAGATTTTCATGGTTCCATCTTGCATCTTGATTCTGCCTCCAGGTAAACTTCCCACTGCCTTGGACCACGTGATCCTAGGTGACGGCTGACCAGTAGCAGTGCAGGCCATGGTGACGTTTTGTTTCTCTTCAGCCATCAGTCGATTGGATGACAATGAAAGTTGCGGACCAACTAGTGAAAAATAGAAAATCGGGGCCGGTTCTTAAAGAAAGTCTGAGTTAAAGTGCAGTTCAAACAAATCAGTGGTCCCCTAGTCTGTTCTAGGCTCTCAGATAGTGGGGAAGACGCGAAAGTAAAAGGCACGTTTCCTCCCGCTTTATTTTCGTGTTCGCGCTTTCTAAATTCAGCGGACCCGACTATCTCGGAGCCTGAAACAGGCTAGTGGCCCCCAAAATGTGTTTACAAGTGGCTTATTTTAAGGAGATAAATAGTTTGGTAGCCTGCGTTGTTGCCCTTCTTGATACTATTCACACTAAGCAATATCCAGATACAGATCAGATGTAGCAAAATTGAGAACGACAACATACATGTTTTCGGTTAAACACTGTCTGAACTATACCATAATACCATGATTTGAAGTTAAATATCCAATTGTAACCGGTGACATAATGTACGAATTTTTTTTCTAATGTTCTGTTTAAGGAGCTTTTTAATCCCCGTCTATCCAACTTGTCTTTTTGAAGTTTAGTTTCTAGACTCCCCTGGTAATTGTCGATTAATAAAATTCTTAGTCCACTTTGATATTTAATTAAATTGACCAGGTCGACTTACACTGTACAGTGAGTTGGCTGAAGCGTTAACGCTCCCCAGTAAATTTTTAGCTTGACAGCTGTAGACTCCCTCATCCTCAGGCCTCACGTCCTTCAAATTCAGAGCACCACTGGACTCTACCTTGTGACGTCCCACTGGAAGCCGCGAGTTCATCTTAGACCACGTGATTTGTGGGGTTGGATTTCCATCTGCTGAACATTTCAAGATGGCAGTCTGACTTTGATTAACAGTTGTTTCAACAGGACCCTGCAGCCCAGAAGGAGCCGTGATGGACTGGCCCGGCTCACCCTTGGTTCCCTTTTGACCTGGTGGGCTTCTAGGACCCATGAGACCGGGAACCCCCGGTACTCCGAGATCACCTTTAATGCCGACGGGTCCTGGAGGTCCTACAGGACCATGTTTACCAGGAGGTCCTTCTGGCCCGGGCTTCCCTGGGGGACCTGGTCTCCCTCGGAATCCGTGTCTTCCCCGTCGCCCTGCATTACCTTTTGGTCCTGAGCGGCAAAGCTTTTCATCTTTTGCACAGAATTGGTTTTGCAGCACTCGAAGCTCTTCTTTGATGAGCAGTTTTACTTGCGATTCTGTTTGGACCGATTTTGTTCGTGAGTTAGCGGGAGACGCTCTCTTCTGTCTTGAATTGACGTTTTCATACTCGCCAAGACCTTTCAAAACATTGAATAAAGCCCTTTCTGAGCATTAAGTAAAAATGGAATTGTATATCGTACCAAAGAAAAAACAAACAAACCCCCAAACGTGAAAACAATCTAAAAAACGACCGCTGCCTTGACGGTTTTTCTTCCCGACACGCATCCTCTGAGTTAGCGTAAAAAAATAGTCTTTTTAAATTCTTACCGAGCTAATCCAACATTGTACACCCAATCCAGTTCAAGTCATGTCCATTTGCTATAAATAGCCAACTCCTCGTATATAGCCCAAGGAAATACGGACTCATTTTGTGTTCGATAGAACCGAATAATTTTCATTTTGATTTTTATTTACTGTATCAGTGCAGCTGAAGGTTATTATAACATCGTTCGTTCCAAATGAGCAGTGATACTTTTAAACTAACTCAGGACGAGTTGTTGTCACTCCTTTTGCGGTTGGTTGGCTCTTGTTGTGTTCTTCTATTCTTGACAGCATCACCAATTACAAGCCTGTGCTCTTATTACGGATTGTAAGCGAGTAGTCGGAACAAATTTTGAAGATCAAGCTCCCCTTATGTATCGGTCAAATCGAAGCTTCAACATCCACCCCCCGGGCATTTGACTTTTTTGAAAATTATTGTTCAAATTCCCCTCTACCCGGGCCAAAATGCTGTTCAAATGCCCCACACTAGGGTCCATTCAGGTGATCAAATGCCCCCACCCCAGGGACATTTCACAGGCACATAGATGACAGAAGGACGGCAGAAACGCCTTCAGGTGTCGAACAAAATCTTTATAAATACAGCAAATAATTCGCATTCAATATTACAAAAACTGAGAAGCACTGTTAGCGTATTTACAATGAACAAAAGTCTCGTGCAAAGCGGCGGAAATCGCTGCTACAAGGTCACTGAAGGCTCAGAGTTTCTTCGTGTGTTGCGCAACATACAAAGGGTTCTTTATAAAATAATCCGACCTATTGAGATAACTACATCATCAAAAATTCACTGACATGCACCATCGCTCACCTTATCAATTAATATGGATACCGCAGGTCAAAATAATTGACCTCTGTTGAGCTTTATTGAAACCCGGTATTCTCGGCTTGCACTGTCACGCAATGAAAAATGAAAATGTAAACCATTCAATACAGAAGGACTAGAATCTAGGGAATGAAAAAAGATAAATATACAAAATCCCTTGCCAAGAATCAGGTCTGTGAAATATTTCAAATGCGAGATATTGGGAAAAAACGGTTTACCTAAATTTATAAAGCTTTGTATGGAAACGCCATGTTAGTGTCCCTTTCAGGAACACCAATATGGCCGCCGGATACCAACAGAAACATCTGTTTTCGAGTTTTCCTACTAATGCGCTTGAGGAACTCATAAAGATTACAGTAATATTTATTCTTAGACAAGGAATGTTTAGATTGCAAAATCGCCCAAAATTGGTAACGTTTTTAATCCACATAAGAACTTTCCCGGCCGCCAACTAAATGCCGCGTCACGCAAAAGCCTGGAAATTCAAGCGTCCTCTCTCGCAAAATGAAGAACCCTTTCGAACCAAAAATTTGTTTATGTAAAGGTGTTTGGGTACTGCAATACCTCGTGAAAGTAGAAATTCAGAAGAATCGATAGTTTCTTAGTTTGATTTTTGGTGACGTCACCTGCAACCCAAGAATAGGTACTGTAATTCATTATAAACAAAACTTAATACATTCATATATTCAAAGCCTGAATCCAATATTAAAAATATTAAAATTTAAATACCTTCAAATACGGCACAAACATCGTAACCAATTGGCCACAAAGGCACAATCTTTTCCACGAAAATCCTCTAACACCATGTCCCCCATGCAGCTCGCCACGCCAGAGATTTCACATGAAATCGAGGGTGCAGTTCAAATTCCCCACCCCTAACGCATAGGGATCAAATTCCCCACCCCCTGGAAGACACTGATAATCAAATTCCCTCCTGCCCGGGACGGCAAAGTTGTCAAATGCCCGGGGTATGCCCGGGGGGGGGGGGATGTTGAAGCTTCGATTTGACCGATACATTATGTTAAACAAGGATAATTTTCACAATCGCCAGGATCTGAAACAGGCTGATGTTAACATCAAAAACCAGAAAATTTAATAAAACTATATATACTAGATATACTTATTAAGATTTTATTGTTATAATATTAATTATAGAATATTCCACATCTAGTTTTTTAACTCTTAATTTTATTGTGTTTGTGGAATACCTGTAAATTAGCTGGCGTGCTTTCACAGATCCCGATTTCGGTTCCGTCTGTGAAAGCACACCATTATTGTAGCTAAGTGTATTTTCACAATAAACTCTTATTGTATTGTATTGTAAAACTTTTCCTTACCATTTCTCCCCTGCAAATGACCTTTTATGCCATCAACTCTCGTAACTTGCCATCGTTCGTAATTCTGCTGAACTTTCCTCAGAATCTGCGTTTCCATCTGATCACAGACAGTTACCGAGTGTGATATCAGTCGATGATGTTCTTGTATTCGAAGTTCCACGTGAATTAGAGCCATACAACACGCAACAGACAACAGCAAAGCTGACACAGAACACAAGCTATTCAGTGTTTCTCTGCTCTTCTTCTTGTCTTCCTTACTAGTCAGCTGTTTCATGTTTAAAACAGTTGTCAGAGATACACAGCGTCAATTTCGAGATAACAAATTGAAGGCGTGGAGTGAATCTTCTTTGGCGACGAAAACTCAGAGCGTTTTATATATTAAGCACAACGAAAAGCGGAGGCTGAAACGTGACTTATTAAATTTCGTCCCTGAAATGGATACAACCCACCATGAGTTGTAACTGATACGAGAAAATAATCCTTTGACCTAGCCAGAGTAATACTTTATAGGTCTAAAAAATTGGCGGAAATTTAAATTGAGGGAACTTCTGGGACTTCCTGTTCAGAATTGTTGAGGGTCCCCACAAAAGGTTTTTTTTTAGACTTGGTATTTAACTTATTTACCCGTAGGATTCGGGATTTCATATGAAATGCAGAGCTCGAGTTAGCGTTGGATCCCGAATTGAAGGGTGCCGAATAAGTTTTTCGGGACCCGGGATTTCCCTTCTTTGAAGCTCGGGATTCGGGATTTGAAAGCAAAATCGGGGCGAGTTTCGGGATTGAAAGTATACGCGGGAGGTGAAATGCTAAAAATAACCCTTGGGAATAGGGGATATCATGAAATTTTGGGTCGAAATTACGGGATTGAAGAACCGTATTAGTGAGTCCCTCGAATTGGACTTATGCGCGGGATACGTGATTTACTGATTCTGCGATGCGGAATTCAAGAAATGTTGTTTCCCGTTAAAACAGTGAACTGTACTTTCTTAAAATGATATCGATCGATAAAAACCTTTTATGTCCACCCTGTCACGAGGCCAATTTTCGTAATATCTAACTATCTGGTGCCTGTGGCTCTTTCGACTAAAACAGAGTTCATCGTTAAATACAGCCCAGGCTGTCATGCTTTCACCGTGCCAACAACTTAGCTCAGTTACTTCAAAAGGGGCTGTAACAATAAGACTAAGTACTGCTTAAAGGAACCTTTCAGTCAGTGTTTTTAAGTCCAGCTTCCAGGACTTTATATTCAGGGCCACCCAATGGATCTGTTCCTCAAAATATCTGTTCTTCAGGCTAATTTTTGCTGGCTGGGAGATTTGGAAAAAAAATGTCCTCGGAAAGAAAGTGTTGGTGGGAAAAAGACAACCCCACTGAAGGTCTAAATTTTGCCCCTTTGACCACACCCCAACTGGCCAGTAATGTCTGGACATAGGTCTGCTGGGAAACTTCCCAGTAAGCCAGGTTGCAGGTTATAGGTGCACCTTGCTGGTTGGGAACCCTTCCACCGGTCTTGCTGGGAGTGGATAAATTTTTTCCCAGCAATCTCCTTATAATTAAATGCTTAAAATGGCTTCAGGAACCTTTATTCACGCTTTGTTGTTGTTTTTAGGTATTTTCCTCAAAATTTCCGGTTAAGTGCACCTGTATATTTCTAAATGGTAATCGGCCACTTAAAACATAACAAATGGAACAAGCCAGTGAAAGATAATAATGGTTTAGAAAATCACTTAAATTTGTGACTGATGAAGGGCTCAAACTCGAAAAGTCTGGAAACATTGCACTTTTCAGACCACACTTTTGTTTCACTAAAAACACTGAACTTACAGTCAACTTTCTCTTTGATGGAGACCTTCGGGACCGGCCGGAACTGTACGTCTTAGACAGATGTCCAGATTAGAGAGGGTCAAGGTAACTTGACACCAGTAAAAACTTAGGCTGAACGCATTCGTAATGAATACACGTCTGTTTAACTTGTGAAAAAGAGCTAAAACTAGAATATTGTAACACAAAAGTGAAATCATTTTTTTATTATACAATCAAACGTTCACGACTTAGCGGTCTAAAAGCGTAACAGTATGCACTCTATGAACTGGAGAAAGACTGCAAAATATTAAAAAGTTTGCAATTCAGTACTGTCATATAGAGCACCTACGTTTCCGTTTTGAGGTATTTTCACTGCATAAAGCACTTCTCAAAGTGTCCGTTGTCTCGAGTTGTCTGTTTTGAAGAGGTGCCCGTCTTATAGAGAGTATACCTACAGTAAAATGACTTAAAAACGGGAGAGTTGACTGTATTTTAATTAACCTGTTAACCATTATACGCGAGTCAGTTGATGAACAATTCACAAGCACAGTAGAATACTTAATATTGATTGCGTTTTTTTGTAGTTTGGTAATAATGTTGCTGCTAACGCGAGTGAATCAAATTCGATTACCACGAAGAACGAGCCTCACTTTGCCTCCGCACTTGCTCGTGGGAAGCCCGATTTCTCTTCTTATACTGATTATTTCAGGGAATCGTGAAACGACACTAATATACTTAACAGGCTATCTTTGATTTATAGCTAATCAGTTTGCTTTTTTGTTTCCTTTCATGAAAATTTATTGATTACATGTGCGCGGCTTACCTTTTGCTGCCAGAGTACTCATCTTGTTTGGTGGAAAACAGCTGCAAAAAGCTCTCGGGGATCGGGGTACGGGTGCATGCGGAAAAGAAACGAACATTAGCTCTTCTGGGTGTGGAAGGTGGGAGAGAGTTCTGTACGCGCTCTCATCCATTGAACTATCAGTTTTATTGGCCACTTTCGCTGGTAACGTTAATATCCCACTTGCAGAATAGAACCTTTCGCTCTGTTAATTTACTGCTCAATGATACAACTTAACAATTTAAGATAAATTGCTTGAAGCTGTGTTAAACTGATGAACGATATAGTTTCCCTTGTACAGGGTAGTGCATTGTCATGCAATACCAAAGCACTTCAGCTTCCCCAGAGTGTGGTAACCTTCCTCGCCAGTATTCACATCACCAAACCTGAGTTGTTTGACTGGAAGCTTTGTCTTATCAGTGAGAACACCGCTGTCCTCACGCCATACATTGTCGTTGTTATCACAGTTACAACGATCACTGGAGTGTGCACATGAGTTGGTTATCCCGCATGCGCACTTACCACTACCGGGTGACGCTCCACCCCAGTACTTCATTATAGCAGAATCACGTGACACCCACCACCCGTTTGGACTGCTAAGCCACAAACCCGAATTATAACATTCATACTTGATAAACTGCTCACATTGGGAAGAGATTCGGGTGAGACTCGCCAGCTGAGACAGACTCGCTCCTGTGTAATGAATGTCACGTGAGTAACACCCCGCATTTTCACATCCGTCAACATGTGTTCTGCTCTCACTGTCGTGACCAATGACTGTCACGCCAACTCCACTTTTATCAGTCATGTCACAGAACACCGTGAATGGTGCCAGACCGCCCTCGCCATCAGGATCAATGACGTAATTTCCGCTGACACTGTTGATGTATTTTTTAACTTCAGAACAGGAAGCAGAAATCGGAGCATCGATTTTGACTTTAGCTTCTATTGTTGACAGGGCATTGCTTGCTCTGCAGGTGTAATAACCTTCAGTGGACTTCTTGATGTTCTCGAGAACTAGGGTACCTCTATGGAGAACATATGTGTTAGCTGGAAAGACACCAGCGCCATTTTTTAACCAAGTAATTGTGGTACTCAGCTCACTCTCGGCCACACACGGCAGACGGAGAGTGGAACCATAGTTCGGAGTCACTTCTTGTGGAGGATGGACTTTGAACCGCAACGGAGAGTATACAATTAGTAAAACAGTGTCTGTGGGGGAACCCAGAATATTGTCTGCTTTACAAATGTATATTCCACTATCTTTTCTTGCGACTCCAATGATTTTCATGGTTCCACCTTGCACGTGACTTCTGCTTTCAGGTAATCTTCCTACGGATTTGGACCACGTAATGTTAGGTGACGGCTGACCAGTAGCGTTGCAAGCAATGGTGACGTTTTGTTTCTCTTCAGCCATCAGTCGATTGGATAACAAGGAAAGTTGCGGACCAACTGTTGAGAAATAGAGAATGAGGGTCGTTTATTAATAAAAGAAAGTCTAATTTAGAGCGTGGTTTAAGAAAAACAGTGGCACCCAAAATGTGATTAACAAGTGTAACACAAAGCCTCCTTACACTGTACAGTGAGTTTCTCTGAAGCGTTGACGCTCCCCAGTAAGTTTTTAGCTTCACAGCTGTAGACTCCCTCATCCTCAGGCCTCACGTCCTTCAAAATCAGAGCACCACTGGACTCTACTTTGTGACGTCCCACCGGAAGCCGCGAGTTCATCTTAGACCACGTGATCTGTGGAGTTGGATTTCCATCCGCTGAACATTTTAAGATGGCCGTCTGACTTTGATTGACAGTTGTTTCAACAGGACTCTGCAGCAGAGAAGGAGCCGTGATGGACTGGCCCGGCTGACCCTTGGTTCCCTTTTGACCTGGTGGGCCTCTAGGACCCATGGGACCAGGGGCCCCCGGTACTCCGAGATCCCCTTTAATGCCGACGGGTCCAGGAGGTCCTACTGGCCCATGTTTACCAGGAGGTCCTTCTGGCCCGGGCTTCCCTGGGGAGCCTGGTCTCCCTCGGAATCCCGGTCTTCCCCGTCGCCCTGCATTACCTTTTGGTCCTGAGCGGCAAAGCTTTTCATCTTTTGCACAGAATTGGTTTTGCAGCACTCGAAGCTCTTCTTTGATGAGTAGTTTTACTTGCGATTCTGTTTGGACCGATTTTGTTCGTGAGTTAGCGGGTGACACTCTCTTCTGTCTTGAATTGACGTTTTCATAGTTGCCAAGACCTAACAAAACATTAAATAAAGCCCTTTCTGAGGATTAAGTAAAAATAGAAATATACATCGTACCAAAGAAAAAGCAAACAAACCCCCAAAAGTGAAAACAATCTAAAATACGACAGCTGTCTTGACGGTTTTTCTTCCTGACACGCTTCCTCAGTTACTTTCAAAAAATAGTCTTTTTAAATTCTTACCGAGCTAAGCCAACAATATACACTCAATTCAGTTCAAGTCATGTCCATTTGCTAATTAGCCAACTCCTCGTATGTAGCCCAAAGGAAATACGGACTCATTTTGTGTTCGATAGAGGCGAATAATTATAATTTTCATTTTCATTTACTGTATCAGTGTAGCTGAAGGTTGTTATAATATCGTTCGTTCGAAATGTGCAGTGATACTTTTAAACTTACTCAGGACGGGCTGTTTTTTTTGTTAAGAATGTCCTTTCGTTGGTTGGCTCTCTTATTCCCCTGTTCTTGACAGCCTCACCGATTATAAGCCTGTGCTCTTATTGCGGATTCTAAGCGAGTACTCAGAACAAATTTTGAACAAAGCTCTTCTTATGTCAAACAAGGATAATTTTCATAATCGCCAGGATTTGAAACAAGCTGATGTTAATATCAAAAACCAGAAAATTTTGTAAAACCTTTCCTTACTATTTGTCCCTTGCAAATGACCTTTTATGCCATCAGCTTTCGTAACTTGCCATCGTTCGTAATTCTGCTGAACTTTCCTCAGAATCTGCGTTTCCATCTGATCACAGAATGTTACCGAGTGTGATATCAGTCGATGATGTTGTTGTATTCGGAGTTCCACGTGAATTAGAGCCATACAACACGCAACAGACAACAGCAAAGCTGACACAGAACACAAGCTGTGGAGTGTTTTTCTTCTGTCTGTCTTCTTGTCTTCCTTATTAGTCGGCTGTTTCATGTTTAAAACAGTTTTCAGAGATACACAGCGTCAATCTCGAGATAACAAATTGAAGGTGTTAAGTTAATCTTCTTTGGCGACGAAAACTCAGAGCGTTTTATGTTAAGCAAAACGAAAAGCGGAAGCTGAAACGTGACTTATTAAATTTCCTCACTGAAATGGATACAACCCACCATGAGTTGTAACTGATATGGGAAAATAATCCCTTAACCCAGCAAGAGTAATACTTTTTAGGTTAAAAAATTGGCGGAAATTCAAAGTGAGGGAACTTCTGGGACTTTCTGGGCAGAATTGTTGTGGGTCCTCCGAAAAGGTTTTTTTTCGAGATTTGGTATTTAACTTATTTACCCGCGGGATTCGGGATTCATATGAAATGCAGAGCTCGATTTAGCGTTGGATCCCGAATTGAAGGGTGCCGAATAGGTTTTTGGGGACCCGGGATTTCCCTTATTTGAAGCTCGGGATTCGGGATTTGATTCGGGCGAGTTTCGGGATTGAAAGTATGCTTAGGAGGTGAGACGCCAAAAATAACCCTCGAGATTACGGGATTGAAGAACGCTATAGGGGACCCTCGGAATTTGAATTATGCGCGGGATACGTGATGTGCCGATTCTGTGGTGCGGAATTCAAGAAATGTTGTTTCCCGTTAAAACAGTGAACTGAACTTTCTTAAAATGATACCGATCGACGAAAACCCTGTCCACGGCCATCCGAGAACTTTTGGTAGTCACGTGACGGTACGCCCGCCCGCCCTCTTGACCGACCGTCCATCCGCACCACAGGCATACCAAAGTAAAATAACTCAATCGACAGGTATAGCACAATGTTTTATTTGGAAGGAAATCGCACAGCCGCCCGGACTTTTAGAAAGAAAAAACAACAACAAAGCCGTGTCTTCTTTGACGTTTTTTTTTATGTTTATACTCAAGTGGATAACAAAGAAAGAGCTAGAGCGAGTGATTGAAAACAAAGGAGACGAATTCCGTAGGAAGAAAATTCTCAAAATTCAAAGCGGCGGGAAGAAAATGAGGGACCTGTCATTTATTAGAGGGGGGGAGGGCTGGTGCAAATGGAGGGAGGGTCATTACATTTTATGTAGCCAAAAAGGGGAGGGTCACCAAAAATTTTAAGCTGGGCTTTGGGGAGGGCCATACCATTTTTAGGAAACATTGCTGTTCACTTAAAACAAAAATAAATAAAATAAAATAAAATACATTATTTAACAAACAAGTCCCTTGTACAGAAAGCATTTTAAACTTTAATAATAATCAACGTGAACAACCCAACAACCCTACATGTATGTCAACTATTGCATAAAAGCGGTCTTTAAATATCAAACAAAACATTTTATATGTAAACGTTCTTGAAGATTTTCTGTGAGAACTAACTAATCAACACATATTAAATGTTGAAACAGTATAGATTAATCCAGCTCACATTAGACCCGTGAGTGGAGCATCACAATATTTAAGGTTTAGTCACCACACTCCTCATTCTCTGTCAAGCTGTCACTATCTTCCCCAGAGAGACTTTTAACTGTATCCAGTTCTTGCTCACTTTCTTCCATAAAACCTTGTAGATAGTCTTGTGTTGTTGTAATGGCTCTTTCTGTCAAGTGACCATTCTTTGCCATTTTTGTCAGCCACCTGACCTGTCTAAATGAAAGGCGAGCAAGAGATTCTACATTCACATTGTCAATTGAGGAAGCAGTTTAAAATTTTTACTTTCTCTCTGTTGTTTCCTTTTGTTTGCTCTTCCTTTTGTTCTGTTTCTGTGATCTTTTTCTTGATTTGTTTTTCAACAGTAACACACCACGAAACATGTCTTTGCATTGATCAAGTTTCTCATTAAGATATTTCAATTCACTGTTTACTCTTTTTTTAGCTTCATCAAGCCTAGTAATAACATCAAAATTACCAGTCTTTGAGTGAAACAGGGTGTTAAGGTGAGCTTTAATTCGTCTATCCATATCTGATATGTTCTCTAGTAACTCACTGCAGAGCTCCATAATGTTCGCCCTCAGTATTAACTGATCAGCTGGGACAAGAACATATAATAATCGGTCGTGTAAAATTTTCCAGCAGCATCAAGATTGTTCGCGCTCAATATTGCGTCAATGCTTGAGGTGATCTTACATACCTGTTCCTAAATGTCGTATTAGCGCCTCCCTTCATCACAAGGTAAAAGTTGATCTCTTTTAATAATCCCTGTCATATCTTTTAGCGTGGGGAGGGTCATAACTATTTTGGACCATACAAGGGGGAGGGTTACATTTTTTTCTGCAGGAAATTGGGGGAGGGCATGACAAAAATTCACCTGGGAAAAAAGAATTGCACCAGCCCTCCCCCGCTCTAATAAATGACAGGTCCCTGAGAAATGCTAGCGGCCAGCAGGGTGTAAATGAGGGCCAGTGAAAAATGAAAGCGAACATGAACACAAGGAACAAAATATTGGGTAGGCACATACGACAATTCTTCCATAAAAAGTTTGACGCTTTAGTCGTACAAAACAGCGTTGTGGTCGTGCAAAACAACGGCAAAGAAAGACAAAAATGCGTGCTGCACGTGCAAATTCACGGTATTTTGCAGTAAGAAAAAAAAGTGTGCAGCACTTGCAATGTTTTTTTTGCTAATTAGATCGATTGATCTTGATGCCATTTTCATTTCCGTCTACGTTTAACATTACACGATTTAATTCTTTTTTTATAAGTATTAATATTAACTAGAGCTTCGCTTTTAGCCCTGGGTAAATCTATATATTAAAGAGTATAGTTACAGTAAAATGACTGAAAAACGGCAGGGACCAACAACAGGTGACTTAGAGAGGTGTCAGTCTTATGGAGGTGTTCGTCAACAGAGAGTTGACCGTACAATCACCCCCACCCACCCCTTTCGCTATCTTCGTCCCTCCCTGTCGAGGAAAATTGACACCTATGACAACAAACAAGCTTTTATTTACTGATTGTTTACAACTCAATACTTACAAAACTGGTAGTAACGACTCTACTCATCTGACACCGATGATATTAAAATTGATGATTAAACAGGGAAACAAATTTGGAACACTTAAAAAGCCCATGTTAAGTTTATTTGATGTGATTATTTTTGATAAGTAAAGGGATTATAAAGCAAAATATTTAGTGCACGACTTCCAGTGAGCAATACATGCATTTGAAATAATCGCCTTCCCTCGAATAATCGTCCCCTTTTGGCGCGAAACAATTTTTATTATTCATTCAAAATATTTCCCCGATTCTGATTGGCTAAAAACACACGTTTAATTCACCATAACCAGTTACTGATGACCAAATGTGGAAGAATTTTGACTTTAACGAGGAAATGACGTAAAAAATGCAGCGTTTTCGCAGGTTAAGGCATCGTTAACCGAGAAGACCTGGGGACGAGGTTGAGTTGTTTTGGTTGTGAACTTGAAAAAATGGCGGACTGATTATTTCAGGGAATCGTGAAACGACACCAATATACTTGTCAGGCTATCTTAGCTTTATTGCTACGTTTACTTTTTTGTTTCGTTTGACCGAAAATTTATTGATTTCATCCGCGAGGTTTACCTTTTGCTGTTAGACTAGTCATCTTCTTTGGTGAAAAACAGCTGCAAAAAGCTCTCGGGGGTCGGGGTAGGCTAGGGTGCAAAAGAAACGAACAAGATCTTTCTGAGTGTGGAAGGTGGGACGAGGGGGAAGGATAGAAGAACACTTCCTCTAGTTCCTCGAGTTCTGTCATTCTTTTCTTTGTTACGGTTTTGCAAATTTTAAACTGCTTGTTTTCCTAGAACACCTAAAATATGGCCATCTTCCAAACAGGGGATATTTTAAACAGTGTGCATACCGGGATGAGCAAGGAGGGCCTGTCTTTTCAAAGCTTTAATCTACATCTTAACAGTTTAACTAGTAATTCGAGAAAAACTTAAGTGAAGGGCAATGTGTTATTTGCCAAATTACCAGCTAGACAGAAAGATTTTTACGCTTTCATCCATTTAGCGGCCACTTTCACTGGTAACGTTAATCCCACTTGCAGAATACAACCTTTCGCTCTGTTAACTCAATGATACAACTTAACAATATGATATAAATTGCTAGAATCTAGTGTTAAACTGATGAATGGTATAGTTTCTCTAGTACAAGGTAGTTCATCGTCATGCAATGCCAAAGCATTTCAGTTTCCCCAGGGTGTGGTAACCGTGTTCGATGCTTCCGCCAGTATCACCAAACCTGAGCTGTTTTACTGGAAGCTTTGTCTTATCTGCGAGAAGACCGCTGTCCTCACGCCATGCATTGTCGTTCTTATCACAGTTACAACCATAACTGGAGTCTGCACATGAGTGAGTCATCCCACATGCGCACTTACTACTGCCAGGTGAAGCTCCGCCCCAGTACATCATCTTTGAAGAATCACGTGACACCCACCAGGCATATCCAAGTGTTAAGAACATTGTTTGATAACACTCATACTTGATAAACTGCTCACAGTTTGAAGAGACTCTGGTGAGACTCGCCAGTTGTGACAGACTCGCTCCTGTGTAACGAATGTCACGTGAGTAACACCCTGATGGATTACACCCATCAACACGTGTTCTACTCTCACTGTTGTGACTAATGACTGTCACGCCAACTCCACTTTTATCGGTCATGTCACAGAAAACCGTGAATGGTGCCAGACCTCCCTCACCATCAGGATCAATGACGTAATTTCCGCTTACACTGCTGACGTATTTTTTAATCACAGAACAGGAAGCAACAACAACTGGAGAATTGATTTTGACTGTAGCTTCTATTGTTGCTAGTGCATTACTCGCTCGACAAGTGTAAGACCCTCTTTGAGTTTTCTTGATGTCCTCGATAATTAGAGTGTCATTTCGAAGAACACGGGTGTTCCCAGGAAGTACACCAACGCCATCTACTGTCCAAGCAAGTTTAGTACTCAGTTCACTTGCGGCCACACATGGCAGACGGAGAGTTGAACCAATGACAGGAGTCACTTCTTGTGGAGGACGAACTTTGAACCGCAAAGGAGAAAACACCGTGAGTTGGGTCGTGTCTGTCGCTAATCCCAGAATATTCTCTGCCTTACAAATGTATACTCCACCATCTTTTTTTTTGACACTGTAGATTTTCATGGTTCCACCTTGCACCTTGATTCTGTCTCCAGGTAAACTTCCTACTGCCTTGGACCATGTGATCTTAGGTGACGGCTGACCAGTTGCAGTGCAGGCCATGGTGACGTTTTGTTGCTCTTCAGCCATCAGTCGATTGGATGACAATGAAAGTTGCGGACCAACTAGCAAAAAATAGAAAATCAGGGCCGGTTGTTAAAGAAAAACTGAGTTAGAGCGCAGAAAATCAGTGGCCCCCACAAAATGTGTTTGCAAGTAGCTTATTTTAAGTAGATGAATGGTTTTGTAGCCTGCGTTACGTTGTTGCCCTTCTTGATACTATTAGCACTAAACGATATCCAGATACAGATCAGATTTAGCAAAATTGAACACGACAAAAAACATGTCTTTTGTTAAACACTGTCTATGTTTAATACCATGAATTGAAGTTTAACATCCAATTGTAACCGATGACATAATATAGGAGTTTGTTTATAATGTTCTGTTTAAGGACCTTTTTTACCCCGGTATATGCAACCAAGTTAAATCCAAGAATCCGCCGGTAATTATCGATTAATAAAATTCTTAGTCCACTTTAATTTTTAAATAAAATGACTAGGTCGACTTACACTGTACAGTGAGTTTCGCTGAAGCGTTAACGCTCCCCAGTAAATTTTTAGCTTCACAGCTGTAGACTCCCTCATCCTCAGGCCTCACGTCCTTCAAAATCAGAGCACCACTGGCCTCTACCTTGTTACGTCCCACAGGAAGCCGCGAGTTCATCTTAGACCACGTGATCTGTGGGGTCGGATTTCCATCTGCTGAACATTTCAAGATGGCTGTCTGACTTTGATTGACAGTTGTTTCAACAGGACTCTGCAGCAGAGAAGGAGCCGTAATGGACTGGCCCGGCTCACCCTTGGTTCCCGTTTCGCCTGGTGGGCCTCTAGGACCCATGGGACCAGGGATCCCCGGTACTCCGATATCACCTTTAGTGCCGACGGGTCCTGGAGGTCCTATTGGCCCATGTTTACCTGGAGGTCCTTCTGGCCCGGGCTTTCCTGGGGGGCCTGATCTCCCCCGGAATCCGGGTCTTCCCCGTCGCCCTGCATTACCTTTTGGTCCTGAGCGGCAAAGCTTTTCATCTTTTTCACAGAATTGGTTTTGCAGCAGACGAAGCTCTTCTTTGATGAGTAGTTTTACTTGGGATGCAGTTTGGACCGTTGTTGGCTGTGAATTATCGGGTGATGCTCGTTTCTGTCTTGAATTGACGTTTTCATACCGACCAAGACCTTTCAAAAATAATGAAGACCTTTGTGAGCATTACTGAAGTAGAAAGATAAAAGTAAAAGTTGAAAACATACACACGTCCAAAAACAAAGCAAAACAAAAAACGGCGGTTGCTTCATAAAGATTTTCTTTCTCACGTAACCTCAGCTAACATCCAAAAATAGACTTTAAGTTCTCAATATGCTAAAGTTCAGTTCAGCTCAGGTGTAGCCTCAAGGAAATACGGACTATTTGGTGTTCGATATAAGCACTGAATTATTTTATAGCACTTAATTTATTGTATGTGGAAGAAGGTTTTTCTTATCGTTCACTCTAAATCAAAACGTGCAGAGCCGCTTTAAAAACTGGAGGTCTGGACTGACGGGTGGGTTTGTAGGACACTTTACTCTTCTCGCAGTTGGCTTTTGTATTATGTTCTCGTGTTCGTGACAGCTTCCCATACAAGCCTCTTGAGTCCCCTCCTTTCAGAATCTAAGGGTAGTCGGAATAACATTATGAAAATACAAATGCTCACGTACTAAGCAAGAATGATTTTCATAATGGAAGGATCTGAAACAAGCTGATAATAACTCTGTGTGTTTGAATTATAAAACTGTTCCTCACCATTTGTCCGTTGCAAATGACCTTTTAAACCACCAGCTTTCGTAAATTGCCATCGTTCGTAATTCTTCTGAACTTTCCGAAGAATCTGCGTTTGCATTTGATCACAGAATGTTACTGAATGTGACATCAGTCGATGATGTTCTTGTATGCATAGTTCCACGTGAATTAGTGCCATACAACACACAAGAGACAACAGCAAAGCTGACACGGAACACAAGCTGTTAAGTGTTTTCCTACGGCTTGGCTGCTTATCTTCTTCAATCATTTGTTTCATATTTAGCCGCCGGTTTTGGGAAACGAACAACGTCAAGCTTAAGTTAGCTGTGATGGGGTTGAGTAAAACGTCTCTACGGACTAAAGCTCAATACAGAGTTGTAGTTTAGTGATTGCAATAGCGAAAGCTACAGCGCTTCGTGATTGCACTCCTGAAAAGGATACAACCCACTAACCAGTTGTAAGTGATATGATGGAATAATCTCTTGACCCGTCCGGTGATGTGTATACATTAAAGGTCAGAAACTTGGCCAAATTTCAAAGCTAAATGTACTTGTCAATGATTATTTGACAATTTTGTGCCTCCTCCACGTGCTTTCCTAAGGAAGTTAGGCTATGTTCGCACTGTATTGGACAGCTTTTGCGCTGACACGAAAATCATACCGGACAGGACTTCTGTTCGCACATAGGAACGGTTGCCTGCCTCGTAGACGCTCTAACCTAATCTCGTTCCCAGAGGCCGCGATCCTTTTGGTCAGCGACAAGGATTTTTCCAGCGCATGACAAAAGGGACCCCTGGGGACGAGGTTGCTCTAAACCTTCTTCTATACAAATGGTTTAGACAAGTGCCTGGGCTAGCTGCAACGCAAGCTAAGGAACGGTGATTTCGGGGCGATTTCTGTAACAGAGCGAAGCTGCGCTTCGCCGATCTCTAAATTGGAGAGTCACATATCTGATAGGTGTTCATACTATACCGGATAACTAGCTTTTCGTTTCGGTAGTGAACATAGCCTTGGTGAGGAGCACGGGATTACCGGTGCCGGAGACAAGCGAGAAGCGCGAGTGGAGGATGATAGAAGCGAGAAAAAAATAACAGCCGGGATTTTTCTCCCCTTTTCATCACTCTGTTCCACCTGCTTTTCTTAACCAAATATCCTCCTCCAAAAAGGTGATCGCTAGTGACTGGGGACGACCATCTTTAACAAAACTTTTGTTCATAGATGGAACCTTTAATAGATTAAAGAAACTGACAGAAACCCCGCAGGATCCTCCCCTTTTGGCGTATGTGCCACCCGAAAGGGAATGCAAGTTTTTCAAGGTCTGGAGGTCGTAAAAAGGTAAACCTTTACCATTTAGCGTCTTAAACAGGGTGTAAACATAGGCGGTGCGTGGTCTTCTGGTGCCGCGGTACCAACATTTTTCTGTAAAAGTAAGTAATACTTTCAGTTTGTGAAATGAAAATCAAGGCAAGATGCTTACGATGTTAAACAGGGTGCTATAATTTTAGCACACATGTCAATTTTTCTGATCCATCTCCATACTCATGCCGTGGGAGAACTGTTTTGCGGTTCCCATCCAACAGCTACCATATGTGTACGGTGGAGCTGACGCTTAAAGGAATGCTTTTGCTTCCTCGTCGGCGGTAATCAGTGAGGTGGACAATCGCAGAGGAAACCTCTCACGAGTCCTTGGAGGATAGCCTCCCCAGACTGTGAGATATTCCGCTGAATTGAGAAAGCGCGAACACGAACTTAAAGCGGGAGGAAACTGGGCCCCGCCAACTTTTTGCGTGCCTTTTTCTCGTCTTTCCCACTATCTGAGAGCCTGGAACAGGCTATAATGAACGAAACAGTTGCCCATGGCTGCCACTACCGGGGTTATATGACCGTGCGCATTCGAAAGGCACTGGCCATACTGTGGGGCTGGTACTTGGGTTTCAGTGCTTAAATTGGTATTTCTAAAATGAGGGCTGCAGTCTTAAACAGGGTCTCAGAAAGGTCTCTTGTCTTAAACGGGATAGCAAAAATAAAGTGTCTAACCGAATTACCGAGGGGGTCGGTAGCACACCTCCACCCAAACTTGTCTTAAGTGCCCCCTTTAGGTTTGGCTTTTTCTGCAAAGTTCGTCACGTAGGTTTTACGACATTTGATTTTTTATTGTCGCTGATGGAAAGAGAGCACCAGAAGCATTTTAAGAATATCACAATTTTACACAATCAATCGCTCAATGGGGGAAAAACTGCAAAAAAAGTTAGTTAAGGGTACAGTATACTCTTGGAAACGAGATGTCATGCCCAAATGATATGGTTACAGCCCTGATCCAAAATTTGATTCTCTATACTCTATTTCAGACAACTGTTGCCGCACGAACACTATAATGCCTGTTCCTATTCACTCATCAGATCAGCTGCTTTGTTGCGTCAACATTTGAGAAGAAGTTGGACTTCAAATTTTATTAAACAAAAAGCAGTTCTCAAGAGAAATTCTTAACATTTCTAGACCAAACAGTACTCTAATTCGGACAGCAACGATTAAAAAATATACGGTCCATTTTAGTTTTTTAGGGCTGAAAAAACATACGATTTTGGGTACGCATCAAGTAAACATACTTTGTGGCAAAACGATGAAGAGGCCGGTGGGGACACAATTACATTATCAATACAGTAGCTGGATTTATAACGCCCATACAGTTTACTTCCAATTTTCTTAGGTAAAATTAACAATCAAAGTTAAACCATAGATGTATATGAAATAAATCATATAAGAACTGCGGAAATGAAATCAAATGAAGATTGGTCCTCGCCGTTGTGAACGGAAGAAGCTTGAAAAAAATTCAGGACTTCAACGGGGTTTGAACCCGTGACCTCGCGCGTGATACCGGTGCGATGCTCTAATCAACTGATGAAGCCACTGATGATAGGAGCTGGACAATTATGTGAATTAACTAGCACCCATCGTCAGAGGTTTCATAGCTCAGTTGGTTAGAGTATCGCACCGGTATCACGAGGTCACGGGTTTGAAGTCCTGAATTTTTTCAGGCTTCTAAATTGCGTTCACAACTGCGAGGATCATTCTTCATTTGCAAGATAAATCTGGTCACTAGCTTCTTCTGATTATCCGTCTATTCAATGTTACAGTACTTAGCACAGAAATTCTACGGAGTTAATGTCTCTAAACGTAAAAAAGTAGTTAAACCCTTGATGTACTTTTCTAACTTCTTGTCCTACTGTTTCAAAATTGACTTTTGTAGTACTGAAATTCATAATCATTTATTGGTGTATATTATTTTTACTAATTATTGTATTAAAATTACACAAGAGCTTCGTGATCCTTTGACTGAGCTTCGAAATATGTTATACAGAACCTAGCATTGATCATTTGAAAAATAGTTCCGATCAAAGACAGTTTTCAAACTTTTCCTCCACTGTAAAGGTTAATGGTTATGCAATGCCAAAGCATTTCAGTTTCCCCAGGGTGTGGTAACCTTGTTCGCTGCTTCCGCCAGTATCACCAAACCTGAGTTGTTTTACTGGAAGCTTTGTCTTGTCAGTGAGAAGACCGCTGTCCTCACGCCATACATCGTCATTCTTATCACAGTTACATCGTTTTTCGGAGTTTGCACATGAGTTGGTCATCCTGCATGCGCACATACTACTGTAAGGTGACGCTCCACCCCAGTACGTCATCTTAGCTGAATCACGTGACACCCACCATCCTTGTTGATTGTCTCCCCACCAGAGTACCGAACCATTGCACTCATACTTGATAAACTGCTCACAGTGTGAAGAGACTTTAGTGAGACTTGCCAGCTGAGACAGACTCGCTCCTGTGTAATGAATGTCACGTGAGTAACACCCACGAGGTTCACATCCATCGACATGTGTTCTACTCTCACTGTCGTGACTAATGACTGTAACGCCGACACCACCTTTATCAGTCATGTCACAATAAACCCTAAATGGTGCCAGGCCTTTCTCGCCATCTGGATCAATTTCGTAATTTCCGCTCACAGTGCTGATGTACTTTTTAACTTCAGAACAGGAAGCGGGAATCGGAGCATTGATTTTAACTTTAGCTTCTATTGTTGTTAGGGCATTCCTAGCTCTGCAGGTGTAAGAGCCTTCAGAGGACTTTCTGAAGTTCTTAATAACTAGAGTGCGTCCATGAAGATCTTGCGTGTTTGCTGCAGGTACACCGGCGCCATTCTTTAACCAAGTAATTGTAGTACTCAGGTTACTCTCGGCCACACACGGCAGACGGAGAGTTGAACCAAAGTAAGGAGTCACTTGTTGTCGAGGACGGACTTTGAACCGCAAAGGAGAGTATACAATAAGTTGAGCAGTGTCTATCGCCGAACCCAGAATATTCTGTGCTTTGCAAATGTATTTTCCACCATCTTTTCTTGTGACTTTGAAGATTTTTAGGGTTCCTTCTTGCACATGGATTCTGCCTCCAGGTAAACTTCCGTTTACCTTGGACCACGTGATCTTAGGTGACGGCTGACCAGTAGCGTTGCAAGCAATGGTGACCTTTTGATTCTCTTCAGCCCTCAGTAGATTGGATGACAATGAAAGTTGCGGACCAACTGGCGAAAAATAGAGAATAAAGCTTGTTTATTAACAGCCTAACTTATGAGTGTCAGAAAACAAAAGGAAAGTGATCGTCAAGTGAAAAGAATCAGCTCATTTCGAAAATAAGTTGATTGGAACTTCTTAAAATCTCAAGTATGCTTTCTGAAATAACTTGTTTTTTTAGTGAGATTTTGTTGTTTACATCGGACCTAAACGAAGTTGAAAGCGATATAAATCTTGCTGCAATAACTAAACAAAGCTTTGCTATTAATTGCCGATATATGAAATTGTAATTCTATTCCTTTCAGAATATTATGCCTAATTATAGTGTACTTACACTGTACAGTGAGTTTCACTGAAGCGTTTACACTTCCGGTCTATATATCCAACTTGTCTTTTTGAAGTTTAATTTGTAGACTCCCCTGGTAATTGTCGATTAATAAAATTCTTAGTCCACTTTGATATTTAATTAAATTGACCAGGTTTACTTACACTGTACAGTGAGTTTCGCTGAAGTGTTAACGCTCCCCAGTAAATTTTTAGCTTCGCAGCTGTATACTCCCTCATCCCCAGGCCGTACGTACTTGAAAATTAGAGCACCACTGGACTCTACCACGTGGCGTCCCACAGGTAGCCGCGAATTCAGCTTAGACCATGTGACTTGCGGGGTTGGATTTCCATCTGCTAGACATTTCAAGATGGCCGTCTGGTTCTGATTGACAGTTGTTTCAACAGGACTCTGCAGCAGAGAAGGAGCCGTGATGGACGGGCCTGGCTCGCCCTTGGTTCCCTTTTGACCCGGTGGGCCTCTAGGACCCATGGGCCCAGGAACCCCCGGTATTCCGAGATCACCTTTTATACCTAAGGGTCCTGTTGGTCCTTGGGGACCCATAGGACCAGGATTTCCCGGTACTCCGAGATCGCCTTTTACACCTACGGGTCCAGCTGGTCCTCGGGGACCCGTGGGACCTGATTTCCCCGGTAATCCGAGATCGCCTTTTACACCTACGGGTCCAGCTGGTCCTCGGGGACCCGTGGGACCTGATTTCCCCGGTAATCCGAGATCGCCTTTTACACCTTCGGGTCCTGTTAGTCCTTGGGGACCCGTGGGACCCGGATTCCCCGGTAATCCGAGATCCCCTTTTACACCTACGGGTCCTGGTGGTCCTTCTGAGCCAGGTTTCCCTGGGGGACCTCGTCTCCCACGGGTTCCAGGTCTTCCCCGTTTTCCTGCATTACCTTTCGGTCCTGAGCGGCAAAGCGTTTCGTTTTTAGCACAGAAGTGGTTTTGCAGCAGACGAAACTCTTCTCTGATCAGACGTTTTATTTGTAAATCGAAGGATGAACCTCGCTTCTGCCTTGAATCGACGTTTTTATACTGACCAAGACCTTTTGAAATATATAAATAAAAACATTTCTGAGCACAACACGCTAGAGAGAAAAGACTCCTCGAAAGCTCAATTTCTCAGTTACCAAATTTGTCCTGCCGTAAATAATGAAACATCATGGACGTCATGTGGATTGCTTAATTTATATATGTATAATTACGGAATTCTCTCTATCAAAGAAAAGAAACCTAAACTAAACACCCAATCTGACTCTATCAAAGAAAAACTATTTACCTGGTAATTGGCACCTGTATTTTTCTCTTTCAATCATATGCAACTAAGCTTTCGCACGCAATATATAATGAACTCACGGAATCAAGAACTACACGAATTTGAAAATGATGGCATGGAGTCAAACGAGTCAACGTCATTCATTGCTATCGCTAATTTTTATTCTCAATGTTCTAAAACCTCCGTTATTAGAATCTTCCAAAAAAAAAAAAAAGAAAATGAAAGAAAATAACAAAAACTAAACAACAACAACAACAACAAAAGCCACATACACATAGGCAGTTTTTTTTTTCTTTATGAGGAAAAGTATGGTTTTGCACTCAAATTTTAGTTGAAGTCTCATTATCATCATTCAACGTGTTTAGCCCCAGCGTGATGGTAAAAGGTAAAACAGGTAAAAGTGAAAATGAGAAATTTGCATCGTACAAATAACCAAACGGACAGTATTAATTATTGCACTGAATAGCGGATTTATCAGTAATAAAACTCATATCATCCGGCTCATCAGGGGCCAGACATCTTACCTTTTAAGCTTTCAGTTTTCGTTGCTTGCTTTCTCTCATAATTCTGTTGAACTTTCCGAAGAATCTGCGTTTCCATTTGATCACAGACTGTTACTGAGTGTGACATCAGTCGATGATGTTCTTGTATTCGGAGTTCCACGTGAATTAGTGCCATACAACACACAACCGACAACAGCAAAGCTGACACGGAACACAAGCTATGGAGTGTTTTTCTTCTGTTCTTCTTCTTGTCTTCCTCTCTTTTCATTTTTAAATCTCGAGAGCTAAATGAGCGGGGTATGGCGTGAAGCGATAACTTCTCTGCCAAAGAAATCTCAGACTTTCGTTTAGCAGGAGCTACAGCGTGAACTGAAACGTGTCAGAATTTCGCCCCTAGGAAAAAACGGAAGCAACCTAGACAGTTGTAAATGATACATATATTTTTTGACTTGGTACGAGGTCAAGTTGATGTCTGGATAGTGGCCAAGCTAGTTTCTTTTGTCATTGCGCTTATTTATGTATATGGCCCAGACAATAATAAATCTTGATCAATAAAGGTTTTATTACATGGCAACCATTTACAATTCCAGTTTTCATTGTAATCGAATTCAGATTTGCGAAACTCGTCTTAATTTTTATTGTCTCTACTGCCTTCCAGATTTACAGACGCTCAGTACTGAGTACGTGTTCTACTTGGGGCTCTGTTGCTGAAGACAGGGCAGGAAATCTTCCTCTTTCCGCAACAAAGAGTTAAACGAATTACTTAGCTGGCTTCCGTGGAAGTATTTTTTTCCTTTGTGGGGGAGCCGAGTCGATCGGAATATGAAAGGCCTATGCATCTTAATTGCCCGTCAAGGCGACCAATAAGGAAACAGGATTCTTTTCATGTTGCTAAATGGTGGAACGAGACGAAATATTCCCTTTGAAGTCCCGAAATGGATACATCAAGGGTCAGGGTTAAACAATATGAAACCAAAAATAATGACCGAAAATGAAGCAAAATAGTTTTTAATCGGCACTGTCTAAAAATAGTAAAAGTATAACAAAATATTATCTCAATTTGATAATGGGCTAGGTTTTCCCTTTATTTGCGCGTTTGGACGGTCAGATGTTTAACAATACAAAGGCCAGATATCTTTTCTAGAAGAATATTTGGAATCAGTAATACAAGGTATTTTCTAAGTATAAAGTGAACACTTCCCGCGGTGGTAACAGTGTATTCCCTTGGTCATTTCAGCGTTTATTTGGTCTGCTCAAAATAACATGGAAAAGTCATTCAAAACAAGTAGAACCATGGTTCTTTGAATCACGGTGAATCTCCTTCCAAAAGGGAGAGTTCTTTTTGTTTGTCTTCTTCTCAAAGCTTTACTGGAATATAAAAGATCTGTGGATAAAAGAAAAACAATGAGGTGAGTCTATTTAAGACATGAGTGATATGTTCTTTGTTGGAGACGGTTCTAAACACTCGTTTTGAAGTTTTGCCAGAAGACGTTTATGAGGCGAAAATAATAGCTAGAACAGAACGCTGCAATAAGGTTGGACCTTTTCAAACAGCTTAAAAGTTTACCCTGTCAACTTTCAAAAAGCTAAACGTTTCTTGGTGTTAATCTTCAGCTTGTGTTGTGACCCTCTCAAATTTTTCACTCGTGAAAAATGTTTGTCAACAGGAGCTGTCAATGAGCAATACTCCATAGCGATTCAAGTACAATAGTAACATTTCTTCGGCCAGAATTTCGTATAATTGACAAAGAGAATCTTTATATGATCATATTGTTCTGTAACCATGGTAACCCTACCTACCCACTAAGATGTGTGTTCGGTCAGCGGTAACCTGCCGCGACTCCTCCTTTGCGATAGTCAGCTAGTGCCAGTAGCTCTCCGTTGTCCTCTCGAACAACAAGCTGAACAACGCCCATTATTTGTAGGGGTGTTCCTAAATGCGATAGAGATCATAAGTGTTTTCCAAATACAGTTACAATAGAGAGAAGAAGTGTGACGTCAGGTTACCATGGTAGCAAAATTTCTGGATCACAACAATAGGGAGTTAAAGGGTGAACGACGACGGCGACGGCAACGAGAACAGTTAAATCAACAACTTTACACGTGCAGCACGCTTTTTTGTACATTTCTTAGCCGCCGCTGCACGACTGCGACACGTGCTTGCTTCATGGGGTAGGTAAACCCAACAAAAAAATATTAGTTTTCTTTTTCTAAACTTAAATACGGTCCTTTGGGATTCAACCCAGAAAATTTCGCCAACATTTGACAAATTGAATGAAACTGAATAAGATCGATTAAGTTTGAAACAGTGCGAATTCACGTTTTGAGTGAATTTTCGGTTTGATATCATCCAGAAATTTTGCTACCATAGAAACGTGACCTAACGACTTCTCCCTTCTATTAAAGGGCACCGAACCATGGTTTGAGTTATGCTCAATTTATCATGACTTTTTTTATAGCGAGTTATAAGCTGCAAAGAATGACATATCATGGAAATTTCCTTCAGAGACACAGCGTCTCCAAGTAAGAGCCACTCCGTTCAACGTAAAAAATTGAATAATCTGGGATGACGTAAAGCGAATGCAAGTTAAAAAAAGTAAAATAGACTAAAAAAGTTCCTTACCTGAAAATACGCAACTTTCAGAGCTTAAATTCGGATGTAGACCCACCGCGTAGGGCTTTTTTGTTTGATTCTTACGCTTTTTGTCTCTTTTGTGGTTAACCCTTATGTTATACAAGCCACGTGGTTTCATTAAGGTTTCTTACACTATTTGTTATATTCAATCTATTTTAGCTATTTTATTTGTATAGTGTAGTAAATTACGTGATTGCAAAAATCGTACCTGGAATCTACCACAAAAGCCTTAAAAGTTAAAGGCACTCAACAACATGCTGATAGTAAGAGTAACATTATTTAGGTTTCATCAAGTAAAATTGGCTCACAGAAGTCTAAGTGTACAAAAAAGTGTAAAGTACGCAAAAAGTAGGAAAAGGAATTATTTACCGGTAAATAACGTGGTATCATTTGTGATGCGCTTGTGTCCATATTTCCTCAGTCCCCTTATAATATCTTGAGGGAAATTTGGTTCGACTAAGACCATATTAGGAAAAAGCTGACTGTGTAGGCGTGGTTTCGATACGGCGTCCTTCAGACTGTCTCCAAACCAATAATAATTCATCAAAACCTGCAATTTAATAGAAGTATCCAACATGGCTATATTAGTAAAAAAAATAAAATTAGTCTAAAAGACACAGTGAAATTCGTGACTCAGTTTATACGCTCCTTAAACATGTTATACGTGGTTTTATACTACCACATGAGAAATTTCTGCAATTTGATTGGCTTAGAGCAGTGGTATTTCAGCCTAATTTGAAATACCTACATGTGAAAATTACAAACCTTTTGCGGGTAGTAGTATAAACAAATAATAGCATGATTTGTACGAGATATTTGGCATAAATACCACTTGTGATATTTCAAAATTGTCTCAAATTTCACTAGCCTAACGGCTCGTGAAATTACGTATAACAATTTTGAAATATCTCTCGTGGTATTTATGCCAAATATCACTACAAATCACGCTATTACCTATACAAACTTTGATGATTAAGTAATGATCCGGGTAATTATAAGGTGGAGAGCAATTTCTTTTGTTATCCGGCAACGGTGCTTTCCCACATAGGAATGTTCTTATTTTTACACAGAGAATGCACAAACCTACATGAAGGCTGTTTACGCAATAAGATGCATTTACACTCCCCTTGGAAAGGGTGTTTTTTTTTTGTTAAAAGATTTTGACCAATCACAAGAGTTGAAAACAATAGTCAAGAAAAGTTTACAATTTTACATGTTCCCCACATAGGATTTCTTTGTTATTCAAACTGAGACCAGATTTTGTTATATGGAAGATGGTTGGAAAGTAAGGATGAATATATGTACTGCTTTATGAAGTTTTGTTAACTTTTGCTGTTTAAGCCAATCAGAAGTAAGTACAGACAATAGAAAAGTTAGCACCTTTTTTGCATTCCAACATGTTCGTTGCCGTTGTTGCTATCGTTCTTATCTGGACCGTTTCTTAAATAATTGTTAGCTTATAAATTACATCCACTTTTCGCAGACTACATTGCTGAAACATTCACGGACAGTGTCAAAAACGGCGTGCATATACCATTGTGACTGCGTGTTTGAACTTCGTTAACCTCGTTCTCAATACATGAAAAGAGTCTATGCCTACAGTTATGTAAATGCTTCGCAATAACCTTCAAAGGGTAAACTGAGAGATCACTCAAATACATTCATGTTTTTGTCACATAACAAGCTTTTCTTTTATTCAGATATCACATACGTTTTCCCTGTCGGCCATTTAAGAACTCCGGTTTTGCCCCGCGGTTTAACCTTCTGCCCCGCCACAATGGTTAAACTATGCCACAAATTTCGTGACGTGAAAGCAGATTTGCTACTGATTTGTGGCGATAGTCCTTGCTCATGTGACATGGGAGAAAGGTGTTTTAGACATTGCTAGATGTATTTAGGTACCTGTGCCAAAGCTGTGGCGATGTATTTTCCTCCGGCCGCACCAATCACCATTCTTACATTTCCTTTTTCATCTACGATGATGGATGGCGAAGCAAGAGACATGGGTCTCTTTCGAGGCTTCATAGTATCAGGTTCCAGATGAAATTCATTTACCCACAAATTAACCGCATCCCAGAGTTGATCATTGTAAACAATCCCTAGTGTCTTACTTCTTATTTTAGCACCGAAACTGCAAGAAAAAGTGAGAAACAAAAAGAATGTCAGCGTAGAGAGAAGTTGCCGCCACATATAAAAAACATGGGGAGTGTTTTAGATAACTGGGGCAACGATGTTGTCAAATTTCCGTTACAAGGACTTGATGGGCCCTAGAATACTATCAGCAGCCCTGGCTCTGTGGGCTGCCCCGAACTCTCACACAGCCTAGGCCGCCGGTTAGAATACCAACAAGCCTGGTTTAAAACATGAATTTTTTTGGTTTAAATCTGATGTTGAAAGGAATGGAATGGTAATAAACCGTTCTTCTTCTTCTTCTTCTTCTTATCATTATTGCAGGCGACGAGAGGAGCCCGCAATCCTAATCCCAAGGTTTTATTACGCATGCGTCGGATGTATGTAGCCAGCATTCGTTTGGACTCCCACTAGGAATGAATGGAATGCACAGAACGCTATTTGATCATGAGTGTTTTGACCATCTGATCACGTGAAACTTGCGCAAAGCACAGCAGCGCGCGTTGGGGCAAAAGCGTTTTGACCTTCTTTCGTTGTCGCCCTCTCTCCGTAACATTGCTTATTACTACTTTATTAATTTGTAATACTATTTGTTTATTGATGTTGTCAAGGAAACAGCGTTCCCTTCTTTATCCAGGACGGACAAGTGAGTAGTGCCATCTGTGACGTCAATGTGATAGTTTATCGGCCCGTAGTAGTCGTAGTCATCTGAGTGAGATTTATCGTCAATAAGTTGGCGAATCTTCTCTCCCTTGTCAGGATTAACCATATCCGCAACGACCTGAATTTGAACAGAAATAATTATAATCGGAATCACATTCACAATCACAATCGCGATCTCGATAGCGATCACGATCACGATCACAATCACAATCACGATTACGATGACGACCAAGATCGCGATCACATTCACGATCACAATCACGGTCACGATTACGATCATGATCACGACTGCGATCTCACGATTACGATCACAATCACAATCACAATCATTTTACAGAGTATTTAACAATTTAGTTAGATTAGTTTCCCAATTACTTCTTTGTTTCAGCAACAAAAAAAATCATTCTGGTGGAAATGAATTTCCCCCAACCCTCAAAATGACTAAAGACTGCACTCTCTTACAGAAATAACTAAGGGGCAGGATTAGATCAGTCGGTAGAACGCTTGACTGCAGAGTTGGAGGTCGCGGGTTCGATTCCCAGGGCCGGACCAATACTCAACGTCTTAAAATAACTGAGAAATGAAGGTAATATCTTTGCACTGCAAGCGGCTGGACCTTCGCTCGGATGACCACGTAAAATGGCGGCCCCATAAAAATAGCGTCCTCAATCAGTACTTTCGTGCTAAATACATTGACACTCAAATAAAGAGCATTTTTTTGGTGCCTTCCACGTGTCAAGAATGTACGCAGCATTGTCGATAGTCTAACGAGGGTTCTTATTGGTCGATCTGCTAAACTTGATTGTCCTGCGTCATTCCATGTGAGCCAAAACGTCTCAATCTGCGGTCTCTCCCTTCATCACATCTTGCCTCGTATATGAAACTCAGAGGCTTGACAGCAGGAAATGGTCCTTATGCATGATTACGTCAGACGAGCAAATTTCACCGTCAAGCCTTGTTTTTAAGCAAAACTCTTCGCATTTGCACTCTTTGGGCGTAAATATTCTATACAACTGTTCTGCCTTGAGAATTCATTTATGCAAAACTTGGCAACTTTTCAACTTCAAAACGAGGCTTGGTGGCGAAGTTTGCTTGTCTGACGTAAACATGCATTAGGCTCATTGCGTCCTGAATGGATGGGCATGGGGTGTACGTGGGGTGCACGTGGCGAGGTCCAAATCCCGTTTTCGTAACTTTTACGTGTCCAGTTCTACTGTACCACGGTTCGCCACATATATGGTAATTCAGGACAGTCCTGGATTCTTAATCCCACGGTGTGGATTCTGGATTTCAACTGTTAGCGAAATTCTGGATTCTTTGGACTGAATTCTAATGCAAAAATTTCCCGAATTACGGAATCCGGATTACCTTACATTGGCGACCTGGTATTGGCAACAAAACCGATCCAGTTACTCACAATTCCATTTTCTTGTTTAAAAGGGGCAAAACCTAGTTTTTACTTTTTTTGTTTACGACCCTCTATTAGAACTGTTTGATTTCAAATAATCCGTTATTCTTTTACCTGATCCGTCTTGTCGCTGAATAGTGGATCAGTGAGGTAAGTTTCCTTTGCAGCTGCAAAATTGAATGCTTCAATCATGCGGTGGTACGTTAGTTCAGGCCGTTCTTTAATGTCCCCTGGACCGAATTTGAACCCTGTTAATGGAGTCAAATAACGGGCGATTAAACATGGTGTCATTTCTGCCACTTAATCCCCAAATTTTTCTTTTTGTGACGTCCTTATTTGCTGTCGCACTGGCTGGGATAAGAACTGGACGGATTTTTACTCGAACAGCAACGCCTAACCTGCGAATGCAATCATTTCGTCTTGCTACTCGCCACTAAGGACGAGAAACGGCTGTATTCGTAGGCTAAGCAAAGACGGTCAGACTGCAAGCAGTCTACCGGTCACAAATCACAATGAGCCGCCCTTGTCAAACGAATTGCCAACAGCCTGCCAAGGCCAGCTAGATAATACAGTAAAAAGGAGTAGGAGATAGCTGGGTTGCAATTGTTTTTAATTGTTGCAGTTGTCTGTGACTTAGTTTTTTTTGTGAATTGTAAAAGGAATCGCTTAATCTTGTACTCAATTCAAACTAGGAAGCACTAAAGCACATCCTAAACGTACCACAAATAGATTAGACTTACGGCTTTTCCTTCCCAAAATGGAACATTCTGACGAAAGGGGGAAGTACGCGATCTCATTTTACGGGCCTAAATCTTTACAGATGCTTGTGCACTGTTTAAAGTTTTTCTTCAATCTGAAAACCTTAAATCCTAATTTTGTACTAATTCAGGGCCTTCCAAATACCAAGCAGATAAAATGCAAACATTTTTCGTATAGTTATGGAAAATGTCTATGCCAGTTGATATCACGTGGCAATGACCAGCTCAAAAGCCAAAGTACTTTGGTCCCTGCGTACATTTTACTCATTTTACTTTAATTCAGGTAGTCCCTTGCTATTGTTGTATATTGTAATATAATTATATTACTCAGGCTATTAAATTATATCTGAATATTGAAAACAATAATAGAAGCTGAAACTGAAAATCCACCAGCCCACTGAAAAAGATGAAAACTTGAACATACCTTTAAGAATGTTCAAAATGTTTAGTAATGCCACTCCACCCGCCGGGGGTGGAACGGTATAAACTTTTAATCCTTTCACCCCTGGAAAGTCAGACTCCACTGCCTTGACTTCTGTCGCTCTGTAATTTTTCATGTCTTCTAACGATATCGTCGAACCAACGGATTTAAGGTCCTTGACCACCTGCATAATCCATAAATTCGTTTGGTCTTAATGTAGAATATATTCGTGCGTTCTTTCCTTTGAGAGTATGTTCACGGCAAGTAGGAGTACTGTATGGAACAGGCAAGCCGTGCAGCCACACGACTTGACACAAAATGTTTGCAAGATACAGAAAATCAACGGCGTCCCTATCAACAAGACAATTCTGTAACGACTTTCTTGCTCTGTGGAATTGTAGGCAATGCTTTCTAGTCGCGTAAAAAAAATTTTGCTGGTGAATGATGGTTTGAATTGCGAGTCAAGTCCTTTTTTCGTGGTCGTCATACCGAAGGTTAAAAGGTAACAACATGCTGTAAGATTGTATAAACCCACCTGAAACATCTTCTAGTTGTACGCGATCGAAGCACTATCCTGCGTGCGCATGCCCGCTGGGGAGAAAGGTTTCCTTTCCTCCCCCTCGCGCGCTAGAAATTCAGTCCCCGCTTCCTAATCCCTTTCGAATGCCTGCCTAGTCTCCCTCGCAGACGGTCTTAGGGTTTCGTCGGGCGTTCCTTTCTCATGAACGTTCGCGCGACAAAATCCAAACGCCTGCCACGAAGGCTATCAAGGCTTTTACTAGGATAAAAAGAGTGATAATAGCTTATAACTTGCCTTTGGAGTTAATGTCTTGTCGGCGAAGCCGAAAAGTGGCCTGAGTACCAGATTCCTTTGGAGAAGGTTACTTATCTGGGTTTAAGCCGCAAGCGACTGTGTAAATTATAACTTACAAAAATTAGAACGCTGCGCGAACCTGCCCGCGTATTACAAGTAGACCAACGTAACACAAAGGCGTTAAAGCTATTCTTGTGGCTATAAACTGTAAGAGGGGAAAAAGCTGGTGTTATCATAAATTCTTACCTGCTTTGCCATTTTTCCAGTATAGAAAAGATCAGCGCCATGCTGGGCAATCTTCTCCAGAGTTTTTGCATATTTTGTTCGTTTTATTAGGTGGCCCATCTTTATCCATTTACCGTTTGGCCTAAATAATTCGCTAAAAGGAGAAAGAAGGCGATTCAATGCCAGAAGACTTGATAAATAGAAACAATAAAAAGAAACACTAATAATAACAAATAAATAAAAACAAGACAAATACTAGCTTGAAATAGACCAAAGGGGAATAGCGCGAACGGGACACGTGACCCATGCGAAGCGCCACGGTCGCTACCCCATGCTAAGGAAAATCTAAAAAAAAATTCTCTTAACGCAGTAGCTAAAATGCACTAGTTAAACGGTGAAATCTAATAAAAATACGCAAAATACAGTAATTAAGGTGTAAATTATGAACGGTGGCACGGGCAATTAAGAGAGAGGCCTCATGCAGTCTTCCGTGTGACTGTTAACACTTAACACTTAGAGGCCTTAAACTTCATGTTTGACCCATAGCTGCAGGTGTTAACGCTTGCCGCTAGGGAATATCAAAATGCTTTACTGACACAATAGTTTCATGAATCGTTCAATATTCTTGAAATTTACTGTGCATGCGTCATAATTAGAAGTTTTCTCGTGTTTCAGTTGCAAAATTCTCATCTGTAGCCACAAGAAAGTTTAGTTTTATATGCATGCACATTTTTGCAAAAATTTGCCGTAGCAAATTTTAAATTAATATAATGATACTTTTCAGAAAATTTCCTATAACAAAACGATCAATAAAGGTCTAACAACAGAAAACCAAATGAGTAGATAGAAGGCAATAGCTACCACAATTCAATCCATTTCTGAGATGCTTGAAAAAGAATTATTTGGCATAACGTGGAGGAAGCTTCCCATTAGTTACAACTGGCCGTTCAAACGACTCATTTCGAAAATGAAATATAAATGGCCTTTTCACGAATATGATCTAAAACCTATCACTTCTGTAAATACCACTTAGGTTAGGACTGATCTAGTTGGGTTAGTCCTGGTTTATACATAATGGCAAGTCTCTTTACAACTAGGCTAGCGCTGGCGGCTTAGATTCCTGCACGGGTGATGTATGGTCAAACTAATGTATATCTCACTCACCTAAGGCCAGGATCATTCGATACATTGGCCGCATTCTTTTCCACAGCGGATATTATTGTGTGCGTGGCTTTGAAACCCTCAGAGGCAATCTTAATAGCAGGATCAAACAGGTCTTTCCAGGGCATGCTGCCATATTTTTTCCAGGCTAATTCAAAACCTCTTAGCTCACCAGGAACGCCTATAAATTCTCCTTCCCCCGGGACACGGGTCTTCGTTTCTGAAAATTTTATACAGGATGATGCCTTAGCTCTGAGTCCCTCTTACAAGTAATGACCGAGCGCGTAGCTTGAGGTCATTGTTGTTAAGATGGCCGAAAAGCAAACACCTCTCAGCAGATGACAACTGCTATTTAAAGAAAGCCTGCTTGAATAACCATCTCTTTATAAGCTGAGCGAGGAGCAAGCGAATATTATGAAGAAGAGAATTTTACATACTAGATCAAGGTAAATCGGAAATATTTTGAACGAACAGTAAAACAATTATTGGATTCGGCTTTCGAACTCAATGAGGAATTATGCAGATCTCTTAGAGCGTTTCCGTTCTTCATATCATACTCAGGCTATATGTTCACACTTTGCCGGACAGCTGTTCGTGCTGACACGATAAGCTATCTGGTATTAGTATAAACAGCAACGGCTCAGAACTGGAACAAGTCGTTCACACACATCGAACATCCTGCCGGAGCAGTTGTCCGAAAGGGTTTGGTGGACTAAATCCCAGTCAACACTCCTGAATATTTACTTCCTTGTCAGTGGATTCCAATCCTTACTCCTACTTGTTCACTTTCGCTACGGGTCCGAACGGGTCCGCCGATGTCGTGAGTTATTTACCGTGAGTTAATTACTAGTAAGTTAAAAAATTTTAAAATTTCACTATTTAACAATCCATGCAGAATATTGAAATTTCAAAATTTGACATGCAAGATCTTGAAATTCAAGATTTGACACGCAAAATATTGAAATTTCAAGATTTGACATGCAGAATCTTGAAATTTCTTAATTTGGTAACCTACCCGTGAATAACTCATCGTGATAACTCACGCTACTTCACTTACGTACGGCCTTATCAGACTCGGTGCGAACACCTGTTCACTCTTCAGTCAAATGTGGCAAAGAGCTTATTTGATACGTGACGCTCCACTTTGGAAATCGAGGCGACGCATGCTTTGCGCCGTCAGAGTAATCACAATTATATGGAAACGGAAGCCCATCCGTATAGTTTTAGTGAGAACATAGCCCGGCAGCCTCATCCAGCATTTGCTAATTATTTTAAATTACCTCTTGATTTCCACTGGAACATGAGGTGCTGAAACTCCTTCATGGAATCCGCCTTTTCATGCTGAGCCACAGTTTCTCTGAAGTTGATCGCCGTAGTCTCACCTATGATTTTTAATTTTTCATAAAAAATAAATATTAAAAGAAAACATCCATGCACGATTTGAGTGTTTTCAGCTTGTAAACTCTTTGTAAGTGAAATTTTCATGAGAAACAGCTTGTGCTTCAAGATTTTTAGAAGTCGTTGTTGTCAAAATAGATTGTATAACTTAAGAACATTTTTTAAAACTAACTTTGAATAATCTCGTCCCATTGTCACTTTTTCGACAGAATTCGCCTCTTGCACGTCTCCCATAATGCACCTTATTTGGCCCCCAAATTTTTGCATAAGCATTGTTTTCAATTTCTCTTGAGACGGCTGTAATACCCAGGAGAAATGAAAAACAAAATTTTAAAGGTTGTGCAAAATTTTGGGAAACAAATAAGGTGCATCATGGGAGATGTGTAAGTGGCGTATAAAAATCCAAGATGGCGGAAATTTCCAATCATGACGTCACCGGGTCACGTAAATAGCGTTAGCTACATATACTTTAAAAGAATGCCATGCCCTATATTTGAGTTTCAATTTATTTAGCACGTACGTAGTAATTGGGGGCATTTTTACGTCTCTAGCTGGAGACGGGAAGCCACATTAAGGTCTAGACGCCTACTGTAAAGGATGACCTCGATTTCTCAGTTATTTGCAGACTCTAAGTATTGGTCTGGCCCCGGGAATCGAACCCTCGAACTCCTGCTCTGCACTCAAGCGCTCTACCGAGTATAGTAGTCTTTTATGACAGCGATTTGTATCGGCCTTTTACGAATTGCGTTGCAAACATACCAGTGGTCTTGTTATAAATGATCATGAATCCTCCACCGCCGATGCCTGCTGAGTGAGTGTTCACCACGCCGACGCACAAGGCAGTGGCAATTGCGGCATCAACCGCGTTACCGCCTTTCTCTTTTAAAATGTTAGCGCCGTCTTCTGAACACGTCTTGTAGTCTGCCGCAACAGCTGCGGTTTTGAACCTAAGAGGATCTGAGGGTGCTCCTGCTGGCTCACTGCAAAGTGAAAAAAAAAACATGCATATAATTCAACTGTCGTTCTTCTATGGCTGATTGCAATTGTCTCTCGAGTGTAAGGATTTGAATTTTACAACATTGTTTGATACAGAATGTTTGCTAGCAAAGATCCAGTTTCAATATTTTGATAGGTTATAACGATAATAAAAAGCCCTGTCAAGATTGAAAGTTGGACCGCTAAAATCTATGCCCCAGTCGTCAGAAATAGTAGCACGCCCTTGAAGTCCTTGAGCTCTGATCAGTTTTCATAAGGATATGAGAAAATCCCGGCGCGAAATGCCACTTGAGTGAACTGATATTGTAATGGTTGTGGATAAATAGTCTTCCAACTAAAAATTTGGCTGTAGGACCGACATCTTTATTTACTGGAGAATTACATTTACAATTACATTTACGACTTAGGTCTGTCACTCAATTCCGAGCATTTTAGACCGCTCTAAAAAAAAGAAAAAACACAAACACAAAAAAAAGTTACTGAAATGGCGCTTAACAGGTCAGCATAGAAAACGTTCTGTCAAAATTCAAAATTGGACCCTTAGTCGATAGACTAGGACAACTGAAAGCACTACATACGAAAATTGACCGCGATATCTCAGTTATTGGTTATTACATTCAGGTACTCAGTCTTGAGTTTAGGACAGTGCTACCAATTAAGGCTTTTCTATACCGGCATTTGGAATTAGCAAAACCAATAAGAAAGTTATTCATGTGGATGGGGTAAAATTCCAGGAAACACTTGAACTACGTCTTCAGATATCCGAGGGTGATCAGCGGCAAATCACAACTTTTATTTAGAGCATTTTTTAGTTTATTTAGAGGTAAAGCAAGCGGCTTTCAGTTTTGACGTTTATACGGCTCTTATGGTGACTATATTGTTTCGTTCGTCATTTATATCTTTCGAAACCTGCTGAGCCGCTGAGAAGTAAGGGTCAATTTACAATTAAATAAAAAATAATAATCGCTTGGTTTAAAATGACACAGATGCACAAAACCTATGGCCTCAAGGTAAGCATAGGAAATTGGAGAAATACTAAAAATAGAGCTGTAGTTCTCAGATTCGATCTCAAATCTGACAGAGTTCTGTAAGTGCAAACGAAAAATGCTTTTTACTAGAACTCAGTTGCTATAACTAGCACTAGAAATTTAATTGCTTTAATATTCTGAATAACACATCTGCGAAACAAAATTCATAAAGCATAAGTAGTCAGATAAACACAAGAGGAGAGTTCTGGAGTTACGAAATTTATTACCATCAGTAATGGCTACCTTTAACCATAGAGACCCGTGAACTCACTCGACTACAATTATTGGTAGCCAAAACAAATCAATTAAATCTGTTAAACGCGAAATTAAGTATGTACCGTGAATAACTAAACGTTGAGAGCACGTGAGACGAAATTTTTCGTTCATACCTTCTCCTTGCTAGTTTATCTTCCTGATCAGGTCTTATAAATTTGTTTACAGCTTCATGAATTTGTTTTCCAAATCCCGTAACGTAAATAACTCCGCCGACAGCGCAGAACACTGTTAAAACGGCCATAGCCTTTTTCAAAAAACAGCGGCATTTTCCAGCGCCACAATTGCTTGATTCGGTCATGAGAGAAACTATTAATCCTCAGAGGAAAGGAATTCGACCAAAAATCTCTCTTCCCGTTTTCGATAGACGTTTAAAACGGATCAATATTTAAACTGAAGAAGATGCGGTTCAATGACTTTGACTGCAAATGGAAGCCACCTGCGCCAAGCTCGGCTTGTTTCAGGTGTTGGAACTTTTTGACACTTAACACACCGAGTATTTAGAAAGTTTGAAAGGAAAATAGTCAGTATTCCGCTATTAAACTACAACATGGCACACTGATTGAGAATATAAAACTCAATTTTTCTATGGTAAGTACAAACTACTGTGTGCCCCATAAACGAAGTCATAAGCAACAGTCAGCCCCCTAGTGTTCATTTCCTTGAGTAACCAGAGATTAACCAAATACGACCAGTCCGAAAGATCGCCGCATTTCGTTAAGGGTTGAATGTTATCTGATACTTCAACATTTTCTGAAATATAAGCCCCATAAAAACACCATATACATCAATAAAAACCATTTAAATCAGGGGAATATTATATGCCGGCGCTGAGGGAGGCCGGGGATTTTTTTGAAGTAATGTGAGATCTTACTGGTTAGAGTAGCCTCCCACGCAGGTGTTTTTAGGGGAGCTCGTCTTTCATCCCTCCCCACAAACGCCATCCTCGGAGACCCAGGGGCAGATAGTGGGGGCGAGGGAAAGTCTAAACAGGCGGGAAAATATGGCACAAGAGAAAAGTAAAGAACGGTGAGAAGAGCCCCTGGGGACAATGTCTTACCAGACCAGTTCCAAACGGTCGACGCCGTTCTGTCTTCTGATATATATCTGATATACTATCTGCCCCTGGGTCTCCGAGGATGCACAAACGCCGTCTCTACCGAAAACAACATTCCTTTCCCAAACTTAGCCAATCACTTTGTACTTTCCAAATTTGGGAAAGTTGACCTTGACCGCAGTGTTATCCGATAATTACACGATCTGCACGAAACACCAGGAAAGCTTTATGCCCTCTAATAAATGTCAGACTCAGAGCAGCAAAAGTTTAGTGCACTGTATAACCTTAGCCAAGGAACTGAAAAGAAGGAAAACGGTAACTTTAAGGTCACGTTTGAACACTACCACGAGCTTATGAGTCGTGTTTAGCCGGTCAACACCTAATTTCAAAAGTGTTGATTGGTCACTTACCAGGCGAATAAAACAATGGGAAAGGAATGTTGTTTTCGGTTGAGCAGGCGTTTGTGGGGAGAGACAAAATACGGAGCTCCCCTAAAAATGCCTGCTTGGGAGGCTAGGTTGAGATTAGCAAATGAGTGAAATATTCTTAACGCGAGAAAACAAAAATCATATTTCCAAGCGGTTATGAAAAATTTCGTTCGATAGATAGGAGCAGATAGTTCAAGAATCTATGTTTCGTGGATCAATTTTATTCCATTAATTTCCGATGAAAATAGTGTTATTGCCATAAAATATGTGAAATTTGCACTTTTAAGAACTAAGGGGACAATTTGTATATATTGTGTGTAGGTTATCGTGAGTTGAAATTCATCCCTTGTAAAAGACATTTAATCACAGGAAGCCCAGGCACAGTGACAACATACTCCTGGCCTCGACTCAATTATAAGGCTTTGTGTGAGAATTTTTACGTGAATTCGATAAAACAGTAAAAAATTTCACATAAGTAGCCATTAAGCCTTTAAGTGTTTATGCCGTACCTTATAAAGATATGCCTTTGTGGTGCGTTCGCGTTCGCCGTGACCGTTTCCTCCTCCAATTCGACGCCATTTTTTCAAGTTTTATGCTCAGAGGATGAGTGGATGAGTGGCTGGAGGATGAGTGTGGTTTATTTTCCCAAACAGTGGCTGGTAATAGAGCCTGGATGAACCCTACCCTACAAGGGCTTATGAGCTCCTGACAAGGGGCTGGATCAAAGCCACATCCACAAGGATGGAGGACAATGTCATTTGTACCTCAACCCGCTCGCTTCAGTTTGCTTTTGTTTCATAGGCTAACTTATCACCCATCCCTCCATAATCGAGCAAATTCAGAAAAGTTAAAAATCATTCAAATTGAATCATTCAAAAAAGATTACATTTATAGCTAAACTGAGCTAAGAATACTGAAATAGTTGGTCTTGTCAAACGCGCGAGATCTGAGCACCAGCCTTGCTGCCAGGCCTGTTATTTAGAAGGCTAAGTTACCAAGCTCCTTCTTGTACTGAGCAACAAAATGGCGTCCTTGACTTCAAAAACAAGGTGCTTTTTGGTTCTTCATGAAACCATAAATTTAAACCCTGTACGTTTTTTGTGAAGACAAAATGTTCGAAACTTTCTGTCAGTTTGTGGTCATGTAATATTTCTTCGTGAAGTACTTCTTGGAGACTGTTAAAACAGTTCGATGTCTGAGCATTCGTCATCTATGGAATGGCGACTTGAGGCATTCGAAATAAGACCATCTTTATGGAGACTAGTTGAGGAATTTGTCCCTGAAACTGAACGATTAGAGATAAAAGAAGCTTTGGGAGAAGATTTAGTGGACGAAACTTTGGATTTGCAAAAGGAGGTTGGTTAACTATTTGTCTATAGCTAATCTTGCTTACAATGAATGTACAACTTGTTACACAAAACTACAAAAATTGTTGTTATTTACACAATATAGCAAAGTGACTCTCAAGCGTTTCCTCACACAGGCATCAACACTGCTTGAGATTTGGCAAGATTACCGAGAAGAGACAGAAAAAGAAGCAAGAGGTATAAAATAATATCTAGTAAATATCCAAATTTGAATTATCTATGGTAAATAGCGCAGTGTGTGAATGATGCCAGGATGACTAATTTGCAATGTTTGTCATACGTTTGTCATTTTGTTCATTAGACAAACATGACATTTTAATGGCAAAAGTCAGACAAAAGTGAGGGATTGCTGATGTTATTAATTTTTTTTGTTTGAGTGTCAGGTCTATAAATAGTAACTGTGTGCATAGTGCAGTGCTATCCTATCAAGTTATCCTTGTGTGTATGTTATTTTATATACTTGCCAATGTTCACACATTATGCTTGGGTCTCATTCCTGCAGACTAAGGGACTTGTCAGAAATTAGCAGGGGGGGAGGGGAGGTGGAGATTTTCAGTTAAGCGATGAAAATAAGATGACCCTCCCTACGTAAGGGATTAAAGTGTCCCGACCCTCCCCTGGAAAGCATCCTAAAATTCTAGGACCCTCCCCTGAGTCCGAATTTTTATGCAGTGGTACAAAAAAAATAATTGAGTACTTTCAAAAAGCCATCTTGTACTGAAACTGACCTATGATGGACACGCAAGTTTTTCCTCTGTTGGCAAACAGGACAAAAGAAAGTTTTGGGTTTAGTGGGATTATGACAGTATCTCTTTCACGTAGCCTGAAATTCGTCCGATTGCTTCGAGTCGTTTTCTCCTCTTCAATTACTGAGGGAGTAATAACGACTCGAAGTAATCGGATGAAATTCAGGCTATCTTTCACGACTATAAGAATCAAAGATGAATAATTTTTGTGAAAAAAAGTTAGATTTCTGAATGTTTTTCAGTGGAGATCACTTCAAGTGATTCTCCTAACAGGGGCATGTCACAAAACAGCATGCTATAGAAATGGGTACATTAAAACCTTATCAACCCCAATCAAGAAGGAGAAGTTGCCCTTCTACACAAGGAAAACAATGATCAGTTTGTCAGGAAATCAGAAATGCATGTCATGATTTTCATATATGGTTTGTATTCTCGTAAAACATAATACTGAAGCATCCGTTCACGATCGTGGTGGCTTATTTTTTTGTGTCCCTCCCTCCTTTCCTGTCATTTTTTTTCATAACCCTCCCTTTTGGAGGGCTCAAAAAACTCTGACCCTCCCCTGTTTTCCACCTCCCCTCCCCCCTGCTAATTTCTGACAAGTCCCTAAAGACAACGATCTCATCCGTCAAGGGCAATTTGTCGTTCCTGTCTCACAAATCTGGACCATTTTTTAGCTCATAATTACAGTGTAATGACAAAAATTCGATTCCAATTTCCCGAAAATGTTCCAAAAAAGTGCTATTTATTGGCTTTGTGTCCTAAATGTATCACCACAACCAAATATTGTCGTCTCTAAATAGCTTCAGAAGTGTTTAAAGGCCATTGGAACATCTTCGGACATTTTCGGAAAAGTTTGGAAGTCTTCTGAAAATCATTGGAAATAATCAGAAGTAGCTGGGACATTTTTGGAAATTCTGATAACAACAACAAAAATTTTGCGCATTTGACTCTGATAAAGTTGGCTGGTATAATTTTACTACCTTTCACCTGTTTTGTGTAATTTTATCTTTCATGTATGTTGTTTTTAACAGAACAAGCTCTTAAAAAGCATTTAAGCAGACTTCCTGAACCGCCAATGATAAGAGAGAATCTCAAAAAAGAAATCAAAATGTTTGTTGAAATGTTGCAGCAAAGAGCAAAGGAGGAAGGAAGGTATGAGTTTTACAAATTGTGACTATAGTACAGGGTGCAAAGAAAATCATTTTTACAGCTTGCCATTCGGTCAAGATGAAGCTAGCATTTACTAGCCCAGACGTCATTTCAACTAGCCCCAAAAGCTTTTTGACGAGCAGAATTGATTTCACAGTTCTTCTGTCATTTGAATTCCTCAAAAAACGTCACTTGCCCATCGGGCAAGTTAAAAAAATAATTCACTAGCCCGATGGCAAAATCAACTAGCCCCGGGCTATCGGACACTACTTTCTTTGCACACTGATAGTATGTTACAAGAGATATGTCATCAGATCTTCTAATACAGATCAGAAAAAAAAATGTCATGTGAATATTATTACAGTGCAGTTTGTGTGGCAAAAGACCGCAAAGGGGTGAGGGTGCTCTCAGTTTTTGGGGAGGTACGAGAGTGAGCTTATATCAACCTTTTAAGCCCCAATATCCACAAACAAATTCTCCAAACTCATCTCTATACATTTCCTTAAAGAATGAGTTGAGAGAATTTGATAAAAGATCAAAGCATTTTCTCTTAGGTGATCATTTAATTAATTCTCATAACCTCATCTCGTGATAATGTATGGATATTGTTAGGAGAAAATTGCTGTTGGTCACTATTGGGACTTAAAGGGTTAAAGTAAAAATCCCGTGGACAAGAGAAAAATGTCTGAGGAAAGACTGCAGAAATTCCATACTGATCACATGTCGCTAAACAGACCTACAGGGTGTAGGTAGTGCTTCTGATTCAGAGAAGAAAGTTTCCCTTGTGGCACGACTGATCAAAAGCACTATAAATATATGAGTACAATTTATTACACATCATCAGTAAGGAATTTCTGTGCTTGTTTCTCAGACATATTATTATATCAATCTTGACAATCAATCAATACCTTTATGTAAGTGTCAAACTAACATAGAAGTACACTAGATGGGGACACTATAAATTAAAATAAGCAACTATTGTTTGTAGCCACTAAAATCGAATTGATATTTACATTTAGTGTATCATATTGACTAGAGACCAAGTGTAAAATTTATAAGATTATAACATGTGTTTAATATTATTACTGAATTAAAAAAAAGAAAAAAACTATTCACAAGTGTATACGAGCTTAGTGAAAATAGCAGTGTGTTCATTCTGCACTACATAGAGTGCAATTTGAGCACTGAGCATCAGAGATGCTGGCTTTGCAAAATGTTAGCTGTTTTCTCAGTTAACTTGAAGGGGAAGCCAAATAATTGCCTGGAACTAACCCTAAAGTATCCTGTGCTGATATTTCAAAGAGTAAAAATACTCAGGTCAAGCTATTAGGACATTGCTAGACACATCACAGATTGTCCAACCATCCTGATCTTATCAGGATTCTTGCAATTGTGCTTGATAATTCCAAATCCCAATCAATATGTCATTGCCTTATAGTGACCCTGGTGTCTTATCATTGTTTTGATTATAGCTTGGAAAGATTGTTTTTTATAATATACCATAAACTGCCATTATTGTCATAAACTGACACAGTACATATATTTTTGTATAAATGTTCAGTCTTTGTAAGTGTGAAAGTTTTTTTGTCTAATTGTTGTCTTGTTTTCTTTAGAAATGCATCCTCCATTTTGAGCAAAGAAGAATCCAATATAGTGGAATATGTTTTCAACAATAAAGGTCAGTGCAGGTGTATTAGAATAATGTAATTTACAGAGAGCAAAATAGAAATCTATTTGCAATGTGTTTTGTCTTAAACCCATAATGAAAAATGGCAGAAAATTGAAATTTTTCATGCCCTAAGGCCTCTGCCATATGGTACTTTGCTATTTGCATGCATTGGAGTTTACATGTACATTATGCATCAATATTATTACTTAATATGTATTATTAAGCAGTACAATTTAAGTTAGCATTGGTGAATTACCAGAAGTGAGTTGCAGGATCTTGGATTTTCAACCTCTAGCTGGCCAGAGATCTGACATTGCAGCTTTCAATGTCTTGCTAGCAAGATCTTGGATTTTTTAACATACTGCAGACAAGATCTTAATCTTTCAACATCTTGCTTTCAAGATTGCAAATTCTCAGGATCTTGCTGGCATTATCTTGAATTTTTAAGATTGTGTACTCTCCGTTTGACAACTCCCTGCTGTCAGTTAAACCCACAAATGAGAACTTGCCATTGTGGTGGTATATTTTTGAGAAGGCACAGTTCCACTTTAATTAATGTTTCCTTTTTATAAGCACTGGTGTTAGATACTAATTAATCCATTTTGGGCACCATCATGTATTTGACTCTATTCTGAAATAAGAACACATGTCATAAAATCCAGAAATTACTTGTTCTCATTTTCACGTGACATCGTACTATCTTGATATCTTGTTTAAGTACAGTATTTTAATACTGTTCTTCATTGAGAAATTTCTTTCCCCAATTAGCAAGCCGCCCCTCCAGCTCTTCCAGCCGACCATCCACTGCACATTCATCGAGAGATGGGCGTCAAACCCCCATGCGAGCCACACCCAGTAGTGATGGTAGTAGGTGAGTATAAACCGGCTTAGAACAGCAGCTGAGCGATTATATACTGTGTTTCTCCGAAGCTCTGTTAATTCAAAGACCGATTTGTTAACTTGGTCTCAAAAATCTCTATTTGGGTGATCTAAAAGACCTTTTGTACAGCAGTGATTTTGTTAGAAATGAGTAATGGTGAGTCCTGGGACTCATCTTGTGAAAAATCAAGAGTCCCAGTTCAGAACCAGTGCGTCTCAGTTAAGAAAAAGATGAGTCCGAAATTGAAAATACCTGGGCCTTTATGTAGCCAGACAGTTAATCTGAAGACAGACTCCAAAACTCTGTATTACACCAACGGTAGTCCTTCAATTTTAAACCACAACAAAGGCTAAAAGAAATATGAATCGTTAAACAACAGCCGTAATAACTGCCACAGAAATTACATGAACGGGCGGGATATTTCTACAAATAGACAGGTTGAGATCGATCGAATTGTTAGCATGATTCCGGAATCCTTGAGCTGTATTCTGGATTCCAAAACCCACGATTCCGGATTCCACCAGAAAAATTTTTCCGGATTCTGGACTTCACAAACAAAACCTCCCGAATTCTGGAATCTGGAGTCCCTTACATGGGGTGAATAAGTCCTGGGCCAATTTTGAAGTTGTTAATGAGGCTGGCTGATCTGCATTTGTTTCAGGTGTACTTCTTCTCTAAGTGATCATTTGGAATCCATGAATGACAAACTTAACGCGCTTGAAATTGACAGAATTACAGACAATTTAAGGTAGGGAATTATGTTGTTGTACAAACCCCATCCATGTACAGGAAACCGGTCGTTTCGCCTACAAGTCGAATCGACCTGAGTGTGAAGAAAGATCGGTTGTTGACACGCCTGAACTAGGTAACAGGTAAAATTACACTTTTTTTAGTTTAATACTTTTCGAACTTCAAGCGCAACTGCGTTGGCGAAACGACTTTGATCGTGTAGGCGAATCGACCTGAGTGTGGGCGAAACGACTTGTAGGCGAAACGACCGACATTCCATGTACAGTGTACCAAGGGGAGCAAGGGTGGCGCAGTGGTGAGAGCACTTGCCTCCCACCAATGTGGCCCGGGTTCAAATCCCGGCGTTGACGCCACATGTGGGTTGAGTTTGTTGTTGGTTCTCTCCCTTGCTCCGAGAGGCTTTTCTCCGGGTACTCTGGTTTTCCCCTCTCCTCAAAAACCAACATTTCCAAATTCCAATTCGACCAGGAATCAGGTAGACGAAGAACCACTATGTGGATGTGCTACCTGCAAATCGTTATTTAGTATTTATTTTATTTATTTATTTTATCCAAAGAATGATAGTCTACACTGTGGTAAATGTACGTTTAAACTACTAACTTGAACACTCGAAAAAAGGAGAAATTAAAAATCCTACTATTGTGTATCATCTTTAACGAGCTCTTTATTTAATGTATTTTGTCCATCGTTGGCCATTTTATGATCGTTAAATTTAGATAAGTTACAGAACTTTATATTGTTACTTGTATTATGCAGGCAGCTGTTAGTAGAAGAAAAAGAAGGGCTTGTCGGAGACATTGCTTTTTTACAGGTAAAGATGGGTCTTTTGGTCGTTGTTTTTCATGTCATTGTACAATGTACATACATGGTAGCCTTCAAAACTTCCCCCGTTGCGCTCCTCGCTCGCTTCGCGTTTGCCTTCGCTTGCCTAAAAAAACAACAGACCGCCTTTTCTACAGGCATGTTGTCTATCCTATCCTTATGCAGAATGTTGTGGCAGTCTGTTTGGATTTATGCCATCCTGTTGATTTCTCGAGATTTGAGCTAGCCGGCATTCCTACGACTGTTACGGTATCTTTAATCCTTAAAGAAAAAAAAAAAACAACAACAACAACAACACAGCATTGACAAAATTAGAAACTAATTTTCACTCTTTGCTTCTTTTTTTAGGACTGCTTGATGGAAGAATCAGATTACCGAGATAGTATCACATCATCTCCTGACCCAGAACCGACGCTAAGAGGTGAAGCCTTATGCTTTAAGACGTTAATAATTTTCTGACATTCGCGCGCGAAAACCTTTTTATCTAAAAACAACGTTCTCGTTTCATGTGATGGCTTTGCTTTTATCACCAGCATGCAAATTTTATATTATTCCTGTTATCCCGAAAGAAAAGCGTTAACGAACCGTACCCGCCATATCATGGTCGAGTGCGGGTTATGTAATTGTGTTGCTTGTTCGATTTTTTTTTTTTGTAGATTTACGTGATTTGGGAACTAAGCTCGAGAAAGAACTTTTGCATAACGAAGCAGGTGTAATAACGTAAGTATATGGGGAATGAGGAAAACCTCTGATCTTTTCAAGGGTTTTTATCAAGTTGTTGTTCTTTTACAATCATTTCTCAAGCATCTTACTACTGTTGCGGCTTAAAAAAGATCCTACCATCCACCCCTTCCCCTTTTCCGCCTATTTAGCAAATTCTTACCCGTTGTCTCTGTGTTCGTATCACAGGCAACACAAGCGAAAACTCTCGGAATCCAGAAGACAGTTTTCTTTGGAACGGAAGCCTTCTTTGACGAGACGAGTGTCCGCCGGGTCCGAATCTCATGTCGTTCCCAGACCTCCTCTGACTCCGCATGACCGTCATGTTCATACTGTGGTAGCTAATCGCACGCTCACAAGTAAACACTCTGATGCGAGCGTTCTTTCCCGGGGACAATTCTCTCCTTCGCCGCCTTCGTCTGCCAATCAAATTAGAATGACACCATCTCCACCCAGTTCGGCTAAAACCAGTCGGCCAAACTCAGCTTCACGGTTTCGGAAAATGGTCGTAGAATGTCGGGATAGCGCACGTTAGGCGAGATATCCTGGTATCCTCGACAGTAAAAGTCATCCAGAGACGCGTGAGCTGCCTTTGTGTCGCATTCCAGGTTTCCACAGAACTCTGTAAAACCCTTGGAAACGATCCTCAAGTTTGCCCCGAAAATAACCGCAGTCCGTGAATATATCTGTTCGGTCTACATTTTTTAACACTGACAGTAACATGATCCCGCATTATTTTTAACCTGAGAAAACGGCCGACTTGTTGCGACTCCACCACTGGTTTTTCCGCGAAATAGAATTTGTGGCACGACCGCAGAAATTCCATACTGATGACGCGTCACTACCCAGATCCGGGCGCGGGGCAAAGTTGCTTCAACCAATCAGAAACTTTACCCAGATCTGGGTAGTGACTAATCATCAGTATGATCATTTTTGCGCTCGTTCCCCAGAAGTCAGTTAGCGGGGAGTAGCGGAGAATCCAGTGGTGCATCGCGAAATGTTGGTTGTTTTCTCAGGTAACAATAGAGAGCTTTAGATTCTGAGACGAGGGCGACTACAAGTACGAGATTTAACTTAAAGTTTTTCCGCGTATTCTCGAAAAATATTCAATCCGGAAAGCTTCATTGAACTATTTTTCACCGGAAAAATTAGTGCCGTTATTTTTATTGGAGAAGGTGTAGCCCTTTCTCGGTCGCAAAACGATTAAACTTCTAAAATTTGATTTGTTCCCGCCACTACGGCAATCTCGCTAAAACTCGTAGTAGAATGACGACGGCTATCACGTTTTCCCGCCAAAATGACGCTGGTTCACGAAAGAGCACTACTTAGTACTGAGAAAATCTTGTACTCGTTGTCGTCCTCGTCTTTGAATCTAAAGCTCTCTTTTGTTTCCTTTCTGGTTCGAAAATGACTGCAGGATCGTTCAGTAACCAATCCCTTGACATTGCTGTATCAGATACAGTGGTTAGACTGCGATACGGGTTTCGGGAAGGTTGTTCTTTCACTACCTGCGGGGTTTCGGAATTTGTACTTGTTCCAAGCTGGGGAAAGAAAAGTTCGTCGTTCACCCGGTATTAAATCTGGATCACATTTCACGGTGGATTTAGAATTATTTGGTGGGCATGCGCAGTTCGGTCAGAACGTTGAGTTCATCAGTTTTTACGGTGTGTAAAATTTTAACATTTTGACTTTGAAACAAAGTGTGTTTAACAGTGTGAAATGCTCACGTGCCTGTACGGCCAAACACAAAACAAGTTAGCACTCTTTTTAATCAGTGCAAGTTATATTTTGAAATCCAAAGCAGTTCCCGCAGTTTGGCTTCAACTACAGTGAATGGCGCGGTTATCATGGTGGCTTTAGTGTCAAGCGTCGAAAGTCTGTAGTTTGTTCAATTTGTTATATTGCTTTGTCTTACATCTTTGAAAACATGTCGCCGCAACTTTTTAAATTGTTTGAGTCCTGACTTTTCTGGGACCAAAAATAATTCATATTACTTATGGACTCAAACTAGTGCTCTGCATTCGCGATTCGTAAATAAATCCTTCAAAAAATTTATTTCGTCTAAGAGGAGATGCCTGTTTATCCTCTGTTGTTTTGCCCCAGTATTAAGGGTACGGTAGTTAGTTTCTTATGAACGCTAACTTGTAGCGCATTGCATCATTGTATATTGTCTAGTCTCACTTTTAAATGTTCTCCAGATCGGGAAGTGAAATGTACTATTTGTTCACGAAGTCTTCTTAGGTGTACATATGAAAAAGAACTGTACATACATTGCGGTTTTATCAAGTACGGAATATTTTATTCTCTGTATACCTTAACTGCTTTCTAACACGTTAAAATCAAGGTATTTTGTTAAATTACCATTTGCTTTTATTTTATTTTATTTTATGGCCTGCTGTTACTGAACGAGAAACTGTTCTGCTTTGTAGCAGGCCAGTGTGTTGCACATCAATGTTCGTGACTTCACTCTTTAAACGATCAAGAAGGAGTGCATGCGCATGCTATGGAGTCAGGGACATAAGAACTGCAACTTTTGAGAGCGCTGCCTTGCAGTTGGTGCGAAAATAACAACAACAACAGCAAAATTGGCGCAAAAGGACACTGAACTAGTTTTGGAAAAAATTTTAGGCCACTGGATTTAAAAACACTATTGCACCCCACCTCCCCCTCCCACCACTTTGCCTATGAAATAGTGAACCCTGTAACAAGGGTAGAAAAAATCACTGCATGGCGGAAGTGCTGAAAAAAGTCTAATTTAAGCCATATACGTAGTGAAATAACCAACTAAAAAAGCTGCATAGGCAGATGGGAAAAGGACTCGGGATACTCTGTCGATCCATGTTTCCATGAGCCTGTTCGTTTCTTGGACCTCTGAAATACCTTTAGCTTCTGTAAGGTGGAGAATCATTGAGATTCTGTTCTTCCTCTCGAGGACATTAACAGCCGTCTCTTCGTTTTGATTCGACACACATGTCTGTTGATCGGTTTCGTGTTCCTGTGTGGCAATAGGTGAAGATTTCACCTTCCGCTTTTCTCTTGAGGCGGCCTTGTAAACGATAACGCTCTCAAGAAGCGTAGTAAAGGAGAACGCGAAAGACACAATTAAAAACAGGTCAGCAGCCTTTACATAGCTGACACGTGGCATATTCTCATTAACGCTTTGCACCAAGAACATCTGCGTAAGTAGCGAGGTAATACCGACAGTTCCCCTGTCCCCAATGTTTCGTGGGTCGATCCAGAAAGCCAGCCACGAAACCACTGTGCAAAGAATAGCCGGAAAATAGACCTTTATGAAATAATAACCACTTCTTCTCTTAGCGGTAAAGGCGATTTTCAATATCTCAAAACAACCTGTAACAAAGATAGATGGGATCAGGACATTCACGGCCATACCGTCTCGTTTCAAAGGTGATAAATAATATATTAATCAATTTTCAAATTGCTAGCTTCGAAATACAACTACGATCTTAAGATAATTGATCGGGTGAGGTGATCATTTGTAATTGTATCATATTGATTAATTTATGGTGCATGTTGCCTCTATTTTTTAAGAGGATAACTAAACCATTACTATTAATCTGCACCAAAGTATAGAAATCCCAAGACTCGAATTCAATATGGAAACTTGCTGACTCCAAAGAGAGTTTAAAGCGCCCCTTCTCGCGCTTTCGATGTACCGCTGATTTGACATTGCTACATTTTTCTGACACTTGTTTACCAAACTATGATGACATGAGACTGTTTCATACCAAGGAAGTATTTTGTGGTACCGATTGTTGTACTTTGATTGATGATCACAAAATCTGACATCTCATAGGCTTCGTTCAACATATGCACATGTATACGTCTGTAGCGCAGTTGGCTGGTTTCAAATCCGTCTGCAAAGAAAAAATAGGTAGTCGATGAGTTAAGTTAAGGCATGGGTTGAAAGGCTAAAAAGACCCCCCACAGAGAATGCAAATAACCTTTTTCAGTGACGCAGAAGGGTCCAAGTAAAGGGTTCCACAAAGATATGATAAGACTTATCTCACTAAAATAGTTTTGGAAAATTCTTCCCAAGTATCACGTGACATTCCTTGGACCATAACTTCATAAAACCTGTTTTCTCAAAGGGAGCAAGGTTTTTAAACTTCAGCCTAAAAATACTTGTCATCAAATTGTCAGCGAAACTGTCTGGATTGTAAATAAGAGTTATTTAAGTCTTTTAAAAGTCAAGTGACCTGTTTTTCTTTATTTCGTAATCCTTGCTCCACTTAGGCATACATGTAGGGCTGTTTCATAATATCCAGGCCATGGGAAAAACACTGGTGCCTACTCTTTCATTTCCTTTCCACCGTTTTAATTTGAACACTTTGAAAGTTAGCGATCATTTGCAGGTCACGTGACTAATATTTCAACAAGGAATGTGTCACATGTTAGGGCCATTTATACGAGGAAAAATACGACACGTGTTACATAAGACGCGTCTTAAATAAGACGCAAACTGTACCATTTATACGAGCATGTCTTATCTAAGACAAGAACAGCTCGTATAAATGGTTCGCGTCTTATTTCTGTTCTTGACTCGTTTTCATGTAAATGTTGCCCGTAGCAACGGCAATCCAACGTGGTGCGCCAAAAATTAACGTATGCGTACTATGCGTTCGCGTCTTTTTTAAGACGCGAAGGTCATTTATACGAAGTTTTTCTTGTCTTAGCGAAGACGCGTCTTATCTAAGAACAGGAAAGTTCGCGTCTTATTTAAGACGCGTCCTATGTAAGACTGGCTGCGAAGGAGACTAAAGTAAGACGCGTCTTATTTTTCCTCGGATAAATAGTCCTATTGTTAAGGTCACCGAGCTAAAACTGTTTGCCAAGTTTCACGACAACTGATCAAAACAATCCGTTTCATCTCAAAATTATGCAAGTTATGATGTGACCCATGTCTTAACATGCCTCCTAATAAGCTACGAATGCTTACATGATGCAACATCCAATCTGAATGTTTGCTTGTCCATGGGAAAGGCGTGGAAATTCATCGACGTCCTGGCGATGACCTTTACCCTTAAACGAAAAATTACAAGCTTAAAGACAAAGAAACAGTTTATTAAACTGATTGTACATCCTTTGTTTGTACACTCATGTGTTCAGTGGACAGTTATTCTTGAAATCTTTATCTTATCATAACTAAATTTCTCTCCACAGAGTTTCCAGTAACTCAGTGGTTAGAGCGTCCGAGCTAGAACTCGGAGGGTCGTGAGTTCGATTCTAACCTGGAGCTCGGAGCTCTGGTATAAGAATTCTCCTTCTTCCAACAAATTAATTACTTTAAATTGCTTTAAAATGATGATTGGGTCTTCTGTGTCGAATAGTTTGATTCAGCCCCAGTTCTTTGGCAAAGTTGTCGCCGAAACCACTTTTTGTTGGCAGCGACATTTCAAATGACTACTCGAGTACCACACTTATCCAAAAGTGTCAGCGTAACTTTTTTTCCCTTAAAGATCCAAATTACCTCTTGGAATAAGCAAGCAAACCATCTCCAGTTAGTATCACCGTCATTGTTTCTTTTTGCACAGTGGTCTTTACACTGTTTTCGAAGTACGTATCAGGTAGCCATAACTTATCAAGGACATCTTGCTGCAGCACAAGGGCGTTGCTTCCATTGCCAAACGCCAGTCTGCTGTCGAACCACAATTGCCTCATGAACATATCCACTGTGAATTTCTAAGTACGAGTAAGAATGCTTTGTTAGTTATCAAGTGCTGCACTGTAACCATTTGCACCATGTTAGGAAATGCAGGAAATTTTTGTTTGTGGAATCTGAAATCCCGGGCTCTGGAATCCGGAATACAGCTCAAGGGATCTAGAATCCCACTAACGATTGGAATCTAGAATCTAAATTCCACAGACAAAGGCTGGATTCCAGGTATGGAATCTAAGACTGTCTTGGATTCCATGCAGGTGGTCGAACCAAGTGAAGAATACAAGAGTACCTAAATTTTATAAAGAAATAAACTGCAAAAAATCGTGTAGCCTACGTTACATCGGCTCACGCATCAAACCACTGATGTAGTCTATACCGGCAGTGTAGGGTGTCTACGACTCAGGCTACTAAATTGAAGACTAGCTTACCATGTTTTCTTCCTCAATATTTGAAATGGACAGCACTCCAATGTCTATCGCAATATCAAGTGGTCGTTCTGAAAAAAAAAAAAAAGGTCAGTCTGAGAGAAAAAAAGGTGATTTTGGCAAAAGGCAAAAACAAAACACTCTTCGCTAAATCTGTCCGGTACATTATGGTACTAATTTTCGCGGTTAAAGGAAATAATTTTCGTGACAAGTAAGGATGAACATGGTCTCATTTTAACAAAGGCAACAAAAACAGGAAAACACAAAAAATTACCTGCATGTCCGGGTCTCAGCCTTTTGTCGTAATTGCTCAAAAGTTTCTTTAAAATGGCCGAAGCATTTTGAGGTTCTAATACTGGCGGCATTTCCTCTATTGTTAACCTCTCACTAGAAAGAAAGGTCATTCAGATGAGAACACCCAAAGTTGATTTATTGACCAAAGAATAAGCTTGAACCGGATTCAAATTTACCTTATGTTCCCCCTTGTATTCAAACTGCATGCCAACACTGAAATTTCTGTAGACACCATCAGAGCAACACATACAACTTGAAGAACCATCGCGGTTGTATTCTTGATCATTTTTAGGTACTTTTCAAACCTAATGGTCTTACAAAAGCCGCCTGCGACATAATATGAATAGAATCAAATTAGTTGAGCTTCGTGTTGAGAAAAACTTCGTGATTAGATATAGTTAACTGAACAAAAATGTTAGAACTAGTAGGTGTGAAAAAGACACGCATATGTACACTACCCACAAAATTCGTGGCGCACTGAATTTAACAAAGTTAACTAAAATTTACGGGTGTTATCTTGTTCAAACATTTAATTTCACCTTTCTATGATATCTTTGCTGTCAGCCAGTGTGGTCTGTCGTGCTTGTGGACAGCTCATCATTTTGAGTCGATTAGAAATTATTTGCCTGATTACTCCCTGAGGATTGTACTCTACTCAGTCCTGTTAATCATTACTTAAACTATGTTTTTTTTTCTCCACACCCGAGTTTTAATCTGAGTAAATGGCCGTCATTTCAACGCCTATATCCAGCACCTGTCAATTAATCAGGTATGTGGTTAAAACAGACTCGAATAATGACTTTATTCTTTATTGTCAGGACCAAGCAGAGCCGGCTTAAATGCATGTTTTTGTTTAGTAAAACCACCTGCCACCTAAGATGGATATGGGGGAAATAATTTAATTAAATTTAATTCACAACACGTAAATCACATGTTAACACTTTCTCCCTACAATACTACATGCGACGTTTCATTCAGTGCAACTAATGTGTCCTTATAGTACCTACTTTGAAATGCACCTTAGTTTAAAATGATAGAACGAAAAATATATTTTTCTTTTGTCTTCGTGTGATTCGGCCCTTGGTGCGTCATGTAAAGCTAAAATTACTTTTAGTTCTTCTGCAGATTCCAGGTGAGATGCCCTCGTAGTAGTCTAAATAATCTACTCTTTTACAAAATAACAGTGACAAATGTTTCCCCCGCAGTCGGTGTGGGTGAATCTTCATACATTAAGGTTTGGATGAAGAATTGTATGAACAGTCAGCCAAAACGGTGAGAAAAACACAAAAAACTTTAAGAGTGAAAAATGTGCCCGAAAATTATCCGTCTGAACATCAGTCCACTGTCCCAGAATTTTAGGATTATCATTAAATCAGGTTGTAATTACGTGAATAGAAAGAAGAGGGGGAAATCATGTTTAATTTAAAACATCTCTGCAAGAAGCAGTTTGCGGTTTCAGCAAATTAAGAGCGCTGTTCATGGCTTATATTTAACAGTGACCAGCTGATATAACTAAAGAAAATGGAAAACAAAGAATATACGTATCGGAATATACTACTTACTTGCTTGAGAGGCTTTGAACAGCAAAAGCACGTTGGTCGTGATTGCCTTTTCTAAATGTAAAATGGTTTGATATAGAAAGGTTACATGTATTTCTCTGTTACTAAGGAAACGCCATCAAATAGACTAAGAAACTTGTCATATTTACAATCCTAACTTACATGTCGCACTACAGGTCTTTTAGGTAGAAAGCATTTATTTGTTACATGACACCAATGAAATCCCAGGTGAGCTTTCGCGCGAAAGAATGGGGCGCGATCCATTCAACCAAAATGTCCGGAAATTTCCGTCCAAAACTCAATGGATCGGTTCGGTCCAACCGGAAAAGTTTCGAAAAAACGGGTCCACCTTTTGAGGTGGACCACTTTTCGCGGTCGGACCGGTTGGAATTCTGGTTGAATGGATCGCGCCCCATGGTATCTTCATACGTGAGGACTGAAAATGACGCGTTCATAGTATCGTCACACGTGAAAAGATCGCCATTGCCATAGGTTACATAATAATAAATCGCGCCTTTCGCAGCAAAAAAAGTGAAAAGGTTTGGTAGTTTCATATAATAGATAGAACATTACTTGGCCACTGCTAGAAATTTCTCATTTTCACGCGGCCATTTTATATCGTCTATTTTCTAAGCTATTTAATTTGCAAGTCGTAAAAACGTGTTAAATGATGCCACCAGTTTTATATTTAAACAATTCTAATGTGTTATCGGTCATATATATGCATTATTCTTTCCTTAGCGGGTGGTCTACCCACTGAGCTGCGGAAAGAGCACACAAATTTATAAAAACAAGACCATTAGTTAGTTTGATCTAAGACCCGCCTCCTGCAATTAACAACAGAACATTTACGGCAGTTACGAATTCAAAGTTCATACTTGGCTTCGAGACCGAGGAGAATAAAACGAAAGAAATGAATTATTCATCCATGAATCTTAATGTGATTTTTGTAATTGAAAACTAGGCTATTAGTTCAAGCGTCAGGGTATAAGTGTTGAGTTTCATATCCCGACGTAAGCAGAGCTGAACCTCTCTCCTCTGCAGATTAGCTTCCGCTGGGTACTCCAATAAAAAAGTAAAACTGAATCAAAGAGGCCTCCGTGGAGGAGACAGCAGCTGAAGTATGTTTAGCGAAACTCAGACCACATTTGCTTGTTCACAAGAAAAAGTGCCTAGAGAAGGGGAAGTTTTCTGAATGAAAAAGCATTTCATCCATTTTTTTTTCGACAAAATGTATAGTACCAATTATTACTGAAATGCGGTTTTTAAAGGTACACACAAATATAAATAAATTATGTACAGAAATATCAATGGTTTCTCATTCGAATTTGCGAAGCTATAGCAAGAAATCGATCGCAGTCAGTTTGCTGGCCGTAAACGTGATTCTTAATTTCAGCAAGCGAGAAAAGCAATTACGAGTGTTCAAATCTATTGAAAGTTTATTCAAAATATACTTAATAGCAGGTTTAATCCAGCATATAATTTTTTTTCACTTCAAACACTTATTCAGTACCTCTCACCTTTATTGATCGTCCGTATTTCAATCTCAATTTTAAGCGAGTCGAGTGGTTCATACTTGGGAGCAAACAACTCCGTACAACTGCTACCTTGAAAACCCAGCACTTCAACAAGACGCTTTTAGGCAGCTTAAAAGCTGCTACTGAGACAACATTGTTTGAACGCGGGCATCCATCATTTTCTGGAAGAATTGTGTAAGAAAAAAAAATTCAAATATTCCGCCACTTCTTCCGATTTGTTTTCACCGACAACTGTTTGTATAAGTCTTGCGCGAGGGCTAAATTTGATGACGTCACCGCCAAGGTATTTTAGAAACGGGCTTTCAGATGCGCGCGTGCTTATTTTTTATATTTTTTATTAGTAACAAACAGCAGATTACAAACAATACGCTAAACGGTGCTTACAAATTGGCTAACAGTAACTACTAGTTTACAAATTGACACTAACAATAACGAACTTACGCTTGTCATCTATGGACCCACTTAGCGTGTGTAAGCACTAACTACCATTAACGCTCAAAAAGACAACCCCATGTTGCCCTTATTTAAGCCGTATATGTCGTGAAATAACAAACTAAAAAAGCTACGTAGGCAGTCGGGAAAAGTACTCTTGATATCCTGTCGATAAAGTCGTCCGCATTCTTCTTTTTCTTTTCTTTTATCTCTGAAGTGCCTTTAGCCCGTGTAGGGTCAAGAATCATCGAGATGCTGTTCTTCCTGTCAGCGACAGTAACACTCGCCTCACTGTTTTGATTTGCCTCAGTTTTGTCCTCCTGTTTAGCAGTAAAACAACAGAGTTACTTGTTTTCAAGGTGAAAAAATACGGAACTAATCACCTTTATTTTACTAAAAGGCGCCTAAGAAAACCTGGATTCCCAGGCTTTGTAATAACTACTTATGAGGATACCAATAGCGGAGGTCTTGCGTGCGCGAGGCGCGCGCAGCGGTGCACCATGGGTGAGAAAATTTGGTTATCTACGCATCCAAGAAATTTCGGTTCTAACAATCATCCGTACGTCCATCGCGTCATGTTAGTGGATGTGGCCTTGGGCTCCAGACAGGGTGATTTCGGCCCGATTTCTGTTTCGAAGCGAAGCTCGAAACAGAAATCGAACCCTTATCGACATGAATGTCAAACAATTTTGGATTTCATTTGAAAGTGCAAAGTAAGCCCATACCCTTTCATTTTGAGGCGAAGCATTCATCTCCATTTTTCCTCCTTTGGCGGCCCTATAAACTGTGATGCTTTCTAGAAGCGTTATAAAGGAGAACACAAACGAGACAATTAAAAACAGGTCAGTGGCCTTCACGTAATTGACATGCGGCATATGCTCATTAACGCTTTGCACCAAGAACATCTGAGTTAGCAGAGAGGTAATACCAACAGTTCCCCTGTCCCCGATGTTTTCTGGGTCCATCCAGAAGGCCAGCCATGAAACCACAGTGCAGAGAGTGCCCGGAAAATAGACATTTATGAAGTAATAACCAACCCGTCTCTTCGCAATGAAGGAGATTTTCACCATGTCGAAACAACCTGTAGCAAAGGTAGACAGATCAGGTTTTGGCCTTGACCGTCTTTCTGGAATGATCACATTTGTTATATTAATAAATCAATTTAAAGAACAACAACTACAACAAGAACCAACCAGCCAACTTATATGCCAATTTAAAAACCGTTTACAAAAAACATAATAAATTAAAGTAGATCAGGCAAAAACCTACTCAGAATAGCAAATACTAAACGAGCTGGGTAGTTACAATGATTAGATTACATTCTAATAGGGTTTTGACACGCGAAAGACAAAGAAGTTGACAACCTTGAACTCAAACTGAGTTCTTAGATACTTATCGGAACGGAGATATGGTCATTTCTAATGGTGCCAGATTGAATGATGTTTAGTAACTACACTCGATTTTAAAATAACCAATATTATTATTAAAGTCAAAGTATTCAAGTTCCAAGACTCAAATTCAAAACGGCAACTTGCCAACTTCATTTTCCGTGGAGACGGGTTTGATATCCAGCTAATAGAGCGATTTTCGTCTGACCTTGAAATGAAAACGCGCGAACAAAACAGAAACAGCAAACGAACGGAAATAGAGCGAATTGATTGATTAATCGAACGGATACAAACCCGCGTGGGTTTTGGTTGGTTAGCGAACGCTCGGCTGAAAAAACTTCGTGCCCGAGAACTTTCTAGAAATCAATAGATACTTCGCTTTGACGTCATACTGCAACACAAATGGCCAATCTAACAATGCCCTCTCCATATTTAAATAGGGTTTTCTTTGGCGGGAAAACGAAGAGGCCATGTTTTGATCTTTTCACTCATTTGCTGATAAAACGAGTAAGGAACACTTGCCGAAACCAATTTTCAAGGTCATACGAAAATCGCTCAAATGATTCATGAACAGCAAAACAAAAGTAATCAATACTGTGAAGGCGATCGGATCCTCGCAAAATTTATAACCAAATGCTCGCTGTTTTAAATGACCATAAAGGTCTCCCGCTCTAATCCTTAATTGTGACTGAAAAGCCCTGTTGAAGGCAGTCTCAGTAAAGTATGTATGTATGTATCCAAGACATTCTTGGATTCTGGATCAGGATTCTTAGTGAGTGAAATCTGGATCCGAGATTCCGGATTCCAAAGATCTGGACTCTGGGATTCCACAAGCAAAATTTTCCCATCTTCCGTAATCTAGACTACCCTATGTGGGGAGAAAATTCAGGTTTGAATTATTTTCAAGAATTACTGAATATTTCACACCCGAACGAGTATTTTATCCAACCACAGCCGATGTAAGAAGTGGGATTTGCGTCGACTTTTATTTCACTTATCGCCGTCTGGAGGGGTCTGAAAAATAACTGTATAACCAGTCCATCTGGCGGTGCTTAATGCATAGCGTGTTTTACAATGCTAAGGAATACTCCTGACACACGTTACCAAAGTAGGGAACAATTTATACCTGATATGTACTTTTGTGAAGTGATTGTTGCACTTTGATTCATGATCACAAAATCGGCCATCTCTTGAGCTTTGTTCAACATGTTCACCTGTATTTTTCTGTATCGCAGTTGGCTGTTTCCTCTACCATCTACAAAGAAAAATATAGTCATCGACACTTAACATTGCGCAAGGTGCAAGGGAATCTTCTGAAGGCCGTTTAGCGTCTCTAGACCAACAAATCCTTTTTTCAATCTACCTTGTTCAACTTTTTCTATCCTTGCAGACCTAACTCTACCTGAACGTGACTTAAAACTTGATCCTTTTCCATTCCAAAATCATAGATTAATACCCGGCCCCATTTGTTCATTTTGCGGTAACCGTTCCAATGTATAAAATACATACCATACCCATTCTTAGTACAAAACGGGTCGACACAATACTCTGTTGGGTGGTACTCACATAGCGTAACCACTCCTTTGGGTGGTGAGAGGTTTGGTGGGCGGGGGGCGGGGGGTAATTATAACTTTTGCTGGCGTAAGTACTTACAAGATGAAGCAGTCAGACTGAATGTCTGCTTGTCCATAGGGAAGGCCTGGAAATTCATCAAAGTCCTCGCGATGACCGTCACCCTTAAACAAATGATTACATGCAAAGAACAGATCCTTAAACTGATAGCGTACATCCCTTGTTGACGGCCCCTAATAGGTTTTTCGGGAAACGGGATTTTCCTTATTTGAAAACTCGGGACTCGGGATTTTTAAGCAAAAACGGGACGAGATTCGGGATTGAAAACTATTATGCCCGGAAGGTGGGATACCAAAAATAACCATCGAGATTACAGGATTGCACGTTACCAATTCGTCGTGCAAACGGATGCAACAACTCCCAACATTGTTGGCGTAGTTTCAAACTTTGGCAACAACTCCCAACGAAACGCAACAATATACAACAGGGTGTGCAAAACGGACGCGTGACTATAAGTATATAACGGGGTTACATGCTTCTGGCGTGACTTATTATTGATAAAAAAAATTGCTTTTTTACCCACGAAGCACTTAAGAGTTCATATGAACTCGTTTAAACGTGTCCGTGTGTTCCAGATCGAATTGGAATTTGGAAGTGTTGGTTTTTGAGGAGAGGGGAAAACCGGAGTACCCGGAGAAAAACCTCTCGGAGCAAAGGAGAGAACCAACAACAAACTCAACCCACATATGGAGTCGACGCCGGGATTTGAACCCGGGCGACATCGGTGGGAGGAGAGTACTCTCACCACTGCGCCATCCTTGCCCGATACTTGTCTTTGTCGAATTTTTTTTTTGTTTCAGCACTGTTCAAGTTTTGCCAAATTAACTTTGTATTCTTGGAAACGACGTTGACACATACAGACAGACCTTTCAATCCGCTAATAGAGGGCATCGCGCCCTTATTAAGAATCAGTTTACCTCTGGGTGTAAAAAATGGAACCGTTTCCATACAGCAACACCGCCATTGTTTCTTTTTGTCCAGAGGTCTTAACGCTGTTTTCAAAGTACGTATCTGGAAGCCATAACTTGTTCAGGACCTCGTACTGCAAAACGAGGGCGGTTCTTCCATTGCCAAATGCCAGTCTTCTATCGAACCATAATTGCCTCATGTACATATCTACTGTGAATTTCTAAATGTAAAGTATAGCATTATCATGTGTTACCATGTTTTTTGATGCCTTGGGTAGCTCATGAACCACAACATGGCAACAGTTTAAGTTTAATCCTCAAGTGAAATTTTGAAATTGAGTGGTAAAAAAATACTTTAAAAAAACAGCTTTGATACAACACAGTTAAAAAAATAGGAAAGTGCTACTATAAGGAAACAATTTAGCTCACGGAAGACCCTTTTGGTGCGAGTTGGAACCTTTACTGAGAAATTAAACTATAAATGAGCCACTGACACAACTACCTAACAGTATGTACACAACCATTCATGAGCCATGCAAATGACGCATGGCTTACCATGTTTTCTTCCTCAATATCTGAAATTGTCAGCACTGCAATATTTATCCCAATATCAACTGGTCGTTCTGAAAAAAAAAAAAAATTGGCGGAGCTCTCGAGCGCGCAGCGAAGCACCTGCATGGCGAATTAAATATGTGACAAAATCGCCCGTACGTGACTTCCTCCCCTTCATATCTCAAAGGAGAAGAAGTGTGCCTGTATATAATAACAAAAGAGATACTAACAGCATTATCTTTTTCGACAATAGAAAGTGAAGGGTGCGTCATACTCTGTACTACGTATCTTTTATACGCCACTTGCACATCTCCCATAATGCACCTTATTTGCCCACCCCCCGCCAAATTTCACATAACCGTTTTTCATTTCCACTGGGTATTACAGTTGTCCCAAGAGAATTCGAAAACGATGCTTATTCAAAATTTTGTGGGGGCAAATATGGTGTATTATGGGGGATGTGCAAGTGGCGTATAGTGCAGAATAGCCCATATCCGAGGTCCAAAAACTCTCACTTTTAAAACGGCGGGGCTACGTGTAAAATCTTTGTTGTGAAAATGAGTTTTATTTGCATGAAAATAAAACTTATTTTCTTATCAATGGCTTCGCACTTAGCCTCGCATTGAAAATGGAAGTGATCTTATGTCTACGACTAAAAGCGCACATTTAAGTTTATTAGAACATACGGGCATTAAATTTCGTGTCGCTAATTCTCGCGGAACGAAAATTAGGTATACAGTGTTTGGCGCAGTGTTTCGTTGAAAGACATTCTGAAACCAAAGCGTGGTTGACTGGGCTTGTTCCGGTTGATTTCCAAGTGATAAATGAAGTTTTAAACACGAGGTGTCTGCCAGCTTAAAATGATAACTATCTTTAAATTGATCTCTTTTTCAATATTCAAGATTCTTAAAAATTTAACCTTTTTTTTTAAATTTCATTTTGCCCCTCAATTACTGTTAGTGAGTTTGAGAAACAGACAGCTTATTTAATGAAGGGAATAAAACAGGAAGATAAGAATGATACCTGCATGTCCGGGTCTCAGCCTTTTGTCGTAATTCTTCAAAAGTTTGTTTAAAATCTCCGAAGCATTTCGAGGTTCAATTACCGGTGGAAGTTCCTCTATTGATAACCACTCACTGAAAAAAAAAATGAAAACACCAACACGAAGAATTTTCATCGAAAAGAAGCTCATCGTTTTTTTTAAAAAAAAGCAAGTGAAGTTACATCAACTTATTGTTTTATGCCTTTCCTTGCCTGCTCATGTGATTCATGCTCATTCTTATTTTCTTTGTTGTAACAAATGACTCCGTTTCATTCATAAGCATATAGCATATCCAAAGACAATTAGAAAAATAAACTTTGAAAAAAGCATAAACTTGAACTGTGTGTAAGTACAAACCTCATGTTCCCAATGGTATTTAAACCGCAAGTTAGCACTGAAACTCCTTTGGACACCAACAGGGAAAAATACATAGCGAGAACAATCATCGTGGTTCAAGCAGTCTTGATCCTTTTCAGATACGCTTGGGAAATGATACAAATGTTATAAAATCAGTCGAACTAGGTATGGAAAGAAATGTCTTAATCTTCAGCTAACTAATAATAATTGTTGTCCTTTTTGTAGCGAGGATACGCGACAAAGTCCTGCGTATACGGAGTGTCCCGATCGTTCGTTCCCTTGTTTTTGCATTCAAAGTTAGCGGAACGCCTTATATAATCCTAAGTACCCTGTGCCACTCAATAAATGCACGACTTTATGCAGATCAACCCCAGTAAATTTCAAAATTTTGTTGCACTTCACGTCATAAATCAAATGTAAATCAGAACGACTTCAAACCGTTACGGACATTTTTTTCTAAAACTGTCGAATGTGGCCTCTCTTAGAATGAGAAACTGTTTTACTAAAAACAATGACAATTGTAATCATGGTATATTCTAGTAGAACTTTAAGTGAAAAGTTTCTCGCGGAAGAAATTTGTTTCAGCTTTACAAAAGAATATAAATGTCTTTCTCGTTCGATAATAACACGATAAAAGAACCGATGTGTCTAAATAGAAGTTCCCTATTTGCCAAGGACACTTTGAAAAGCGACACAATTCAAATTATAAACAATGAGTGGATGAGGCTTCTGTGATATTAGGAATAATCAAGGTCAAAGGCCAAGACTGATAACGCTCACCGTCTCACGAAACACGTTTTGACATTGATCTTGGAATTCAGTACCTAACTCTCGCACTTTACAGAGGATACTTTTTGTTCTCAGCGGATGGAAATTTTTTTTCCAACCAATATCAACAGCAGTGATTAGTTAATAATTGTAAGAATGTGGAAGGGAAAGAATTCTCGTGTGACGAACTAGAGATCGGAAAATATTACTTTCTTGCGGCGAATACTGACCAAACAAAAGCATGTTGGACTGCCAATGAGGGAGTAATACTTGGTGAGGTGGAGACAGACAAGGCGTAGTCCCTCAGCTACTAATTTCGATTTGGCAGTCTTTGAGCCTAACACTATAAAATGACAGACTTGTCATATCTCTAGTATTTTTTGTCACCAAGCAAACAGTATAGAAATTAAAGAGCCCTGCCTACAATTTATACAACACCAAATTATACCGATAAAATATCGCAAATTTTAACCACAAATGAAGAGGGGAACTTTACATCAATTGAGGTAAGCTTCGGCTCTCGAATGATATGGAGAAGCAGGGTTCTTGCTGGCAAGATGTTGAAAACTTTGTCCATAGGTTTTGCCAAGGATATTTTCAATTAAAACATTCAAGCAAGATCTTGCGCCAAGGCCGAAAGCCGAGGCGGATAACACACTCCAAGATCTGCCTAATTCTTCATATCACGTGTCAATAAAGATCAATAAATCCAACACTTGCCTCCTTCAAAATATTTCAGATTTTAAAACATTGATGTGAAGTTCCCAGCTTCCGTTGCCTCCTTGGCAAATTTGGCGAAAGGGCTGGCAGATAGTAGCCTGCGAAAACATCCGTTTCTCCTCGCTCTTCGCCGTTGGGGACGTTTCGCGAGGAGGAACGTCTGCGACTCAGCGACAGAAATTCCATACTGATGACGTAAAATCTGTCCGGAATCTGGTCAGAAGCGCTGATTGGTCGACGGAGTAGTTAGATTTTGTTAGCTATTGTTTACGAATGACAGACAAAAGACAAAAGGCCACAAAGGTCAAATGTAAACGCGAAGAATCTCTAACAAAACAGTCAATATTTGTGGAATATAGTCTTCTCTAGAAGAAGCACTTGAGTTTTGCTGGAGCTCGTTGGCAGATAAACACAACACTTTACCAAAATCGTTCAGAAGACACGTAAAATTGGACGAATTTGTAGTTGGAACTCCATGACTACTGGATTTATAATGTAAACATTGGATTGCGTCATCAGTATGGAATTTCTGTCGCTGAGTCGCAGACGTTCCTCCGCGCGAAACGTCCCCATCGGCGAAGAGCGGGGAGAAAAGGATGTTTTCGCAGGCTAGGCAGATAGCAGTTTTCATCCGGTTTGATCAGTTTTCAAAAGCGGTTGCATATGACAGAAAATGTTGGTCAGACAGCGTGGAGGCCTTATGAGACATGATGAGACATGATGATGATGATGATGATGATGAACATAAAATTGTTAATACTGGTCAAATGATCTATTGCTCACAAGCAAATTTATGAAATTGCATTTTAAAGTCTACCACATTTAGCCGTTTTAGGCATTTCACATGTGCCAAATTTAATGCTAATAAGGACAATCTATTTTTTCTCGCTCATTTGCATTAGATAAGGCAGATGTGAGAAGTGAGACAGGTTCATCAGGATTCATTGGCAGAACGCCTGCTGATGATTCATATTCGTATTCAGATGATTCATATTCAAATTCAGCTTGAGTTTCGGCCCTCATCATTGCATGAGATGTAATCTACTTTAAACGCTGAAAAGAGTTTGTTCGGTCAAGGACGATGCTACGATGGAAACGAGGAAAGGCTGGACCAATGTTACCTTATTCACTCAAGTTTTTATTTTTTCCAAATTGCTGCAAAGCCTTTAAATTATTATTTTCATAAATTTCATCTAATTGGTGACCCTGGAGCACATAATTTATGCAAATTTAAGGTTACATGTTTAACAAAACTTATAATCGTCTTGCAATTTTGACTCATTTAACTAGATAACTAAAATCTATTAAGCATACCTTTGGTTTTGAAATGTAAAATGCCCAAAGTGGTCAACTGACTACAATCACTAAGTTGCTTTGCAATTTTAAACGAAATCACAGCTCTTTACTATGCCGAATTTTCAGCTGGATTAAAACAAAAGAATACTTGTCCGCAAATATAAAAGAATAAGCATGCTGATAAATGTCCAACTTTGTCTGGTGTCCATATTCACAACAGTTTTCCAGAAAATTTCATCATTGATCAATAGCAAAGCATTTTTGTTTTTAAGTTTTTAAATGCATCAACTGCAAGAATAGTTTTGGTCTGAAACACTGGACTGGAATATCATTTTCCAAAGTCTTTTTTTTTTTGGTATAATAATTGTTCTTCATTTTCCCTTGTCAACCCGAAAGGAGTGTTTAACGAATTCTTTGCCACTCAACAAATACTCGTGCATCCAGTAGGACATTGGAACAGAATAAATTATTTATTTATTTATTTAGCAATTTGTTCTCTCACTGTGTTACCGCACCGCACTGGCTCATCATGCAAAGGCAGGCATAAAATTTGTCTCATTTTTTTGAAAAAAAGTGCTCTAATCCGCCAACTGGGTTTCGAATATGAAAGGGTTTGTGATCGAACTTATATTGTTACTCACGTCGAATGCGATTAAGGCAAGCGAGGAGACAAAAAGGTAAGCAATAACTTTTCAAGCATTTTCCTTGAAATTATTCTATCTAAACCATATGAGATTCTTCACTTTGCACCCCTTTCTTTGTTAGAACTGATCAAAAAAGACTCCATCTCAAAATATTGAATTTTCTTACCAGGAAAAAGTTAAAGGAGAACGGTGAATAACAACTAAGTTCAGTATCCTTCGATTTTGTTCTTGATGTAGCTTCCTGATTGGGACCTCTTTATATGACAGAGGTGTCCCTTTACCATAATTTCCTTCCAAAGAGGACAATATGAATTGTTTTAAAAAAAAGACTATATGAAAGTTTTCATCGTAGTCAATACGGTTCATATATTTGAAGAGGTCCTAAACCAAATTTATATTCAGCACCTGTTTAGTGATATATTTGCGCCAAAGCTATTCAGTGGTGTAAAAATTGGTACTTCTAATATCAAAACAAAACAATCAGGTTACTTTCGAGAACATCTCGATCCTGAGAAAGGAACCTGATTTGTTCTGCGCTAACGTACTTTGTTTGGGTTTGTACAACAAATTCTTGGTTGAATGTTAAACCCTTATGACTAAAGTAAAGGCAGCTGTTTCTGCGGCCTCAATTTTTTTACACCATTACACTCATCAAGCTAGATGTCCAACTTCGGACTTTTGATAAGACAGTGAGAATGTAGATAAAGAGGAAAAATATTGTGAACGGTACTAGTTACAGTACATCTGCAATTGTTTGCATGTTCGGACCCAAGAAATCACTGAATCGCCATATTGCGGGTACGTTACAAAATGTCTGTTCTCCCAGAAGTTTTAAATTAAAATGGGGATGTATAGTCCAGTAGCAAAGCAATTTGTGTGCAAGAAAGCAAAAAACAACAGCAAAATTCCATTTTTCAAAATACTGAAGATTCAGTCTTTCAGCCTAAAGATTCGGTGAAAATATTTACTTGTTACAGTCCGTAGTCTCTCTCAGCATGTTGAATAAAAAATGATCTGAAAAATGTAAATTGTGTCTGCTTTCCGCGGCAGGTGTGTTTTCACTTAGACTATTGACCAGTTTAATGTAATAACGTTACATAAAAAATCGCTGTATTTAAATATAGTTTTTACATTAAAAATACTGCTTTTTTGAATTATCAGTTGTTTGGTATTGAACAATAAAAAAAAAACTTTCATTTGCCTCGACACTGTAATCGTGCTGCTGGCTTTTCCGTTGATTAATTTCGGTATAGAACTAAACAAAAATAAGGCAATTATGAAAGCAGCACGAGATTAAGACTTCCCATATAAATTATAAATCTTTAATTTAAAAATTAAATTAATTTTAAGACTTAAAGAGAAGACTAAGAAAATGGGTTATCTGTTTTAACTAGAAGCAACTTTTAAATTGCAATTTCGATATCTACTATTCGTCCATGTTAGGCGACACTGGTTAACCAAGAGCAGTTTATATTTAAGCTGCATTTTCGTTTGAATCGGTTAAACAATTTGTAAATATTTAGTGTTGGAAAAATATGGTGCTTATCTTTTGGTTAAGTGTTTTTATACACGATAACTACTATCTGAATTGTTGTTCAAATACTAATAGGCGGTCCGTAAAGCTTTCGTGTTATCAAAAGATTTGGAATGAACAATTTTCTACCGCGGTATCCAAGAACCTTTGGAAATTAATGAACATAAGAAAAAGGTTCAAAATAATCCCATTACTGAGTTGTTTTATAGCTGCAACAGAAATACAGCTGAGCCCCTATCATAACATCTATGCCAACATATTAGAAAAATCCACATCTTTTATTGATAAATTTTGTTTAGCTTGGAAGAAGAATGTCTTTCGCTAGACCGAGTAGTTTGGTAAAGGATGTTACACGCATAGATTCGCAACGACGATTTTTAGCGCAACACAGCGTTGCAACATTGTTGCGGTATTGTTTCCAATGGCTACAACATTGTTCCAACATTGCAACAATGTGTTGCGCTGAAAATCGTGGTTGCGAATCGTACCGTGTAACATCACCTTAACAGCGGCATGAGGAAAACACAAGAAGTTATATAATACTATGTATGTTAGCGTTGTCTCTAGAAACTGTCATAATTTTGGCACTGGTAACACAGCAAATATCTAAGAGCATAATTATTCAAGAGACTAAATTGTCCAAAACTGCGGTAGACGAATACGTGAATTTTGCGTTGCATCGTTCAACGGGCAGCAAAAACGTGCGACCTGTTTTGCAATGTTGCTGCACAGTGATGTTCGCGTTTTACTACCCACGCTCTGTCACCGTCTTGCAACAAATCAGTTTGCCGCAGGTTGCGAAAAGCTGCGTCGCAAAAAGTAGAATTTCTTTCTACTTTCTGGAACAACTTTTAGCGAAGAATTAAGAATTTTTTAGCGTCATAAATTCATGCCATTTTATAGCAAAGATGCGAGTTTTCCGCGAGCTTTTTATAAAAACTGTTTCAAAAATTAACAGAATGTTTTATTTCAACATGCTTTAAAAATCATTCATGAAAAATGTTGGTTTTTACCCTATTCAGATACATACGAAGTTTTAGTAAAAGTCCCAGATAGCGCCGGCCTGGATTAGACAGCCATTTTAAATGACGTCACAAGCGGCCGATGGGTACCACGGCCCCTCCTCTGCGACATGACATTGCGCATTACTTTACTTAAGTAACAATTTTTGTTCTTTTTCGGTATTTGAGGTTTAAAGTGACAACTATTCTGTTGACTACCAACCTTTTGTTTCTGTTTACAGCGCTGGTGAAGTAGACATTTCCGATGGCACTCTGCCTCCTGTGAACGAACCACCGAACGCGACAGCCATACTCGACCAAATGTTTGTGAATTATGACAAACGGCTCAGGCCGATGTATGGAGTGGAACCTGTGCAGCTTTACGTCTCCATGGGTTTCCTATCCATTAGCCACATTGTGGAAGAAAACATGGTAGCTAGATCTACAATTTATGTTTTTAACGTAGACTTGCAGATACCGTATGAGACCAAGCCGGGCTTAATTGTGTCAACAAATGAACTGGAAATCCTGAACACAAAACTCATGAAAGGCACATTTTTTGGCGAAGAGATTGAAACGTGACCGAGTGTTTCTAAACATACTCGTCCGCACTCGCAATCCAGAGGTCCAGGGTTCGAATCCTACTTTCGATTACTGCTAGCTGGTACGCCGGTTTGCCGTTCCATTCGGGGTTTTTAAATTGTTAAGTTCTATTTGGGTTAACTTTCAAGATGAGTGGATAGCGTGCAAACTAGATAAAGCAACTAAGTGTACTTCCACTATAAAATATTTATAATTTACTCTGCTTTGAGTGGACTCCGCGGATAGTTTGTAATATTTCCCTTTTATCGGAGGCCACAGAACGTTTCGATCTTGATGGTTAGCTGTTTTGCAGATTTGCCTCATTACTTGTAACTCAGTCATTCGTATTCTGGGCTGTAAAGCCCTGGGCCGGGTTGTTCAAAGCTACAAAGGTAAATAACCCAGGGCTAGAACGAAATTGAAATTCAGAAATGAATGTTAAAAATTAAAGCAAATTCTTTTTTCTACAACTTGCTGTATAAGATGCTCTAAAAAGGAAAGAGAAAATTATCTGAGAAAATGCCTTTGAACCTCGGGTTAGCGCCAATCGGCTTCGAGCAACTGGGCCTCAGGTTCAGAGTCACTAAAGTCGTTCCCACCCTCTCAACAGGAGTTTAAAGGCGACTTGTATTTACGTCAGTTTTGGAAGGACCCGAGGCTGGCCTACGGAGACAAAAACTGGACTCTGATTCTTCAAGGAGACATCTTAAAGAAACTGTGGTTCCCGGACACATACATCGAAAATTCCAAGAAAATTACTGTCCATGATGAGACAAAGACAGTGGTATTGTTTGGTGATGGAAATGTCTTCTACTCTGTTAGGTAATGTATAAGAAGGTCCTCTACTGTGGTAGCACACTTGTAGACCATTCACTACCCCCAAAAGACACTCTATTCAAGACACCAAATAGTGGAGTTGTATACACCCATCACCGCCGTAGCCAGTATGAGGCGAACCGAGGCACTCGCCTCGGTAAAATTTTATCAAATACTGTCGATTTTTATTTTTTTTTTATCAGACTGATAATATTAGAAGATTTCATAAGGCTGATTTCGTACAACGGACCGTGTGTTCGCCTCGGTTGTAGTTTCTTCCTGGCTACGGCCCTGCCCATTCTGTTTAAGATCGCTTCAAGACCCTCAAAACTATACCCTGTTCAGCCGCACATCCCGGTGTAGGCCTCAAATAAGGGAGTATTCCATACCCGGAGTAGATGGGATAAGGGTCTACAAAATGTTGATCATTTCAAATGACGTTAGCACCTGAAAAAAACTACCTTATCTGCTAGTTTTCCTGGCATACGACAGATAATTTTCCACAATAGGCGTTACGCCAAGAAGTCCCCATTAAATGGAGTTGTGTATTTCTTTTTTTGAAGAGTGACTGTTGATGCCATGGGATTTATGGATTTTAGAAACTATCCGATGGATGTGCAGACATTTTTCTTTAGAGCCCTCAGTTGTGAGTAACATTTAACTTTTTTTTAGGCTATTACTGAAGACGTAACAAAATTCAGAACTGGGCGGAGATTTTCGAAATTTTCACAAAAACTTATCACTGCCTGCCGTACAAAAACGTACTGCCATACAGTTATTTCGAGAAAGATTGTCGGAAAAAATGTGCACGCGACAGTCCCGAAAGGTATTACTTGATGAGATATGATCAATAAACTGCTTCTACTTTTGTTGCTTTCCTTTAGCACTCGCAAGCATATGTCCGTGACCTCCTGGTGTCATTCTTTCAAATTTCTTTAAAGAACAGTGCACTCAAAACCACCCACAATACTTTTCGGGATTGTCGCAAATGCTAAGCGCCCTAAGTTAGCATAAATACCCGCCGTTACATAACGTGTTTGCAATGTAATTTAATTTTTAATCTTTGTTAGGGCTATCGTTGTTAAGTTAGATTTTTTTCTTACTCATTAGCACTAAGCACCTCACGTACAAAATGTTTACAGACGCCATAAGGAAGTTCCAGGAGAATGATAGGAGGAAATGAATTTTATTATCAGATTTTGCGATTTCTTTTTCTAAGACAAATGGAAGACGCAGAAAGGGCCCCCTAACCGCTGCTAACCCCCTGCACATATTCATGGATTACGGAAGAAGGTTAGGGAAACTGGTGTCGAACTTATACTTTAACACACTGGAGTCAGCCGACGTTCTAGGTTGATTTCTGCAAAAGTTGATCAGAACAAAACCTAGGACAGAATCATAGGCTTTGTGAATAATTTATCTTTTTTTCACGCAGATGGTTTTGACCTCACTCAGATCAGATACAAGTGGATAGATGCAACACTATACAGTACAGACATGGCAGAGTTCTACGTCATGAATCAAACGCTCGAAAGTGGCAAAGTCAAGTACATGCTGGGTATGGCGGGCTCATATTGCACATTTTAAGCTAGGAAAGCCAGCAGCGTAAACTCCCACGTATCATTCGTATATAGACTAGTATGGAGCTAGGGCTTTTTTTGCAATGCGGTAGCTACTTGCTGAGATGGAAGTATCGCCTCCATGCAACGGAATCCGGATTGCGAAAACTGGGAAACTTTTGCTGTTACATTCCGGAATCCTGTTCTTTGGAATGCGGAATACAGATTAAGGAAGCCGGAATCCCACTCATGATTTAGATCCATAATCCGTGTTCCACTCGGATTCCCATACATATGCGAAGAAGAAAATAAGCGTTAAAAAATTCAGTAGAGGAGAAACTCATCTCAAAAGTTTATTTTAAAACTACGCAAAATTTTCCTTTTTAAGCTGAAACATATCCACATTGTCTCGACCAAAAATCGTTTCTAAGGAGACAAAATGTAGAGAGAAACGGCTTAATACAGTAATTGACACCAAAAGGGGAAAAGAGACTGGGATAGTCGTAAGAAACATTTTTTAAATTAAGGGAACGACTCAAATAAACCTTGTTTGAATTGTCCTTCCTTCTGTTTGTTTGACAATTATCAGGCTGGTTTGAGTATCTCGATGTCTCCTTCTACGTTCGAAGAAGAATAGGTCATTACGTCATCCGTATTTTCTTTCCCTGCATTCTTTGCACGGTTGTCTCGTGGTTGCCATTTTGGATGGATCGAAGAGAGATTGGTGACCGCGGGGCCCTGGGTATTACAACTCTTCTCACAGAAGTCTTCCTCCTTCAATACACCAATGCCAACATGCCACGTGTCAGCTACGTGAAAGCCGCTGACCTGTTCCTGATTGTATCTTTTGCCTTCACATTTTTGGCATTAATAGAGAGTGTTATCGTGTATAACTACAGGAAAAAGAGTCAAAAGTCTGAGGACACTCAGGTGAAAGGTTCAACTGGAGGACGAGGACTCTTTTGTAAACGCAGCACAGTCGCTGTTCAGGAGGTAAGGCACTAAGGCTGATATGTGTCTGTGATTTTTGTTCTGACAAATTTAGATTTTGCATGAATGGATCGACTTTCTGAGCTTGGTTTTCATATTTCGGTGATCCCAGAGTCTGTATCAGACGCCATCTTAATTTATGGGTATTTTCGCGGGGGACACCAGCACGTTGTTGGAGGCTTCGTGCAATTTCTCTTCTTCATTCTCTATGATAATGATTCTTTTATATTTTCAGGTTCCCAAAACGGATACTATCATAAACGGATCACACATTAATCCCGTTGTGATCACGGAGGTAAAACTGTGGTTTTAGTTAATTGCCCATTTTCGCAATCGAAATAAGGCTGCATAATATAACATGCTTTTTCCTTGACACAGGCTTTCACAGAAACGCCCAGTCAGCTAGCTAAGCCTCCAATGACTAAAAACCTCTGGGAGAAGCCAAGAAATCAAGAAGAAAAAGACAACTGTCTTGGCTACACAGCATCAGCAAAGTCCAAAATTCAGGGCTGGTTTGCAAGTTGCAAGGATTATTTTTCCAAGCAAGATCTCAGTTATTTCATCGAGATGAGTTCTCGCTTGGCCTTTCCTGCCGTGTATATAATCTTTATTGTCTACTTTTTTGCAAAATATGGCATCTAATAAACATGGGATAAGGTCGGGATCATTCATGGTGGTATGAGTCAAGCAAAGTTAGTCGGAATCCCCTAAAACAACACAAGGAGATGAATGAAGGTTACAAGAGGAAGTGGAGAGGGGCATGACAACACTGAGAGCAAACTGCCTTCCATCAGGGCGGCTAAGATTTGATTAGGACCGGTAGTCGTTTGTTAAGGACGCAGTCTTCGACTTCCCTGTGCCTTTTTCCTCTCCTACCACTCCGATCGGTTTTACTTTCTTATCTTCAAGCAATAAATACTTTCAAATTCTATTTCGAGAACGCAAGAATACTGAACTTGGATCCAGAGGTTGGCTAAATCACGTGAAAATCGAGCGTCTAAGCTGCTACATCGTGGCACTGAACGACGCGGTGTATTTCATTCTGGATATTTTGATATCGTATCTCTTAGTCGGGGTACAAGAGGACACGCGTTGAACGAGAACTTAAAAAGAGCTGCGGGCGCAATGTAAAGATGTTCGTATTTTTCCATTCAAAAAAATATTATAGAAAGAAGCCGATGTATCCCAATTACTACTTTAACATCGTGTGAATTTTTTTGATTAAATAGCATCAGTCAATCCTGCATATACAATAAGTGTCTAGACACATGAACACTTCAAACATTATCAAGCAGTGACCTTCATTATTTTTTTTTCTCAGTTCCGATGAAGGATATTCGGCTGGAAATTCTACCAACAAGGCGGGGCAAAACCCACTTACAAAAGCCTAGTCAGAATACCCGGTCAGAATAGTACATCCCTTGACTTTGTTTTCGTCTTAGTTTTCTCTAACATTGTATTCGATCGCACATTGATGTGAACTTTCTGGTTCTTGCTTTACCGTTCGTCGTAAATAAACCAATACTTTGCTCTCAGACCAAATAAATCGGGCTACAGAATTACGTAATACTTCCATGTTCTTGAACTTGTCAAGTTCCGCCAGTCTCGAATCTTCCTTTTACTGGGAGCCAAAAGTGCGTCAAATCACAGACATGCTTGGCACCATTTTGTTGCCAAAATTGAGTAAAACAAACAGGGCATGTTTGCAAGCGCTAAAAAAAGGGCATTTGTCCGTAGTGAAAATGGATGGAATGCCATACAAGTTATTTTAAACATGTATGCTGGCTATCAAAAAGTACCAGAATTTAACCATAAAGTGTTCACAACACGATTTCAAAATACTGAGGAAAGCTTTATAGAAAAGTAAGATCGTTTAGGTATTATTTGCAGCCTACCTTTTGGCAACACATCCAAGTGTGGTAAAATTACAAAAAGAGGCAACATACATCATAGAGATAAAAGATAATTAATTAATTGATAAGCACGATTAAAGATCGAATTACTGCCTTTGTCATCCAATCACAAAAATTGTGGTACAAATATTAGCAAAAGTGGGAACGGAAAATTAAAATAAAGGTAACTAAAAAAAATCAGAGGGGGTATAAATGGGTCCAGAATGAGTCTGGTGGCGTTTTCAACCATGTTTTAACAAAGAGGGCAAGCTAGTGTTTACTTGGTTTGCTTTTCAGTTCAGTATATAGTTACAGTCAAAAGAAGAGCTGTGTAGGGACGTAGCTAAGCAATGCGAATGTAGTTTGTTACTCTGACAGCTCATTTTAATATTCTGGTTAGTATATTTGCAAGCATCTGAGACCTGGTGGCGACGGAGCCAAAACCTAAATTGAGCACTAGCTAAAAATATTTTGGAAAACTCTCGAAAAATGAGCAAGATCAAAGAACCGTGTACCGCCTTACCATTCAATCATACAAGTGCAGTATGCATATGAGTGAAAGGATATAACAAATGATAGACGTAGGTTTTTAATGGCGTGCCTGTTAGGCCATCCCAATAAAATGTTTCGTTTCCTATCGCCCGACGACCAATTTTTTTCGAAAAGTAAACACAAATTCCAGATTAGCTAGTCAAAGAAGCAAGTAATTTACAAGCACACGATCTTGTTTTATTAACAACAATTGGTATGATGTGATGTCCTTGTCTTTAATTTACATCGATACTACAAAGGTTGTTTAGACATTTGATAGTCGAAAAGACCACGTTTTCTAGTTGACTTTGTAACCAGGCTTTCTTACTTAGCAGCCTGGCATTCTCTGGGACCCAGACAACTTCAAGTGTTCATTCTTTTTTTTTTTTTCCCCGACCGACCGACCCACCATCACAAGAGACGGGGCGATGGGAAACGAAACATTTTATTGGGATGGCCTAAATGGGCTTCAAAAACAATTTTTTTTTTTGATTTTGGTAAAGCAGACTCCCTAGTTCTGATTTTATTCTTTGCTGTTGGCATGAAAGTATCATTTTCTATAATTAGAGTCTAGTGAGCATATTAGTAACAAAGGAATAAGCGATTATTTAGAGAGAATACAGAAATAGATTTGTTCTAGCTTCTCTATCCCTTAAACATGACCAGGCGCAGTTTCCAATTTAATGTACCAAGTTATCACTCATTCCAAGTTATTTACTACTATTTCCTGCCCGACTCCAGCACAAACAATTCAACTCATTACCAACTGAGGTTTGTTAGGGAGAATGAGAGGTTCTCAACTACTTTTATATAATGGGTCCATTTATCATACGCAACCTTCTTGAAGAGGATAGGCACGTCGGACCTGAATAGTAAGACGCCGTTACATGATTTGCTCACTGATCGAGTATAGACAAGTGCCGATAAACAGAGCCCTGCGAGTCCGGAATTTTAAAATGCAGTTACAACTTCAGAGGAAAATATCTTCGGCCTAAAGAAATCTCAACCAAGAATGAAGAATGACCAAAAACCTAACCGGTAATTACTCTGAAAAAAAAAAAAAAAAAAAAAAGGCACTCCCTGGCCAATGAAGAATTTTTCAAACAAAATTCGAGCTTTCAATTTCACTGTCTGACGATTTTAAATGTATTCATATTTTTATTGAGTTATTCAATAATATCTTATATTCTATTTTAATACCTCCTGAATTTTTCTTTAGTGTATTTATTCATCTCCCATTGTAAATTATATTTTATCCCATATTTTGGAAATGCAAACTATCTTATAGTTCAGAGTTCCTCCAGTAGTAATGCATTGTATTATAGACCTTATGCCAGGTACAGATCAGAATGAGGTAGAAGCGATACTACGCACTTGTATTGTGAGCGATTCAAACGCTCTCTGTGCCGCCTTGCAAATGAAATGCCAATCTTTGAATTTATTTATTTCGCATTTATTTGATAATGGCGCCGAAGCTTCGGGAAATTATCTCAGTTTTTAGATGTTTCAATTTTTTTAATCATCTTTAATTTGTAAAAACCACTCAATTCAGCCAACTGCTTGCCAAGTAATTTGTCGTTTATAAAAACCATCTTTCAGTCTGTCTAGCCAAAAAACGTTTTCCTCTTAAATTTGAATTATTCTAAATATAATTTAGCTAACGCTTTCGGCTAACCTATAAAAACCAGTGCACTTGAAGAGTAATAGCGTACTTGAAGAGCTTTAGTTGATGTCAAGAACGGAAGAACATTTTATGCACAAGCTGAAGCTGCGAAAACCAACTGAGGAGCAGAAGCACCTTAAAGGTTGAAGTAAGAGGAAATTATTATACAGTAACGTAAAAACCGGCACTCATTTTTTGATGATTTTGGAATTCTATTCTTTTTCTGGATGGACGTCTTTGCTTTCACGAAGCAGATTCATTTCTTACACACTTAACCAATTGAAATAATATTGTTGTATATCCTTGAATGTAGGGCAAAATAAGACAGAAAGAAACAAAATTCTCTTTTTAGTGATCCTTTTCCAGACTAGTAGGATCGATTGAATTTACCGTACAGTTTCATGGGTCTAAGAAAATATATTTAAATCTCTAGTCATTTCACGTTTTTTTTATTTTTTATTCATTTTATTATTTTTCCACACAAAATAGATTATTTTGGTAGGGAAATCTCCGTATAAGTCTGTTACATTTTTTTTGTTGTTTATTTTCCTAGCTTTCGATCACTTTTTCTTCGTTATCCATATAGAAGTTAGAAAACTACATCCTCCCTCCAGGGAATGGTCCCTTGTTTTATTTCCTCGGTAGCACTTTCAGACTATAAGTCCTATTCCATCTGGTGATCTGTGAGCAGATCGAGGAAAAATTAGACGGCAGTTTAAAAGACACTTCCCCTTCCCCCTCAGGTTTTTGCTGTTTTACGGTGCAGCCTGGGAAATGAGATATTATGTAATGGCGCTGTTCCGTGACGTCATGCGGCCTATCTGGCCGCCATCTTGAATTTTACTAAAGCTTACTCTTTTTTACAGCAATTCTCGTTCCTGGCTTGTACAATATGCCTAAATTAAAAAAAATTGCTGGCTTGTTTAAGTAAGTTTCGTTTTTCTTGGCCTAAAGAAAGGTCGAACTTTTTTTGCCTGTAAGCCATAACGTAATACTTTTTATGACGCCATATCTCGTCACATAGTCGACACATTTTGTCAAAAATCATACCTAAGGAGTAAAACAAGTAGCTCTCGAAATTAAAAGTCCCGCGAAAGTTCTTTTTAAGGAATACAACTCTCAATTTTTGCTTTCAATTAAAAGAAATCTTATAGACTCTTCTAGTTGTTAAGCATTGATTTGGTTAGACTCGTATAGGCTGTATTTGTAGTTTAAAAGAAAAAAAACTATACTATATTTACAGATGTAATAAGAACATTTGTTAGCATGGATTTATTTGGATGCTGGTGGCAGCTCAATTTATATCGGCCTCAGTTGATTAGCAAAATACATAATGTGTTCACTTAAAACTAAACAAGTTACACTTTGTATAACTACGCTACCAAATACCCCGAATGGCACAGCGCTCGTCTCTGCAAGAACACTTGAACTTTCTCGAGTGATATCCGTCGTAAACAAATAAATCACACGCTGACAGAACGCCCTTGATTGGTAAGTAATTACACCTCGCAATCACGAGACAGCTTCTGTTAATAGTAACTGACAAAGCTGTTTAT